AAAAACTACAGCTCTTCACTCTACTTTGAAATCAGTCTCTAACTCAAAATATTCCCAGTGCAACACATGCAACACAGACAAGAAGAAAATACAAAAAAAAACAAAAGATAATCAAATAGAGCATAACTCTATAATGGCCTTTCTTGGTCAATCATATGTTATGTAATTGAGGTATCAGCATTGATGGGTGCAATAAAAAACTACAGCTGTTCACCCTACTTTGAAAACAGTCTCTAACTCCAAATATTCCCATTTTATATCATATTTTCACCCATGCGTCCACGTAGCATTGATTTTCGTATTCCTGAAATAATGGTTGATTACATAATTTTTCAGTGCTCTTTAGATCCTCTTCTATGATCTGTGAGTTACTGTTCGCTTTCATAGCTTTGGTCCGAGAAAACCACTATAATCGGAAGAAGTATACGTGGGGAAGGACTGCCGGGTTCCATCTCCTTTAGAACGTTTCTCTGAAAAGAAGAGCAGTTGGCACTGACGTTGAACTTGTTGTCGAAAGTAAAAACTGTGCCAGGCGGTGACAGTTCTAGGTTTTTGTAATTCTTTGTCTCTGTGGTTGGGCTCAGTTGCTCTCTCACTTCAAGGGATAAGGTGAAATTATCTTGCTTTCCTTTTTGTTTAGATCTTTTCTTCCTTCTGCGAAACAGTGAAAGACAGTTTGTAGCCATTTTTCAGCTGTTTCGCGTTATGTTGCAACAGTAGATTTAGGAATCGAGAGTTTATCCTGCTGGCACGGGACTTTCGCTTTTGTCTGGCAAAACGCACATTCAAAAAGAACGATCAGGTGTGTGACGTAACAGTAGTCATAGAAATTAATAAAAGAGGATTATCTGTTGAGAAGTCATAAGTGTAACCATGAGAACTAAAACTGAGGAGATATTACACTTGACGTAACAATCTTAAAATATTCACCTACCTACCTCGCCAGCCTGAATTTCAGCCATTGACAGTACGGTATGCGCAGCCTTGAAGGAATGTCCGAAATTCAAGCTACCCGTCCTCGCCTCTTCGCGCTGCAATACGCAACACTTCCACTTACGTAGAGCTTGTTTCAGTCTACTAGTTTTTTGATTAACGTCAATCACCATTTTATTTTGCATTGAAATACAAAGAAAGCAACGTCTTTCAAATGAGGTCAGTGCCAGCTGGTCAGTATGAAAAATAAGCCGGAAAGAGCTTTTACTTTTAAATAAATACCACCCAGTAAAAGTGTAACATTAAAAAAAAACGAATCCTTTTAAACGTGATAGAAACGATCCAAAGGAGGGGTGGCTTGCTGGGCTTTTAAAAATTTTCGTTCGTCAAGAATGCGTTGCTAACATGGAGAATGAGGACTGTCTCTGATCTGGAATTTGTATTCGCAACTTTCACATTTCCCAAAATGCACCTTGTTTGCCACCCAAAATTTTGCATAAGCATTTCGGTTTTCAGTTTCTCTTGGGACGGTTGTAACACCAAGAAAAAATCAAAAACAGCTTCGGGTTATGCAAAATTTGGGGGACAAACAAGGTGCATTAGGGGAGATGTGCAATTGACAACTAGCGTAGTCCCAAGGCGTTCTCTCTTGAAGAGTTTAGGATTGATTGAGCCGAGAACGTCGAGGGACTAGTCTGGACGGCACGTAGCTCAAACTCGTCCCCAGAGCCACTCGGCTTAATTTGTAAAGGAGTTTCAACACCACGTGACCAAAATAAAGGATCGCCAAATTACAAGTCTATCTATGATTTTAGGCCATCAAAGACTACAACAGACGACTACAAACAGCTTTACCCCTTCAATAACATTATCTGAATAGTCTCCCTAAAGAAATAAGGGACATTATGATCCGAGGACAGTAAGTGACGCTAATGAAAACATTACTTACAAACTGACTCATGTCGCGCCCTTTTCAAAACTTCTCACGATTATTCCAACTCATCTAGTTATGTAAATGGTTGAGGGTTTGAAAGGAGGGATTAGCGTCCGGAATTTAATAGGTAGGTCCAGCATGATTTTTCTTCTTGCTGTTCACGTTCTCAAAAGCTTCATAATGCGTTCATTGTATATCTTACCGTGAAACTTGCCATCCAGCACTGGTTCTGACGTACTTGTAATTCCGCTTAGAGGAGGAGAGGAGGGCCGAAACGTTTGGAAAGCAACTCCATATAAAATACGGCACTTTTGTTCATACTTTACTTTTTAATGAACATTTCCTTCACTTACTTTTCAAAGTCACATCCCACGCAGCTTAGTGGGATTGTTTCCGCCGTTATTTGTTTGATCATCCAGGTGAGTGGACTGATAATAATAATAATAATGTTTATTTCTTATATTGCGCAGTCTAGCATGCGATAAAGATATGATCGAATGTGCATTACAACACTAAAATCTTAAAGTAATAAATGGCTAACCTAAATAATGATAATAATAATAATTTACAATTTTCGGAAAACAATAAAAGTAAAATATGAGTTAATAAAAGAACTAATAAAAAGCTAATTTAAAAAGATGTGTCTTTAGTAAAACTTTAAAAATGTTTAATGATTGACATTGTCTAATTTCTAGAGGGAGTCGGTTCCATACTTTGGGCGCAGCATTTTCAAACGCCCTATCCCCGAGTGTCTTTTTTGTTCTATAGGTATTGTCCATTAGGAGTATGCCCCGGCATGATCTCAACTGATACCGCGAGCTCTCTTTGATTTTTATCAAGTCTAAAAGATATTGTGGTGCGACGCCGTAGATACATTTGTGAACTAGCATTGCTATCTTGAATTCTATTCTGTGGGTGACCGGAAGCCAGTGCAGGTTGATCAGGGATGGTGTGATAGGATCATACCTAGATACAGTACATACCAGTCGAGCTGCCGCGTTCTGCAGGCGTTGCAGCTTACCAAGATGAACAGCGGGCGTACCATATAATAGACCGTTACAATAGTCTAATCGTGACATTATAATAGCCTGTACAATGGACTTCCTATTGTCATATGATAAATACTCTCTAATACACCGGATGTTATGTAGATGGTAATAAATATCCTGACATATGCTGTTAATATGTGTGGTCATATTCATGTTTGCATCAAACCAAGCACCCAGATTTCTAACAGAGTAGACAGCAGAAACCTTTACCTCACCTACTTGCAAGTCACTCATCGTAACCTTATTTAACTGTGCGCGTGTTCCTATAATAAGAAACTCGGTCTTAGCATCGTTCAGCCGAAGTTTGTCTTGGACCATCCAGGTTCTTATGTCCCTGATGCAAGCCTGTAAAGCGTCAACAGCATCCGTCACAGTAGCAGAATCATCCGGCTTAAATGAGATATAGAGCTGCGTATCATCAGCGTATGCGTGAACGTTAGGGAGATGGGATTCAACAACATCGAAGAGCTTACTTGCGTACAACGTGAAGAGGAAGGGACCTAGACATGATCCTTGAGGTACCCCTTGAGGCAGATCAAAGTCACTCGAATAGCTCCCGTTAATCAGGATTCGCTGTTTCCTGTTTGATAAGTACGAGTGAAACCTTTTAAGAGCGGTACCTGTAATTCCATACGTCACCTACAGGCGATACAACAACACTTGGTTTGTCAATCGTGTCGAATGCTGCACTCAGGTCTAGCAATACCAAGAGAGTAACTCGTTGATCGTCCATTGCAGCTAGTATGTCATTCTGTATCTTCAATAGGGCAGTCTCTGTGCTATGACCCAGTCGATAGGCTGACTGGAGGATGGGATACAAGCCCGACTGAGTAACGTATGCGGTTGTCTTATCATAAACTGCCCTTTCAACCAATTTAGAGAGATATTGCAGGTTACTCACCGGTCTTAAATTGGATAAGGAGGTCCCTTGCTTGGTCTTCTTCAGTCTTGGATCCACAAGGGCCGTTTTCCAATCAGATGGAAAGTGTCCCAAGGAAAGTGAAGAATTCACGACATTAGTGATGATGGGGAGAAGCATATCAGACATGCCGACTACTAAATTGGTCGGCATAGGATCAAGTTGACAGCTTTTCTTCGATGATCTACTGACCAGCTTCCTCATATCTTCCACAGAGTACGTATTGAAATGATCAAGTTTCCTATCGCCTATAAACACTTTTTCCTCAGCCACCGCCCCAGGATGAAGAGTGCACGCATCAAGCTCTGCCCGAATCTTTGCAATCTTACGGTCGAAAAACCGCCCGATATCGTTGGCTAAGATTGAGTTGTCCGTGTATTCTGGAAAACACAATTCATTCCTCGGAAGTAACAATGATCGAGTGGCCCTGAATAGCTTTCCTTGGTCTTCACTACTGTCATTCACAAAGTCTGAGTAGAAAGCACGCTTAGCCCGTGTACTTAAATAAGTAACGTGGTTCTTGAGTTTCTTGAATGCCAACAAATCTTCCTGTGATCGTGTTCTTCTCCATCTCCGTTCTGCTTTCCGGCGTCGCCTTTTTGCCTCAACTGTCTCACTGGTATACCAGGGTACCTTGGGCCTAGCCCGCACTGTTTTGGTTTTTAAAGGTGCATGACGATCAAGAACTTGAGAGAGTGTGGTCGTGTAATCCTCTACAAGTACATCCAAGTCCAGTGGGGTGATGGGATCGCTGTTCGGTCGATAGGTTCTCAGCGTCCAAGGATTTAGTTTTCCTAAACTTTATTATCCTAGTCTGAAATGAAGGCTTACTTATGGCAACATCACAATGTACAGCTGCATGATCGGAGAAATAGCGACAGGCGCGTGGTGGACTCGCCAGAATATCTTCAATCTTTCTTGTTATAACAAGATCCAGGGTGTGACCACGTATGTGCGTTGGCTCTGTCACATGCTGCTCCAAACCGAGAGACTCAAGCAGATCTAAAAACTTAAGTGCATCAGTGTCATTAGGAACATCCACATGTATGTTGTAATCACCAACGACAATCAAAGGCTCTTTGGATAGAATAGTGGACTCCATCAGGTCAGAAAACTCCATCAGAAAACTGTTATTGGGAACCCTGCGGTGGTCATCAGAATTCTGTGGACGGTAGACGATCACAAGCCGTATCTTGCGGGAAGTCGACGTTTGGACCAACAACTCGCAAAACTCAAGCGACTCTTGAATTCCATCTCGAATCATGCTGACACGAAGTGAATCCTTGTACAGTAGTCCAATGCCTCCACTTATCCATTCTTGTCGTGGAAAGTCAATAAAGTTGTAACCAGGAGGACACAGTTCTGTTCTTAGCGCATCATCATGGGGCTGGAGCCACGTCTCGGTAATCACAACCAAGTCATATTTACGTTCACAGAAGTAATCTACAAAATCGGTTGTCTTGTTGCGCACCGACTGGGCATTCATGTGACAAAAAGACAAAAAGACCCCATTCACGTAGTTGGCAGACAAACAATGCATTTCAGTAAAGTTTGAGACATTCCTAGTTGTTGATTTAGACAATGAAGAACGTGATTGAGGCGCCCGTAAAGTTCAATTATTTTGATGACGTGATTTCACAATTGTTGATATACCGCATCCCTCAGGACCTGGATTCAAGTTTGAAGACCAGATCGCCAATTATATTTAGCACTTGATGGAATGAGGCACATGAATTTGCATAGTAGGCTATTGGACACCTGTGCCTACGTAGGCATAACCAGCATGAGAAATCAAGCATATTCAAAATTCCCAGGAACTCGGATGGAACGTAGTAGCTGATCCATGGACGTCGGATTGACATGATCAACATCAATGTTCTCCATTCCTGATAATATCAATACATTATCAAGAGAAAAGATTACCAGAATTAATGAAATGGCCGCCAGTGATGAAATGCGTTAATTTTTTAGCAAATTCTTGCGACTAATTCTTTCACCAAATGTATGGCGATCTGTCTGAAAATTTTCCATATGGATATTGGAGCTTTAAAGGTTATAGTGGCTTCGGAGGTGGCCCCAGGAGGGATACCTGTGTGTAAGTATTTAAAATAATCAAACTAATTGAAGAGAAGCAAAACACAAGCTTTATAGGAATAGATAAAATTTATTTACAATTTGATTTATACAGTGTATTTATTACGTGTAAGTATATGACATATTAATTGTTTCACCGTTGAATTCATTCACCTTCTCTTATAATGTACAATGGAAAAAAAAAGAAGCAAACAGAGCTGACCTTTCTTGGTCAGTCATAAGTTATGTAATTGAGGTATCGGCATTGGCAGGTACAATAAAAAACGACAGCTGTTCACCCTACTTTGAAAACAGTCTCTAACTCAAAATATTCCCATTTTATATCATATTTTCGCCCCTGCGTCCATGTAGCATTGATTTTGGTATTCCTGAAATAATGGTTGATTACATAATTTTTTAGTGCTCTGTAGATCCTCCTCTATGATCTCTGAGTTGCTGTTCGCTTTCATGGCTTTGGTCCGAGAAAACCACTATAATAGGAAGAAGTATCCGTGGGGAAGGACTGCCTGGTTCCATCTCCTTTAGAGCGTTTCTCTGAATAGAAGAGCAGTTGGCACTGACGTTGAACTTGTTGTCGAAAGTAAAAACTGTGCCAGGCGGTGACAGTTCTAGGTTTTTGTAATTCTTTGTCTCTGTGGTTGGGCTCAGTTGCTCTCTCACTTCAAGGGATAAGGTGAAATTATCTTGCTTTCCTTTTTGTTTAGATCTTTTCTTTCTTCTGCTGAACAGAGAGAGACAGCTTGTAGCCATTTTTCAGCTGGTTCACGCTGTGTTGCAACAGTAGATTTTGGAATCGAGAACTAGAGTTTATCCTGCTAGCACGGACTGTCGCTTTTGTCTAGCAAAACGCAGATTCAAAAAGACCGATCAGGTGTGTGACGTAACAGGAGTCATAGAAATTAATAAAAAAGGATTATCTGTTGAGAAGTCATAAGTGTAACCATGACAACTAAAACGGAGGGGATATTACACTTGACGTAACAGTCTTAAAATATTCACCTACCTACCTCGCTAGCCTGAATTTCAGCCTTTAACAGTACGGTATGCGCAGACTCGAAGGAATGTCTGAAATTCAAGCTACCTTCCTCTCTTCTTCGCCCTCCGTTACGCAACACTTACACTTACGTAAAGCTTGTTTCAGTCTACTAGTTTTTTGATTAACGTCAATCACTATTTTATTTTGCATGTGAAATAATAAAAAAAAGAAACGTCTTCCAAATAAGGTCAATGCCAGCTGGTCAGTATGAAAAATAAGCCGGAAAGAACTTTTACTTTTAAGTAAATACCATTCAGAAAAGTGTAAAATAAAAAAAAAAACGGATCTAAATATGATAGAAACGATGCAAAGCAGGGGCGGCTTGCTGGGCTTTTAAAATTTTTCGTTCGTCAAGAATGCGTTGCTAAAATGGAGAAGGGATTATAATTGACGAGTGTCTCTGATCTGGAATTTATATTCGCAACTTTTACATTTCCCAAAATGCGCCTTGTTTGCCACCCAATATTTTGCATAAGCATCTATGGTTTTAGGCCATCAAAGACTACAACAGACGATTACAAACAGTTTTGAATCTTCAAGCACATTATTTGAATCGTCTCCCCAAAGAAACAAGGGACATCATGATCCGAGGACAATGAGTGACGCTAATGAAAACATTACTCACAAACTGACTCATGTTGCGCCCTTTTCAAAACTTATCACGATTATTCCAACTCATTTAGTTATGAAAATGGTTGAAAGCTGAAAGGAAGGGTTAGCGTCCGGACTTCAATAGGGAGATCCAGTGCGATTTATCGCCTTTCTGTTCACGTTCTCAAAGCGTCATAATGGTTTCATTGATCATCTTTACCGTGAAACTTGCCATCCAGCACCGGTTCGAACGTACTTGTAATTCCGCTAATGAAGGGCCGAAACGTTTGGAAAGCAACTTCATATAAAACACGGCACTTTTGTTCATACTTTACTTTTAATGAACATTTCCTTCACTTACTTTTCAAAGATATATTCCACGCAGCTCAGCGGGATTGTTTCCGTAATTTGTTTGATCATCCAGGAGTGGAATGATTCACATGATCAACATCAATGTTCTCCATTCCTGACAATATCAATACATAATCAAGGGAAAAGATTACGAGAATTAATCAAATGAGCGCCAGAGGAAAAATTCCTTGATCTTATAACAAATTCTCACGACTAATTCTTTAAATATTGTATGGAGATCAGTCTAGTGAATTTGTATATGGATATTGAAATGATATTTGACGATTAAAGAGCCTGAATAGATGGCCCCAAGAGGAATACTTGTATCAAAGTGTATTAAAAAAAAACTAAATAATCGAAGAGAAGTGGCGCATAAACTAGTTCAGAATAGAAAAAATTTATTTGCAATTTGATTTGTTACATGTAATTATATTACATAATTTTTTCTCCTTTGAATTTATTCAACACATGTAAGAAGAATAGACACAAAAAACAAAAGATAATCAAATAGAGCATAACTCTATAATGGCCTTTCTTGGTCAATCATATGTTATGTAATTGCAACAAAAAACGACAGCTGTTCATCCTACTTTGAAATCAATCTCTCACTCAAAATATTCCCATTTTATATCATATTTTCGTACCTGTGTCTATGTAGCATTGATTTTTCGTATGCCCGAAATAATGGTTGATTACATAATTTTTCAGTGTACTTTTGATCCTTTTCTATGATCTTTCAGTTACTGTTCGCTTTCATGGCTTTGGTCCGAGAAAACCATGATAATAGGAAGAAGTATCCGTGGAGAAGGACTGCCCGGTTCCATCTTCTTGAGAGCGTTTCTTTGAAAAAAAGAGCAGTTTGGCATCACGTTGAAATTGTCGAAAGTAAAAACTGTGCCAGGCGGTGAAAGTTCAAGCCTGTTGTAATTCTTTCTCTCTGAAGCTGGGCTCATTGGCTCTCTTACTTCGAGGGATAATGTGAGGTTATCTTGCTTCCTTGTTTGTTTAGATCTTCTCTTCCTTCTGCCGAACAGTGAAAGACAGCCTGTAGCCATTGTCAACTTGATCACTTTGTGTTGCAAAAGCAGCTTCAGGAATCAAGAGTTTATCTACTGGCAGGGTCGAGCTGTCGCTTTTGTCAGCTCCAAACGCAGCTTTAAAAAAGGTCTGAAGCAGCAGTAGTCATAGAAATGTTAAGATTAAACAGGATTGTCTTTTGATTATATATGTACCCATGGCAACTAATAGGGGTATTAAAATGACGTTAACAGTCTTAAACTTTTACGTAAACATCAAAATAGGATCAAACGATTGATCACGACCAAACACTTCAGAAACAAAATTTGCCATGAAAAGCCGTGATAACCTTTTAGGTATGTCGCCACTAAATGGTAATCTTTTTGACTTGAGGAAGCCAGCGACTACAAAAAATTGTAAAAGAACAAACAAGAGCGCGCAATTGTCAGATTCGTCATAAAAATAGCAAAAGTGTTAAAAATAGGTAGTTACCCATAGAAACTAATCAGGGTTAAAATTGACGCAAAACACCAGAATAAAATAATGGACGAAGAAAGAAACCCTCCGTCACCACTTTTTGAACCTAAATGCAAAAAAATATCGCCGAAATTATATTTACCGGCTTAAAGTGGCTCGACCCTTTCACATACCTTTCCCCCTTAGACCTTTTATACATAAACAGCTTGGTCTTTATTGTTAACACATTGTAAGTAACATACACATAAAATTAATTTTATTACGTTATTTTTTTCGCAATCGGAATGAATATCATGACAATGACGTCACAATGGTTTTAGTTCTTTTATCGAATTTCAGCCCTTATTTGCATTTTCTCAAAAACATAATCTACGTTACCACTAAGTACTTGTCTTCTTCTGTGCCAAGTTTCACAAAAAGTTGTCAGAGGAATTTCGAGATATGGTGGAATTTCTACATGAAGGGTACAATTTCTTTTATACTACTACATTAGAAATTTCTGCAATTTGATTTGCTTAGAGCGGTCGTATTTCAGCTTAATTTGAAATACCTACATGTGAAAATTACAAACCTTTTGCAGGTAGTAGTATAAACAAATAATAGCATGATTTGTACGTAATATTTGATATAATTATCACTCGTGATATTTCAAAATTGTCTCAAATTTCACTCGTCTGACGGCTCGTGAAATTACGTATAACAATTTTGAAATATCACTTGTGGTATTTATGCCAAATATCACTACAAATCATGCTATTACCTATACTAATTGAATACTGGACTTTATGCAAGTAAATTTGCTAGTTCCTGGATGTTTCTGGAAAGTTTTGCAGCTCATATTTTAGATTGTGTTCGTTGTACATTCTCCAAACCGCTAGAGGCAGGTTGACTTGCGCGATTTCGAAAAACACGAAAGTAAATGCATCAGAGTAAAACACAATGCGGAGTTCTTTTTGCAATTTGTAAGGTTAATTTCACGAAAACAGCGATAAAAAGACAAAAACAAAGACCAAACTGTTGACTTATAAGAGAGGTCCAAAGGTGAAAGGTATGCCGACAAAAACACTGGGTCGTGCCAGCTTTGCCAAGCTCGCTTCTTCAGATTCTGCCAGTCAGAGACAAGGTGGATCGTACAGCATCATATTAATTAACAGCTACAGCTGTATTAGATGAGGGTTTCAAGAAATGAACCATATTTTTTTAGTTGCAGATATTCTTCAAAAAGCAGTTATCCTTCAAATGTTGTTTTTGCGTACTCTTGCCCCATGTTTTGAGGCTATTTCATCTTCACGTTCACGGTCAGGGGCCTCTCTCTTCAGTCTCTTCGACCTTAGCCTGCGAACAGCAGACGCATTTCCGGTCGTCGCTTCTCTCCCTCCGAAAAATAGCCTGCGAACAGCAGACGCATTTCCGGTCGTCGGAGGGAGAGAAGCGACGACCGGGAATGCGTCTACTGTTCGCAGGCTACTTCGACCTCTTCCTCTTGTGAAATCTTTTGCCATTTTTTCGTCAACACAGCTGAGCCATCGGGCCATTGTCTTTGCGTGATGTCAGTGATCGTGATGTCAGTGATCCCTGTTACCCCGTCCCTAGTTTACGATTGACGGCAATAACTATTATATTTCCCTTGAACACCTTGAAAAGGAACGTCCTCCAAATATGGTCAATACCAGCTGGTCAGTGTTAAGAATTAACCGGGGAGGGGGCCTGTAACTTTTTAAAAAATAGCACTGCAGAACAAGTACAAAACTAAAGTGCAAGCAAGCATATAAATTCCAGTTAAGCCTACCTTGCAGTCTGAAAGAAGTATTTTTGAACATGATAGGAACAATGCAAAGGAGGTCGTCACGACTGTGTTGCTGACTCCTGTTGCTGACATTTCAGTGTCATATATGGGCTAAAATGTATTTGGAGGGTATGGTTTTCAAGCAGTTTATGGGATAGGGTTTAAATCAGAGCGTTTGGCTCTAGAATAGGGTATCATTTTTCAGGAAACTGATCAGTTGGTTGAAGATTTTATCTAGACTAGGTACACAGCTACTCTAGGATAGGGGGATTTGGGGATTTTACTTTAGTATAGGGTAGCAAAATTCAGCTGAACTAGCTCTGGTAAAGATTAAGGGTTCCAGGCTCCCAGCGGCACATCCCCACCCAGAAATTCCTAAAGTACCCCCCGCCCCCGGGTGTTTTACGTGTACTACTAAATGGTAAGTAACTTAAGATTCGAAACTAGTCTAACTTGCTAACGTGGAATCATAGTCTATCTATGACTTTAGCCTACCAAAGGCTACAACGGACCATTACAAACACTCTTTGCTCTTCAACAACATTATCTAAATCTCTCTTGGGAAACTATAAGAGACCTTACGATCCGATAACAGTAAGTGACGCCAATGAACACGTCTTTAAAAACTGACTCATGTCGCGTCCTATTAAAGACTTGCCACAAGACGACCTCACGAGTTTCATTTTCATAGCAAGGAGTGAGCGAAGCGAGCTTTTTAAGCAGCGAAGCGCCCGAGCAAGTCACAAGCCATGTCAAACAGGACTAAGGACCTATTTCGAAAGTCTAGTCGCGTCCTTTCAAAATTCGTCACGATTATTCCAACTCGTTCAGTTATGTAAATAGCTGGGAGCTGTAAGGAGGGAACAGCATCCGAGCTAAGGTAATTACAGTAAGATTTATCATCTTGTTGCTCACGTTCTCCGCTAAAAAAACTTGAAAACTAATCATTAACAAACGACAAGGAAGCGTCATCATATGTTCACTGACAAAGACGATTTAGACCCCGGAAGTGTAGCGACTCAAGGACTGTGTACAAGAACAAACCAAAGCAATTAAATTGAAGAAAAGAGGCACGAAAACTGTATAAGAATGGACAAAATTTATTTACAATTTGATTTTTTTATAGTTAAGTATATTATATAATTGTTTCTCCGTTTAATTTCTTCACCTTCTCTTAATAATGTACCACGCAACAAAGAAAACAAACAAACAAAAGAGAATCAAATAGAGCATAACTCTGTGATGGCCTTTCTTGGTCAGTGCTGTTAATCTTCCCATTGTTGCTGATAACAGTGAGCCTCCAGAATCAAAATCTGTGTCCTACAACACATTGGGAGAAAAACGTCAAGTTATCAGGCTGACAACTAAATGTTCAATAACAAGTAATGATGAACAAAAGTGCTGTGTTGCAGATGCAGTTCCTTTCCAAACGTTTCGGGCTTGGCCCCTCATCAGCATTACAATTGAATGTGTGATCCTAAAGTGAGTTCAGTAATTAGAGATAACATACATAGTAGGAAGGCTGATACTTTGAATCAATATTGGCTTTACAGAACACCAACATGATGCAACACAACAAAACAAGGTAAGACTTAGACTGCATTACAGACTTAATTTAAGCAAAGCAGTGTCAATATCCCTGCTCTGAGCTCCCAACGGCCCCAACAAATTACCCTAAATGTGTCTCAAATATTCCTTCAACCTGACTAATGTACACTCAACTCCTGCCTTTGTTCTTAACCTATGAACCAAGTCAAATTTAGAAGCAGGATTTGTATGGAGACATCAGAGCATAACTGGACTAATATCTGAGAGATGATTTGCACACAATTATGGGATTTGTTGGAATATTTTGAAAGAACAACATCCAAAAGGCCACTTGCCAAAAACTCAAAATATTCCAACAAATCCCATAGTTTCCCAAATTTACTTTTTTTATGACATCACACTTCGGGACTCTGTTGAACAGCATCACATGACCACTCATATGGACAGTCTCAGGTGTAACACCCATTATGATCACAGTTCTTCAAGTTGTAGACTAGCCTCCCACACAGATATTCTTATGGGTTTGTCTCGTGAGGAGGATTGCATGACGAGCCAAAAGAATGTCTTTGTGGGAAGCTAGTTGTCCACTGTCAAGTCTATAGTTTTCCACTGGGTCACATACTGTTTTCAAAAATCACTGTCAAAAGAGAATATTTTCAGGAGCCAAACTTGAGCCCGAGTAAACCAAGGGCCACCACCCAAGCACAAGCTAACCTCGAGCCAAAGCCAAAGGTTATTTTTTTCCATTTTTGAGCATCATGGCCTCCGAAAAACAATGACCAGTTAGTAGGTACATAATTACATGCTCCACAATGAAGGAAAAATGTTACTTGCTCAATTGTATCACAAGCTATTGTCACACCTGCTCTCATGTTAACAAGACAAGTGACCAAACCATTGTAATAAAGAACTAAGAGAAATAAAAACTTTGCACGCCTGTTACATGCATTTACTAAAAAAAAAAAAGAACTGCTGGCATAAGCCTTCAGCCTTTGCCTAAAGAAGAGAATTAAAAAGACTGTCATATGGAGGACTGCTCTTTATGGAACCGAATTGTAGACCTTCAAGAAAGAGGATGTGTGAAGGATGGAGAGCTGTGAGATGTGGCTTTGGAGGAAGTTCTTAAACATTTATTGGTCTGACAAAGTCTGTAACAAAGAAGCATTGAGGCATGTTGGTGAGGAGAGGGCCATCATATATATTATTAACAGAAGACAGAGAGTCTGGCATGGTCATACCTTACGGCATGGGGATCTTGTCTCATTAGTTATTGAAAGGAAAATAATAGGAAAGAAGCCACTTGAAAGACCTTGAGCAGGAATGCTGAATAGAGTGAAGGATGGTGGCCCTTACATAGCATCAAGAGGCGCGCTTTAGATCAGAAAGTATAAAGAAGGGACTTGCCTGTGGGCAGAAAACACACACATACATGATGTCCTTCTTTCTTTGATTTTGAGCTAACATATCACACATTACCACAGGCAGCCCATGGTAAGAACAGGTTGGAAATTTTCAGACCCAGTCTCTCTGCAGCCTACTTCACATACATTCAGGCCTGAGTCACAAAGTGCTCTCCCGTCCCCAAGTGTTTGTTCGCAGCTGCTCTTTACATACTTCAATATCCATTAACTTTCCACACAAACTGACCTCTCTTAAGAACACACAACTAAAGGCATAGGTTCCATTTCGACGACACAAAAAATCATATCTATGGAAATTTCAGAAGATCAACAAGATTACCCTGCTTGGATGCTATGCCTTGGAACTTCTCTAAGGATTTAGATTCCACATGACAGCAGAAAATGAATACATCACATTCTTAAAATCTGAGAGCCATTTCAGCTCTAGAGAGTCAGGTTGTAAGCATGATGACAGAGAATACTACACTGTATCTACAGTGTAACACAAATTTGCCAGTTACTGAAAAAGCCAAGCTTACCATTTCACTAAGCATTTTGTTCTGATATTTTACTTCATGTCCAATGTCTATTGTAAGCTGCAACATAGAAAACAAGACAAACTAGCAATATTATACACTGACACACAATTCATGAACAAAAAAACAAATAAAATACACTTTATCTGAAAGTCAATGTATTTAGTACAAAAGTACTAGCTGGGGACACTATTTCTACATCTCCAACTGGAGACGGGACCGCCATTTTATGTTGTCATTCGAGCCATGCAAAGGTCAAGCTGTTTGCAGCACAGACGAGGGACCTTCATTTCTCAGTTATTTTAAGACCCCGAGTATTGGTCCGGCCCCGGGAATCAAACCCATGACCTCCCACTCTGCAGTCCACCACTCTACCGACAGAGCTAATCCTGCCGTGGATGTGAACAAACAGACAATTATCTTTGTTTACTTCCATCCTTCAATGGTAATTACTGTTTTCGTTAAATTACAAATAATATCACCCAATATAAACAAGTATAAAATCTGCACACTATTCTCTGTACATTTCTTTAGTTACTAGGAGAAATTGACTAATCATTTCATCTTTGGGGCATTTCCTTTTTTGTCACAGCTCTAAACTCAAGATTGATCTAGCAGTGCTGTTGTCAGGAGAATTCAGAGGTTAATGATCAAATCAGCATGAGCTAGACTACTTTACGTTGAGTAGGAGAGAGACACATTTTTTTTAATTCTCCCTCTAAATTCGAGATCGCTCTGAATCTCTCAACTTAAGAAAAAGTTTTCTTATTTTACGCAAAAATTTAGAACAAATCATAGGACAAGAACTCTTTTTTCTGTAAACAAAAAACAGGCAGTTTGAATTTACGAGAACTAAATCTTATTCTATAATCTGTTTTAAACTTTTTCTTAAAATAAGAAATCTTGAATTTAGAGTGTCTTGTACAAGTGGACACAAAAAGTAAGCTTAAGCTTATTTTATAATTACTAACACAAACAATCAAGAGGATAATTCAGCTGCTGAAACAGCAATTGAAACACAATTATAATTTGCACTAATAAATACACAAGCATACGCAAGCTTGTACAAAGAAATTTTTCTGTGATACCGATTTAAGTGCCTGAACTTTGCTTGACAAATGGTCGACTATTCGATCGTTTTCCTCTTCAAGCATTTGATGGTCTGTTCGTTGGCTCATGTTTCCTTGATAATCAGAAGCTGAAGCGAAAAAGAAAAACATAAAAAGCTAAAATAAGGTAAAGATAACGTTGAAAATTTAACTGAATTCACATACCACCATGGGCTCGTCTCATAGCGACAAAAATGCAAGAATTATGTGGTAAAACGAAAAATCCCTTGATGTATTTTTGAACGACGTGTCATCTACGATTTTTTTTCGGGTGACAATTTTCCACGGGCGTAGAGGGAGGGTGAGTTTTCGTTACTCAATTAACTAGTCAGCGGTGTCTTTCAAAGCTGTGGTAGATACTTGATGTATTGGAATATATATTGTATTGATTCCAAGTGACGGGGATGATTGATAGGGGCCGGAATTCAAAACCAAAAAAAAAAAAATGCTTCGATTATGGGGAATGTTTTGCCTCCCAATAACAGTGTTGTCCACAAGTCACAAGTACAGTAGTTGGATGTAACTAATTTTATTCACGATTCACTCTCACTTAGTTTCACCGCAATCACGATGTCTCTAAAAACTAAAAAGCATTTTTCTTTGTTCTATTTTAACGCAGCCGCGAATTCCGAATCGCGAATCTATGCTATAACCCGGTATTTGCCGAAAAGAAATAACAGTAATAACAGTGGTTTGTAGATTCTATTTTGATATTGAAGTTATTAGGATCATTGTATTTGTCACGCATTCTCTTGTAATCAAAAATATCCGATACGACAGAGCATCATTTTTTTTAGACCCACCCCTCGAGTCCTGCAATTGAAGCATAGTACAAACCAGGTCAACCAATCGGCGCTTTAGTTTCGACATTGTCGAATGAGGGGGAAGGGAGGAGGGGCTAATTCGAAATTATGAGCACTTTTAAATGTTTTAGTTCTTGGAAGGGCTTGCTTCTGCTAGAGAGTGCTTGCAATAAGAAATCATATCAAAGAACATGAAAGACGAAATTCTATCAGTGTTTTAGTCTTGGCTGATGTCGATATGGTGTTAGTTTTGTTGTTGTGCTTTGATGAGACTGGGAAATAAGGCAAATTTTGGAGCACCACATATTGGTTGGTGTGATGTCTTAGCGATTTTTACGGACTTAATATAGGTAGAAGTAGATTTAGATGATGTAGATAATAATTTGAATCGATGGAAAATCATGTCTGTTTTACCTTAGGTTTCTACTTTAAAATCAGTAACAATCAATTCAACAAACTACTAAACAAAACACCACAAATTTTGTTTTTCCAACACCCCCGGCCACTCTAAAGATCCGCAGACTTTCATGTTTAACTCTCAATCATGAGCAATACGAGCGAACTTAACTTTCTATGCGATTTTACGCTCTTCACTTAGGGGCCGACCATTTAACTCTTGAGGGGAGGGGGCTGGTGATTCTGGTTATCAAGAAATTTTTTTTAGCAATCTGGTGGGCAGGATATTTTCCCCCTTTTTTTTTGCCATAAGCTTTCTATTACTTTTTGTGCTGCATGCAATTTTTTTTCTTCTGACAAGCGCTTGCAGGCATTTTTTTTTTTCAAAATCACCCACCCCCCTCAAGAGTTAAATGGTCGGCCCCTTACATGACCCCTTACATAAAAATGAGAAAAAATAAATAATCCTGACCAACTTCCAAACATGCTGATAAACAAAATATAATAGAAACTGCCGGGTTTAATTTACTATGACCTTCAACGATCCATGAACGCAATGTCTGGATTCAGAGCTTTCTACTGTAAAGGGGACTCCAAAGAAAGTAATGGGGATTTTTCCTCTATTGTGTTCAAAAATGGGCTGAGCTGTATGAGCAAATTAAGAGACAATCAAGGAGCCACTTCAAGCAAATAACCACAATAATTTGGTATGGAGACAGTTTACGAAGGATATGAAAACATGAAGATAATTATCTTTACGTCGAATTCAAAGAAAGATATCTGTCGATCAAATCAGTTAGGGCCTCTTCATATGAGCCCGGTTGACCGGGCTGGCTCGGTTACCGGGATGAATTTTGCTTTGGGTTCATATGAGAAATTTCAGCCCGGTTTCCGAGATGAGAAAAGGTCAAAGATCCTGGGAACGAGTTCTGGCGCCAAATTCGGGAAACAAAGCAAACATGGCGAAACACAAAAATTTTAACTTTAGGGCCTATCTTACCATCGGTAACTCTTAAAGCTGTATCAAAGCAGTTAAATGGGATGCTTATGATGTGGAAAATGCAGCAGGCAATGCAAGACGATGCCATCCGGACCACCAGAATTCATCTCGCCATTCATCCCGGTAACCGGGATGAAGTGTTCATATGGCAAAATTTTCAGCCCGCTTACCGAGATCTCGGTTGGAAAAACCGAGATCTCGGGAACCGAGCCAGCCCGCCCTCTCATATGAACACATTGAAAATTTTACAAAGGATTTAGAGGTGAGGCGAGATCTCGGAAATCGGGCCAGCCCGGTCAACCGGGCTCATATGAAGAGGCCCTTAGACTTTCTGCGTCTCCTTTATGGACTGCAAAACAGTAATTCTCCGAAAAGCGAACATTGTCAAAATTTCCTTGAAGAAATGCAATCCCTTTTTCCCTTACTTCATCCACGGAAGACTTCATAATTGTCGCTTGAAAACCTTGATCTCGCCCGTCTGGTTTTCCGCCAGATTGCGAAAAAGGGCCATAAATAAGGTCAAAAAGTCGACCGGAAGCGTCCCTAGAGGAAGCTCGATCATTTAACCGGAAGTCCCTCTTCATTTTACCAAACTACCGCTGACTAATTAATTGAGTAACGAAAACTCACCCTCCCTCTACGCCCGTGGAAAATTGTCACCCATTTTTTTCAGCCACTTTGAATATGTTATTCATGTACCCTGAAACGAAGTGTCATCATGCTATAGTACATTTATCGATACATAAATCACGCACTCATGGTTTGAAGCATACCGCTGACTACACCCGTGAAAGAACAACATCATCAAGTCACAGATAATCGTCATTTTCTCAGGGTTGACTTCACGGATTTCAATATTCTCGACTAAAATTTACATTTATGACTGCAAAATGGCTGCGCTGAAGACTTCCCTATCTTGTATACCGGTGTCAGGTGCGTAATTAAGGTTTCATCTTTTTCGATCGCAAAATAATAATTTGTTCACGTGCGAACAAAAATTTAGGTCTCTTCGTATGGCAAAGGTTTCTCTAGTCTTTTAGTTGTCTTAATAACCGAGTTATATAAATAGATGTGGCATTTGGCTATTCGAAAACGTTGAACGCTTTTATAGCTCGGGGAGACAGAGGAATATTGTGACGTAATTCAGTAGGTGTGTGGTGGGCGGGTGCTTACTGGTGGCCTTTGTTATGTATAAATATGTCAGATATGTGTACGTAATAGTGCTATTTTATCCTTGGTTCAAAATTGATTTTCCTTTATTTTAATCTCACATGCATTACCATGCACAAAAACAAAGGAAAATAAAACTCAAACCAAGGATGTAACTGAACCACAACGTATATTATGAAAAGTTATACACTATTCAGGGAAAATTCTCACTAACTCTGTAGCGCAGTGACATATATAACTTATTGCATGGCTGTTTTAGCAAGTAGGCAAAATAAACCAATTCCTGTGTTTACTTGATGGATAAGATGAGCCTTTCTTGCTTGCTCGCTTTATTGCAACAAGAAAAAGAGTCCCAGTCTGGCTGCATATTGAATCCCTTATTGACCAAGCTTGATTGGTAAGGATGAAAACCTTTTGAAATCTTTTGAATAATGCAAGTCAGCAGAATTTCTTTGGCACTCACCGTACAGAATTCATCAGATTTTTTCAGGAAATGTGGATATGAAAATCATGCACATGCATTTTCTGGAAAAGGCGGCAGGTTTATATTGATTATTGTAGACGCATAATTTTACCCTTTTACAAGGCAATTTTTATAATTAAAAATCTTAGGTATTGTCTTGTTGAATATCAATCCTCACATGGGGCATATGACATAATTAGTAAGAAATGGAGGACTATACCTTGTAAAAGCCTGCAAATGTTTGTACTGTCCTTATCCCATATTGTGTGATTGTTCATAAAATTTATAAAATTTGTGTTTTTAAAGTGAATTTAAATATTGATTCATTCAAAATAATTGAACAAAAAACACAAGTTGTATTCAAGAGAAAACGTTAATAGAAGTCTGTTTAATTTCCATTTGAAAGCCACCAAAGCACTTCTCTCAAGATGTCCAGGAGTTCATGTCTCTGTTCGTAATGCAAGTAAGGTACAGGCAGCTTTGTGTAACATCCTGGATACTCAAATCAATGACATAAAACAGGCTGGTACATGGAAAGATGAAAGAGTCATTTTCACAAGACAAGCTTCAGAGATTGGAGTTATAGGAAGGAACGATAAGCTACTTAACTTCTGCGCCAACAACTATCTGGGACTGTCGGTGAGTTAAAAAAATAATAGTAAACAAACAGAAGTTTTTTTAAGGAAAAAATGTGTTCCTACTCAGTTCATATGCGGTGAGCCTATATATTGAAACAAATTGGAGGCCTAGGTGGACAAATAAGTTTGTATAAATAGAGGATATTACACGGTGGTGCGAAGATATGACTTTTATTTTCGAGTGGCAAAACAATATTTTACGAACGAGCACAGCGAGTGAGTAAAATATTGTTTTTGCCACGAGAAAATAAAATTCATATCTTCAAGCCGCCGTGTAATGTTCTTTTTATTATATAGACAAAATGACATTGATAAAATAATAGAGGGAAATTACCAAAATTACGTCATCAATAAACTCACGTGTGAGATTATGGAAAATAAACCACTCGGGTCCCGGATGTAGTTTTTATGAATTTTACGAGTGGTATATTTTCCAGTAAAACACTCATGTCTATATAATAAAACACAGTATTTTGTCAACCATGTGTTGAGTTGGTACCTTTATTGTTAGGGATGCAGGAAGGGTCTGAAAGCAAATTAGCCCCCCTTTTGAATAAGTACCCTCCCCTACCGGTAACACTTTCTTAAACAGAGTAAGGATACCATAAGGAAAGCCTCTTACTTTACATTTAATGTATGACCAAATTAGCTTCAATACTTTCCTCACCAGCTAGAAAACAGTTTTCTCTCCTTTTAATGCAGTTCCAGTTATTGCTTCAGTGTAAGATTACCATTTTTAGATTCAGTGTATAGAGTGTGGAATAATGTTCCCTAAGTGTCTTTATTACATAAATGAGCTTCTTTTGCACTAATTTGTAATAATTTTAAATAAGTGCCCCTCTGGCTCAAGGACAACCTTTTTCAAGGAAATGCAGTACAGCCAGTTGTGATGTTGCTATCAAACTTTTGGTTTTATCGTTTTTAAAAATTGTTTTAGTCCCACCCAGAAGTTATTGAAGCTGCCAAAAATGCATTGGAAAAATATGGTAATGGACTGAGCTCTGTACGGTTCATATGCGGAACACAGGTAGTGTTTTTTTTTTTAATTACTGGTAGCCTAACACTGCATTAAGCTTAAAGTATACACTTGAAGAAAAAAAAAAACAATGCCTGCTCCCATCAAGGGAAATGTTTTGTTTTCCCAAGATTCTTAATATTCACTGGGGAAATCATTAAGATTAGGAAAAAGAAAACACTAAATTGAGTTTTTTTGGTCATAGAACAAAATCATTTGTTAGTGACTGGCTAATTCATTACAAGATTTGCCCAACATTGCCAAAGCCAGTTTTTTAGATCCCAATGGTTTTTTTGTCAGTTTTCATGCAGTATTTATAAAACTTCACATTTTCTTGCTGGAGGCCTGACATTATGAATAGAGGTGACAACTCACAACGCGGACTGCATATGGCCAAAATTTCTGTCACTTTTGTGATTTCCCAAAAGTGAATTTAAAATTATATCCTGTGCATGATGTATTAATTCATCAGTATAATTGCCTTCAGGGAATACAGTTGAATAAAGTTTCTTTCACTTGACCTTGAAACAGCCAATAACTAATGGAAGTAAGCAATTTATAAGACATCAAAAAGTTGTATAAAAATGTACATTAGTAATGTACAAGAATAGGCAGAGAGAACTTCCCATTTTAAAACAAATAAACACATTTATGTAACTCAGATTGTCTCATATTTAAAGTTAAAGGGGAAAAACTTGTCTGAGGGATGTGAAACTACTCATCATGTCACAAAAATGAACAAAGGGGTGAAATGGAATGTCCATTGAGCATTTTATTTCTTTCCGCAGGATATTCACAAAGAGCTTGAGGAAAAGATATCAAGATTTCACGAGCGTGAGGATGCAATACTCTATGCCTGTTGTTTTGATGCAAATGCTGGTTTATTTGAGGTTCTGTTAGGTCCAGATGATGCTGTCTTGAGTGATGAACTTAATCATGCCTCTATTATTGATGGAATACGCCTCTGTAAAGCCAAGAAATTCAAATACAAGAATAAGGATATGGCAGGTAGCTGACAAGAATAGCTGGAAAAGTGTTATTGTGCATGTCTATATAAAGTTGTGTGTGGCGTAATAAAATTATCAGTTTGTAGTCTCTTCCCAGGAAAGGCAATACTCAATTAACTCAATCTGTTAAAAGAACTACCAAAAACTCAATTTTTGAAAAAAGTTTGCAACGGAAAGTTTGTTCCTGCCCAAAGTATTTTTACTGGAAATACTGTCAGCTGCATCTACAGATAAGTGTGTACACGTAAGGAAAAAAATGTTCTTATCGGGTGCAACCGTCGACATGTTTTGCCACCAAACATTCAAAGTTTTGAGTAGGGGCTGTTGTCAACTTGATTTGCTTCCACTCAACAAAATATTCTTTACAAGAATTTTAGACATTAAGGATAATTACTGGGGGCAAGTGTGCTGTTTCTGAACGTGAAATATGCCTGAAAGTTGCGAAAATGAAATATGAGCGGAAGGCGCTGATCAAAAACATATAAACAAGTTTTGCTTTAATGGCTGTCACTGTATTAGAACTTTTTTTTTGTCTTGTGTCCATGCTTAGATGCAACCGACAGTATACAGTATGGTCTTAGCTACCAACAAGTCACTATTTATGAGAGACCTGTTGCTGTCAGATACCAAATCAGTAATTGATATAGAATTGTCCAAAGTAATCCTGCATGTTTCTTCTCATTTCAGACCATTTTTCTAGCCACAATTCTTTTTTTAATATGCAGTTTTTTCAAGCTGTTGTTACTTTGTATAAATAATTATTATGGCAGAAGTGGAAAAAATTATTGCATTCTTATGTCTCTCTCTGGCTCTTGTTCTCACCTCTTAAAAAGCTTCTTGTCTGCCCATTTCTACCAATGTAGTTCTTGTTTGTTTTTGAATCACCAGACTAAGTCTGATTTGCTTGATTTACCAGTGTGTTATATTCATTGTATCCATCATTAGACCTTGAAGAAAAGCTCAAAGAAGCTGAAGGAGCTCGTCTAAAATTGATAGTCACTGATGGTGTTTTTAGCATGGATGGAAAAGTGGCTCCCCTGAAGTAGGTGAAAAAAATAATGAAAAAAGTAAACCACTCAAAAATGGCATTAAAGGGAGGAAGCCAAGGAAAATGGGACAGGAGGCAGGAGGTTTGGACCCTCCTGTCCCTCCCCTTATTAGTATATTCTCTGCCGATTTCCTGGCTCAAAAGAACCTGCATGGATTGTATCAATAGGGCTTGCTAATAGTACAATAGTTTACTTTCTGATCAGACCTGCTGAGTAACTGATCAGACCATTGTTCAGACATATAAGGCCAGGGCTCAAAACCAAAAATATCAATATTTAACAATTATTCCTCGAGCCTTTGAAGGCGAGGGGAATAATCGTTTTAGTAAAATCCAACTAGTTGTTCAAAAATATCCAGACAAAACAACTTTGGCTAGCAAAATGCGATTCAGCAGCCATTATTTTGGTTTTCAAAGCTGGCGCTTTTTGCTACTAGTGGGCTATAACATATAGCCTGGTAGTAGCTCAACCAATCAGAACGCACCATTGATAATAGACCACTAGTTGGATTTTACTAAATATATATAGCCTTTTTATTATTATTTTTGCCTGCCAGGCCTAAAATTTGGCCTGCCATTTTTGGATTGGCAGGCAGCTATTTCGAGCCCGGAAGATTACAGGGCAAAAAATCCATGACCCTGAGATGGAAAGAAAGAAACAAAAGTTAGACTCTCTGTGAGCACTTTATTCCAAACATTTTATACCGGTTAAAACTAACTTTCAGTTCTTCATCTATAGTGGGATCTGTGATCTAGCAGAAAAATATGGAGCACTTACATTCATAGATGAGTGTCATGCTACAGGATTCCTAGGTGAAACTGGAAGGTACAGTGTGCAAATCCTTTTAATTAAAGACAACTGTTTATTATAGTTGGTGTCACTAAAACGAGCCATAACAGTGAATCTACAGGGATTTTCTTCAGTCTACAGATGTCCACCTAAAGGGAATTCACCTTGTAGGGGTGCTCTCCTTGTAGGGCTGTCCATTACATTACAGGAGTGTCCTCATTACATGAGGGGATGTCACCTTTGTGAGTGTCCCACTTACAGGGGTGGCAAGTGTTAAAATCGGACAATTGCTGAGAGCTTTGTTTAAGATGGGAAGAAAACAAAATGGACATTTTTGATAAGACACATCAAAGTTGCTTCAGAGATTTCAAGGTTAGATCAAAATTTTGTAAGACAAAAGATTTTCTAGATAGGTACCATTCGCCAGCTCTACTTTCTGGGTGTAAATCTTGCAGGGGAGTTCTCTCATATTATACTAGACTGCGGGCAGTCTCTCTTTTTCTTTAGATTTAGTAAGGAGAGTGCACGCGCACGCGAGCGTTGAGTGGCGAAGCCTCAAGACGCGAGAAACAAGGGCGGCGCCTTCAGTCACGCGCGTGGTCATTTGCGTGTCTCGGGGGTTTTGCTCGACGGACCAAGAAAAAAGAGAGACTGCTCGTAGTCTAATAATAAACAGAAGCTGACAAAGTAAAATTAACACTTACCTGTTATGAATCATTTGAAAATTATGTTAATTGAACTTTATGAGTTTCAAAAGTCAGTCTTGAGTTTTCATTTGGATCTTGAGTTTTCATTTGTTTATCCATAAGATTTACTGAAAATGATTTATATTTTTTAGAGGAACAGAGGACTATTTGAACTGCAAAGGTCGTGTAGATATCATCAATTCTACTCTTGGAAAAGCGTTGGGTGGTTCTGCAGGTGATCATGCATTAATGCTCTTCTTACCTGGGGCATACGTCGTATAATGGCCTATACGGATAGGCTCCGCCCGATAGGGGTACCTTTTTCAGAGTTCGGGTATATGAAAGGGTAGGGAGTTCACCAGCTGAAGTACATGAAACGGTAGGGAAAATAATGTCATTTTGGTCGGTAAAAAGGCGCAATAAGGCTAACAGATACATTTTATGGCTGTGAAAAAGTCGAGAAAATGTCCTGGTTTTGTGATTTATTTATGTGTTTAAGACAGTACATTTACATTGGTTAAAAGGGATGCAAAGTTCTAAACTAGGCATGGAAAAGAGGCACCATTTGTCGTTAGAAGGTATAAGAAAGGGCAACTTTTTCTGTCAAAAATGGTATATAAAATGGTGAGGGTTTGTTCCTCGGGGCATAGCCTTAACTCCGTTAAGTACCCACCCCGGGCCTCCTTGACTGTGATTTATTAAAACACCAAATGTCATTTAATAATTTCATTTTTGTGTTTGTACTGTCTTTAGGTGGTTACACCACAGGACCAAAACAGCTTATCCAGATGCTTCGTCAGAAATCCCGTCCTTATCTGTTCTCTAACACCCTTCCCCCTGCTGTAGTGGGTGGCGCCATCAAGGTTAGATGCATGGTAGCCTACGGGCAGGCTCTCCGAGGCGCTCTGGCGGCGGGGCGGGAAAAGAAAGGAGAGCTTGCAACTACGTCTCTGGAATTTGAATTCCACCTCCAATTCCCCTGTAGCTCCCCGTCGACTGAGCTTTCACTAGAGATTTCCGCCAATCAGTGAGAAGTTGAAACGAGTGCGAATGTAAACAAACATTGAAAGACACGTACCAAGGGTAATGACGTCATTACTAATGTCATTTCCACCAATCAGCATTTCGCTTGGACTTTTTCGATGCAGATGTTCAAATTCCAGAGACGTAGTTGCAAGCTCTCCTTCCTTTTCCCGCCCCGCCGCGCCATGGAGGGCTTGCTCGCAGGCTAGATGCATGGTCAACAAAGCGTCGAAAAGTGAATCCGCTTGCGTCTGGAGCTAAAACATACCTCAATAGGGAGCTTACAAAACTAAATTGGTCAAGGATATTGACAAAAAGTGTAAAAAAGCACGAAAACAGCACATCTGCACGTGCATCACACTCACTGGCTTTTTACTGCTCTCTTTCACAACTATGATGTAACATTTCCACTTGTGGGACGTGCATTTGTATAGGATTATCAATGTGAACGTGTAACATCAAAATTTTCTTAGTCCTCTTGAACTTGGATGTGGTTTTAGAGAATTTACCTCCTAGAAATTTGCTTACATTGACAATGTCATTTAGTGCCTCCAATTCTTGTGTCTTGGAAAGAAAATAGTAGACAACTTTAAAACTCTTACCAGGAGTCATCATGGGCTCTGGCTCTTATGAAATGTCACTGTTCCCGTAAAAGTTCGAACTTCGCATTGTTAGCTAGAGTAAGGACCACCAGACGAATCAGTATTTGGCGTAGTTTTAGCAACGGCATTAACTTGCCACTTCTTTTGCAAAATTGGTGCAAAACGAATTGAAAAGAAATGTCTGCGATGATGCGCGCTTACTCCCCAGGAATTAAGACGTCTTGCAATAAGTGGGGTTTTGCAAGTTGCGAAAAGTTGCTGCAAAAAGAAGAGAGTAGTTGCGCTTTTTGTAACAAAAACATGTTCCGCGTTTTACTGCCCCAAGGCAAACGCAACTATACTTCCACGTATGGCATCACTGCCAAGTAATTTTATCCAATCAGAAGAAGGCATTCACCCAACAACCTGATTAGTTGCAAGACAGGTTTACGCAAAACAACGATTTTCAACTCGTTTGCACCAGTATCGCAGAACAAGTTGTACGTTTTTGTCCCTCGTTTTACCGCAGCTTCAGGAGAACAGAGCTCTACGATTGGCATGACACGCTACTTCTGTTCTTGACCATTTTCTTCTCTCCTCTGAAAAACTTTCTAACTTTCTAAAAGTGTCTTTGTTCTGAATATTGCTTTTCTGTACTGATCCGCCAGGTTTTTGATCTGTTAATGAATGGCTCTGACCTGATTAAAAAGGTGCAGGAAAATACAACCTTGTTCAGATCACGGATGACAGCTGCCGGATTTGATGTAATCGTGAGTATAATTATTTAATAAATATTAAGAGCTTCAAATATACATTTCATATCTGGTATACAGTGAACTAAACGTACAAAATAATTTCGTGAAGATTATAGCAAATAGTAAAGCAAATAATCAAGGAAGTCAAGACCAGACCTGGTTATCAAAAAATTACTTTGATGTCTGAATTTCACTGACAAAAAGACATGACTGAAGCCAAGATATAATATAACCAAAAACATTTAGAAACACTGAAATATCTCAGTCAGCCTGTTGCAGGGACAAAATTTATATGGCGTAGACTATTCTTTATTAAACCATAAAATCTTTCTCCACATCATTGGAATCTGTACTGTGTACAACAAGCTGAACACACTGGCAGCACGACCAGCACCGCCGCCAAAATTTTCTCCAAACTCGCGTAGGTGAGCCTGCTCGCAGCCTATATCCCCTTCCACTCACCGCCGTTTAAGTGGCCAAAATTAAGACTCACCAGAAATCCCAGGCTTCATTTCATAAAATATTGAGAAGCGAACAGCGCCATGTGGAAGTACCGTATTTATTCGATTAACCGCCCTGGGCCCTTATTAAATTTTTTAGCCTGAGTATCAGGCCTTCCTACGGGGCAAGGGGAGAGGAGATTTTAGATGGGGGAGGGGGGAGGGGGAGAAGAATCATGGTATCGAATCATGCTGTGTGAGGGTGGAAGGCTCCAGTAAAAGCATCTGTGTCAGGCGTTTCTTTCCTTCACCTCTCTTCCTTTTTCGCTTCCATTTTTCCCCTTTTCCCCAGAAACGCCTGATACTCAGGCTATAAATTTTTGGACCTTGAGAGTGGGCGCTTATTCGAGGTGGACGCTTATTCGAGGCTGTGCGCTTATTAAATTTTCAACACTTCAGCAAGTGCAGTATGTTTATTTTGCAACAAACAATAAATAGTAAAAACAAAACGCGAAGATGTAACAAAGCAAGGTTTGTGTAAAATACTCTGAAGAAAACTCCGTCTTCGGGGAAGTCTCCAAGTGTCTTATTAGTACTTATTCAATTTTTGGGGGGTGTGAGGGGCAAGGGGGTAGGCTGGGGTGGGCGCTTATTCGAGGGTGGGCGCTTATTCGAGGCTGGGCGCTTATTAACTTTTTCTGCCTTTAGGATGGGCGCTTATTCGAGGTTGGGCGCTTATTCGAATAAATACGGTACTACTGATAAGGTTTCATTTGAACGGTCTCGCTATAGGATTTCATTAAGGGACTCAAAAGTTAGAACTATGTACTAAATAAATCCACAGACTCGAAAGTCACAACTATCCTCTACAGCATAAGAAACAGAACTACAGCAACAGCAATACTGCTAAGTAGCTTTTCTTGAAATAGTCAAACATCAACAGATAATAACTTCCCTCTAAAGGTGATGTTACACGGAACGATTCGCAGCGACGATTTTTAGCGCAACACAGCGAAACAGTCGAAACAATGTCGCAACGACGATGCAACGCTGTGTTGCGCTAAAAATCGTCGTTGCGAATCGTCTCGTGTGACATCACCTGAAAGAGTGTTGACATGCTTGACAGAGATGCCATTTAGTGCTTGATATGATGCACAAATTGTACGTTGTCCTGTTTACTCTGATATTGTAGGGTGATGGTCACCCTATCACACCAGTCATGTTAGGAGATGCACGCCTCGCTGTTGAATTTGCTGATGAGATGTTAGGTATGTGCTAATAAAGGGAATGAAACTTATGTATGGCTTGTCCATTATCAACTACATTATCAACCTCCTCGTCCGATTCGACCTCAATATAGATCGTTTTCATTGTCACGCAACAAAAAAAATTGGAAACCGTCCAGTGGAAGAAGCCTGGAAAATGAAATATTATAAAGGACTAATTTTTAAACAAATTGTCCAAATCTCAGGTCTTTGTGGCCTGCAGTTTCTGAGTTATTTACTGAAACGTTTCACGCACCTTTCTAGAGCTTTGTATGGAGACACCATATTGGTGCACCGTTTTGGCGCACCAATATGGCTGCCGGAAATCAATAAAAACATCTGAAGTTCACTTGTCCTATAAAAGCTCTTTTTTTTTTCACTCGATAACTAGCATACGTGCGCATAAACATATCTTCTAATACTTGAAATGGTTATACTGCTGAAAATCAAGAGGAGAGACTCTTTTTCAACAAGACAGCATTCCTATTTTGGTGTCACGCACTGTGAAAACTCGGAAGTTCAAATTGCTGTACTTTCGAAATGAAACATGCTACATGGAAACTTGTACAAAGAGTTACTTTTTGTTTATCTTCAACCTAGTGTAAATAAGAATTCGTAAATCCTCGCTATTTTGACTTTACAATTTGATGACGTCACTGTGAAAACCATCTATAGTCATGCCGTTGCTAAATGACCTTTTTGACACACTGTCTGACCGCAGAATGCACTACACAACTCAGAGTATACAAGGAAGATGGCACTGCTCTTGTTGTGCCTGAGAAATCGCATGCAATAAATTCTCTTCCGGGAAATTCTCTTCAAATAGTTAGACACTAGACGTGCAAGACCCGTTCCCGGCAGAGACCCTTTGTGGTTTGCTTTGCGTAAGCGAAAACTAACCTGAGTGATCGCAGGTTCGACTGTTTTCTCCTTTCTCTCTTTTTAGTTTTATGCCTTTTTTGTTGGTTTTGAACTTGCAATATCATTTGTTTTTTTACTGTGGAATGTTAAGCTCAGATAACAGAACCCCGCTAGTCGACAGAACGTGATTTCATAGGTTTGACTTATTCTTGGACTTATTCCCAGTGCCGGAGGTACTCAAGGCCTAAAAAATAAGTGAGGAAGAATTGTCCAGCAAACTGCATGAGAAAGCTTTGTTTTTTCGAACTCAAAACAGTACCGGGAAGAGCACAGGTTGAGGCGCACACTCTCCACTGTATTTTATGCTTTTCACATGCAATATCTTAGTTTGTTTTGTCTTTTCTTCAGAACGTGGGATCTATGTGATTGGTTTTACCTTCCCTGTTGTTCCTCAAGGTGAGAATTTTTAATACGTTGCTACATGAGGCACGTTTTATAGATGGTCTTGAAGGGTACTCTCTCGGGATCCGGGATTGACCGAAACTATAGTGCGGGATTCAGGAAATCGAAAAATACGGGATTTGACCGCTACTCGGGAGGCGGGATTCGTGAAAATCTGGGAACGGGATGCGATATCGGGAAGGAAAAAGGTATTCGGGATGGAGATGACAGAACTGAGTTCGGGATGCGGGATTATCGTGAAAAAGGAGCGAGAGTGCCGGATCAGGGGCCCGTTTCTCGAAAGTCCCGATAATTAACGGGCCCGGTAAGCTGTCTCCGTTTACAGTAAAGATCGAGGTTTCAATAGTTTTGCATCTAACGTGATCAAACTGTCAGTTAATGAAACTAAATGGAGTAGTTTGCTAGCCAGGACCCGCGCTCTTATTCTTTATATTTCGATTTGAATATTTGATTTCGGGCCCGTAAAGTTACCGGGACTTTCGAGAAACGGGCCCCAGGCCCCCTCGCCCAGACCCTGTTTATATGGTCTAAGTTGCTAACGAACTCCCTCTCCTTTCTTTTTTTAATTCAACAACCAGGCTTATAGATAATTTCCCCTGAAAAAACAAAGAACGCTAAGTGTGCGGCTTAAATTCTTATAATTCGCAGAGAAACTTGAGTCTTTCTATTGCAGATATAGGATCGATACTTAACTAAGAGTCAATTATTCAAACGTGTACTAGTAGGTCGTTTTTCTAAGTGGAGTAAAGTGGTTTTTAACTTTTTTAAGTCTTTCGTTTTATCTGCACTTTATTCCTTCTTGATCTTGTAGATAGAATTTAAACCCAAGGGGAGTATTGCATTGCTACTCGACATCGTATTTTACGACATGATCTTTTTTTAATGCAGGAAAGGCCAGAATACGTGTCCAGATTTCTGCAGCTCACAGCACAGAAGAAATTGAACGTTGTGTTGAAGCCTTTATTGATGTTGGGAAAAAGAAAGGAGTGATTTAATTCTGAGATATTTTCGTAATCATAGTAAATTATTTTTAATGCAAAAAAGGATACTTTTGTACCCTTTCAATAACGTATAGTTTTGTGGACTATTTATTTTTAGTAGAAACTCCAAACGTTTACTGGAACAAATTCAGCGGAAATAATTCAAAAGCGCGGAATAAAATATGCAATGCTAATTACCGTCCGACATACCTTGCTTGATTTTTTTGCCACCCATTTCCGCAAAAAAACACCAAATGTTACTTTGACAAGTAAAAACCGAGCAAGAAGCGTTCTACATGATAAAACTGAACACTTATTTATTTACAGCTGCCGTAGCTATGTCATATTTAACAGTTTTTGCCGTCAAAGTTTCGCTGGTGGTTAAACGGACGTGGTTTGCTGTTCATAGTTCATAAATGTGTGTATTTTTAACTGAGAATGCCGTAAACTGCCGCTATAAGCCACCTCCCAGTTATACGCCAAAAAACCTGTAAACAAACTCGATTTAATTATTATGACGTCTGAAAGCTGCTATAGCATATTTCGCCGCGCTTTTTCTATTCCGGTGATAAGCCCTGTTGGATATAAGCCCTCCTAAGAATCTTCACAAAGATGTATAAGCCCAGGGGTTTACGCACGATATGTGAATCGTAACGCAATATAGTAGGAGATACTTAACAATTATTCCTCGAGCCCGAATGGGCTCTGAGTCAATAGCCCCATGAGGCCGAAGGCCGAATGGGCTATTACCTCAGAGGCCATGGGGGCGAGAGGAATAATTATTATAGTAAAATCCAACTAGTTGGTCAAAAACATCAAGACAAAACAACTTAAAGGAAGACTGTAATCCTGTTTTGCCGCCAAAAATCTGGCGCTTTTCGCTACTAGTGGACTATAACATATAGCCTTGTAGTAGCTCAACCAATCAGAACGCAGCATTGATAATAGACCACTAGTTGGATTTTACTAATAACTGATATAATAGTGTAGTATTATAATTAAGGGACCTGGGTTTTATAATGAAACTGGTATTCTGTCCAAAAAAAAAATTGGTTTATTGGTGTTGCTTTTGATGAGGAACCTTGATCTGAAGAAAAATTGGATCCGCCCCTGAATTCTTGTTGAGTTTAGAGCGGTTTTACTTGACTGTCGAATTGGGGGGTTATTTTGGTTTTGGTTTGTCCACGTCCTTTGGTTGGCTTTTGTAGGAACTTTGATTTTGGTTTTTCGACAGTCTATTCTTGTTAAGTTTTTTGGCTAACCTTACTTTCAGCCTTCTTCTTCTCGACGGGGATTAAGCCTCTCTGTGAACTCCAGTTTGAGTCATTCGAATTGCGTACTCCACACAGGAGTGGAACCTATGACCTGGTGACTCAACCAGATGCTCTACCACTTAGCTACAAGACACTCGTGGGAGATAAGGCCACTAAACTAGGTTCATGTGAACCAAAATCGTTTCTTAAAAATCCAACACCATTCCCTGGTTTAGATGGTGTGGATATTAAAAAAGAACATGAACTTCAGTCTTAAAATGTTGACTTTGTTCATACTACTGTTGTAGTTCAAGTTGTTTTCTCAAAACTCTGAAGTCAGTTTTATGATCAATATACGGCTATTTCGAGGAAGGTTGTCGGGAAAAATGTGCATATCCTCCATAAAGGTGATGTTACACTGGACGATTCGCAACGACGATTTTTAGCGTAACACCGCTTTGCAATGTTGGAACAATGTTGTACCTATTCGAAACAATGTTGCAAGAGTGTGTTGCGCTAAAACTGTGATCGTCGTTGCGAATCGCCGCGTGTAACATCACCTTAAAACGTGAAATTAGGCACTTTCATGCACGTCGTAGTCGCGCAGTGACGGCAAAGAAATGTACAAAAAAGCGTGATGGATGTGCAGAGTTGTTGTTTTGCCAAGCTAAACCAAGCTAAACTCATTCCTTTTTTGCCGTTCTCGTTGACGTCGCTACCCTGGCTCCAGAGGTCCGTTCTTGAAAAACCTTCTCTTGGCGCTTCGCGCCTCGCTGTCGCAGCCTATCAAGAATTAGGCCCTGTTAAAGGGGGGAGGGTAGGCCTGGTGCTGGGGTTAGACTCGCGGACGGGGTTACCCTTCCACTCGCATATTTCTTCCTTTTTCATATGACGCGTTTACAAGGCAGGTAGGGTTACCTTAGTGCTAGGGTTACCCTAGCGAGAGGGTTACCCTACCTGCCTTGTAAACGCTCAGCTAGGGATAACTCGCCTACCCGGGTCAACTTTTCGCCGTCATGCGTGACCAGTAATCATGCCAATTTAAACGGTATTATCCAATTTCTGAGCTTAATTATAAACATCGGGAAAATAAAAAGTTACTTTCTGTGTACGATGATAATATTTTCCCCCTTTTTCGTGAATTAACGTGTTTTCTGTAGAGAACTTCAAGGTTATTTCAAATTTTGGACCCTTACGAAGAATGTCAGGCATGAGGAAACACGTCAGTAAAGCTGGTAAAGTTGACCCGGGTGATAGGGTTACCCTACCTGTGAAATTTGCTCGTAAACCACAGCTAACTTTAACCCGCTCGCTGCGGTAACCCTAGCACAAGGGTAACCCTCTCTCCCTGTAAACAGGCCCTTAGATTAGAAAAAATTTAACTCTGGAACCAGAGTATGACGTCACCGTCGACGTCGCTTAAGCTTCCTATATCAGGCATTAGGAAAGAACCAAAAAACCTCTGGCGGCCAGGGTACATCCTTTCGGCTTATTTTTCATATGTTTTTGCTGGCTTTTCAGTTAGACCTTAAAGGTCAAATGAACCAAAAATTCGACATTTTTTATTTTAGTTCAATTCTAGTGAAATATGTTTAATATGAACCGAATAAACATACTACGAAGTTTCAGCTCAATTGAAGTAAGCATTTCCGAGATATTCGCAATTAAAAATTGTTATTTTTTGGCCCTTATGGCCCAGTCTGAATTTCAGCCGTCTTCTTGAGTCAAGGGAGATTGCAACTCGAGGGGACGGAAAATACTTTGAAAAACTGGCATACATTTGAACACATGGAATTTCTGGGAATTTTAAATCGAATCTTTTATGTTGAATGGAAAATGAACACTGAACAAGAACAGGAGAAGAGAATACTCGTATTTTCAGTCGTTTGAAAAGTCTTATATAAATCAGTCAGCTCACACAACTATATAATAATGTCGGTAACATTGTATTAGACACTGCTCTATAGTAATACAAGCCATCTTTTATATCTTTTCAATATAACTTTCATATCTTAATCAAATGGTTGATTTTCTTTTTTGCATTTTAAGTTAGTCCATTATTTTCTGTACATTTGAGTGGAGAAACCAACTGCAGCTGATAGAGATGTGGGATTCTGATGGCCTTTTACGTTCAAGGACAAGAATAAAAATGTTTGGGCCTTTTCTTGTTATTTTACGTCACTATTTTTGCCAAAGGAAGGAGGGATTTTTTCTTCTTGGATCCACCAGATGACCAATAATATATTCTTGAATGTACATGATTACAAAAAGTCTGTACCATTAAGTGACAACATAAAATACTTGATAATCATGTCTCATCCATCTGAAAGCAATACAAAATACACTATTAAAACAAAAAATAATAAGTGAACTAATGAGACCTTGTTAGAGTAAACTTCTGACAAGCGACATAGCCTTAAAACAGCGAAATAAGAACAGATGAAAATGCGACAAGCAATATAGACAGACACAAGACCTACTCATCCAAATGCTTAGCACTGAAAAGTATAAGTGCTATATAAATATTTCATTATTTTTATTTTATTACTCATCAAAACATGAAACGACCGTATTTGAAATTCAGACTGGGGACATACGTATCCCCACCTAAGAGGGCCTCACTAATTGAAACCAAACAATGCAAAGGTGAGCACAGTGAGATACTCATAACCATCTGAGCATCCTGCATCCCGACACGGCAGACAAGAAATTTTTACCATGCATTTGTGCTTACGTTGTCCCAATTTAGAAGTGTGAAAAGCAAATACTAGTCCAAACGCATGCCAAAGTGCCAAGACAAGAAATTAAAAACAGTCATTGCGTTTGCATTGAGGTAGCTCAAGTCCGTTTTCATGTGCTAACCTTTGCTCTGCTTCAAAATGATAAGGAACATGAGCAGAACCCAAGAAAAAAAATAAACATAGCAATGGGCAAACCTCATTTCACAAACAAATTCTGTTGAAAGACCTCCAAAAAATGACAATGCTACATGTAAGTTAATATTAAATTCTTTTACGGTTCATACTACAACTCAACAACCCTATGCAGTAGCCACCGAATATTACAGCACTACTGGTGGCTTTTGCAGAGGCTTTCCAGGGGATAGAAGTGACAGGCAAAATGACCCTGAAAACTGGCAAAAATGTTCTCAGAAAGCACTGACAATCAACAGAAAAGGAGGAAAGAAAAGGGACGGTAACAACCTTTTTTGAACAGTGAAAGCAATATCAGTGTCTTTTGTACTTTGGCTGTTTAACTAGCAGCAAAATACAAACTCTCGTCCTTTATTTCCAAACATTTTCTGTTTTCTTCTTTTTCCTAAGAATGAACTGACAAAGTGAATGCATCCCCCCACCCCCACACCCCCTCCGCCTGCTGCGAAGGCCTCTTCCCATAGAGTTTTGTCTACATTAATATTTAATTATCGCACCTGTGTATCGGCATCAGTTTGTGATGAGCTTGGCTGTTCCTTTTTACTGTCTGTATCATCATCATCATCTTCTAAATCTTTTAATTCCTGCTCTATAAGTTTCCTTGCAAGTTTGACCTTGGAATACTCATTGTAATGGTATTTTCGCTTTTCTTCAAATTTCTTCTTCACCTCTAAATCAAAAAAATCAGCAATGTTATAAGGTTTATTAAACCAGTAATTAAAGGGACAACAAAATGCTTACCAAATATCACACAGGGGTCAATTTAATGAAACTTTTACAAGTGTAATTATTTAAGTAGCCATTGTTTTAGAGTCTATACCAATAGCTAGACTAGTAAATTACAAAAAGTCCTGAAAAGGTTTTATTAAATTGACCCAAGGACAAAACGTTGCCTCTGGCCGCCTGTAGTTTGAGCTGAAGAAGTGACAAAAAAAGAATGCAACAGCAGTCCCCCAGCTCAACTTTTGTCAAAGTCATCCTTTGGCAACCTAAAATTGCTTCAAGTGTAATTATATTTCTCACAATGTTAACATCTGCAAGCTCCTAGAAAAACAAGACAGAAGAATTTACAGCAAAGTGTCTGAGTCGGAAGGAAATCCTCTCTATTGCATGCTTCCCAAAGGAAAGGAGTACCAGCTGTATTGTAGTTCTGCTCTTAGGCCAACAATTAACACCCAAAGGTTTATGAACACTTTTATAAATCGTATTTAATGGTAACTTAGCTATTTAGATTGTTTATATAATATTCCTTATTTCTCAGCTATTTACACTTTTTCAAACTTTCAATCTTGTCTTTTTATCTTCTCTTATATTTGTAACATTTGGCCCTTTTCTTAATACTAGTTATTGTAACATGGAATACATGTATGTACTTTTATTCTATGAAATAAAGATATACTATCATTATTTATATTACAGATTATTATGGTACTTTAACTTAGGAAAGACTATTCCATTGCTCTATATTTATGCCAACTTTGAGACCACTTTGATCTTCCTTTGATGCAAAACCAAGTTGAGACCAGAATTATTATGGCAAAGGCTTTAGTATGATATAAAGAATCATGCAGATCTTAGAAAACATTATCCACCTCAGCCCACAACAACCTCCTCAATCTGCATAACTTTTCACAAATACTGCTCAATTTCTTAATCAATAATAGGATGAAATTATGAATGTCAATCAACCTTTCTGTGGTTCTGATAACTCATCATCTTCCTCTTCCTCTCCACCATTTTCAGGATCTTCCCAAGAACGCCTCTTTGGAGCATCTTTAATCCTTGTATCAAAGCACACAAATATGTGAAATCTATTTTGGGTTGCAGGAGAATCTTTTTATGGTTGACTCAAGAGTACACAAATCTAACCATAGTTGTAGAGAATTCAACTTGTACAGGGCTCTAAAAAGTTCTGTGTGGTGGTTCAGGATGAGCAGAATTTCTTGCTGGGAAAGTAACTTTTACTTACATGTACACAGAAAAGTTTGCCAAATGGGGAAGGGTTCAAGCAAGATGTTCCCTACCAAAATCATTAACTAAGAAGAGCAAGAAGTGACCCAGGACAAGCAAAATGTGGGAGCTACTTGCCACAAGACAAGCTGGAATTCAAGCTCTTTTTTAGCCCTGCTATATGCATTCTTTCAACCAGGGAAAATTATCTTGCATGCACTATTATGGAGTTTGTATGTTGGTGCCCCTCAGAGGGACACCAACATGGTGTCTATAAAGTTAGGTAAATCATTTCTCAGAATAACTTGCATATAACAAATTGCACAGACAGGAGTCTTAGAGAGAGTCTGAGCATGTTTAGCCCCTATTCATTTTCCAGATTCTGGACTTAACCTTTTGAATGGTTTTGATTTTTATTTTGTGTGGCTTGACAATGAAAACCAGCAATGGGTTGACCCATTCAATTTCTCTTTTGGCACAACAGTTGGTTTGCCTGTAAGGAATACAAAGAAACTTCAAATTTATGAACAAGCTCTCAATTTAAAAACCAGTAATAACTAAACAAAGGTTAAGGAGCACAGGTGACATCAATTGAAGGTCAAAACCCTTTTGCTCCAATGCCTTGCTTTGCGTAAGACTCACATAATAGATGGTCTAAACACATATGATTATATCATGAGAGATTAAAAGGTCCCAATGTGCGTCATCCTTGTACCGAAAATCCAGAAGACTCTGGGTAAGAGATTGAACACTCATCAGATCAGATTGCATTCTGTGTATTTTATTCATTCTTAAAGGGAGTCCAAACAAAGCTGGCTATATACCTGCCATACATACATGAATAATAGTAGCTTGGAGAATATGATTGCAAGCTGCTATAAATTACCTTTTATGCAAATGGTCAGGATCTAGTTTTCCAGGATCAGCTTCATCGTCAGAGAATGGTTCAACAGTTCCTTCTCCAGCTTCGTCATCAGGGTCCTTCCATCTATTATAGGGCGTTGGTGGCTCATTGATCTTAATGTGCCCATAGTCTTTGTCTGGGGGGTGATGTGTCATCAAAATGTTCATTTCATCCCACTGAATACCTGAACTGAAATTTAATGATTAAACAAAGGTTTTCTTCAGTTAAGGTAAAATACCATAAGACTGGTGGTTTCTTGAGGTCTCATCTCCAAACACAGAGCTGTAACATTACATGTGGCACCCTTTTTCTACCTTACATTGTCTATCACATATCTTGTTTCAACTTCACTAGAGAGCAGACATTTTACATTTCATTAAGCTTATTCTATTACTCACTGAATGCCCACAGGAAATGTTCTTGTATCGAGAAAAAAAGAAAAATTTTTTGAAGCAAGAAATCACACTCCACCTTCACATTACATAGCATGTCGATGACCTGCAATTACACCTTTTTTGCAAAATTTCCTTTAAAAGGAAATTTTTCAAAATTTGAAAAGAAAAAATAAATTGATAAAATGACAAGCAACAACTGGAGCATAATAGACTCTGCATGTTTGGGAACTGTCTCGATCATAGAGTATCAGTATTATTGTATCTGCCCTTTAGAATTGTCGCCATTCCTACTGACAGACATTACGGACACAATATGACTGCATAGTCCAAAAACATGTCTGCATCCACTTTCATATGAAGAAAAGTATGGCAACACGAGTGGGCAGTTCAGTTTTACAGAAAAAAAAACACATTAATGAACGAATTTGGAAAAAACTAAATGACAAGAAAAATTGTGCATTTATAAAAAAGTATCACGAAGATAGCAATAAAATTATTAGCATAAAAATATATTTAAACAACAGCTGGAAAGAATCACTGACAACAGTGAAAGAATAGATACTCTGCTAAAGAAAAACATTTAAAAGCTACAGAATAGTACCAGATATTTAAAGTATAAAGGAAAACAAGTTTGTCTAAAAAAAGAAAAATATTTCATGTTTCTCACAAGGCTTGCAGGCAGTTTAAGAGAGACAAAGAAAGGCATTAAACATTCATCACTTTCTTGATAATGAAAAAGAAAATCCAGTTGTGTTATCAGTTGGATCCAATGAATTTGCATTATAGGCAAAAGCTATTTTTCAAGTCAAAGGACGTTTTAGGCTGACAAGACACAATGAAACATTGGGTGATTAATTAGTTGTGGTTGCCACCATTTCATAATGCTATGTTTCCTCTGTTTCCTATGTTTCCCCTGCTTATCTTATTCCCACTCATTAACTCTGTGGCTTATATTTTATGCACCAAGAAAAATAAATTTAAACCTTTTTTATGAGTCATATCTTTGTAATACATTTCACAAAACTATAAGAAAGTCTCTGCACATAAATTTCACACTGCTGAATTTTTCTCAGTCAAGTACACAATTCTTAGTTTAAAAAATGATGAAGTATTTCAAAAATTATTAACATATTAAATGGGTAGATTTTTCTCCTGAGCCTTCAAATTACTTAGACTCAGATTACAACCTTGGCCATTCAATAAAGCCTTTTTTGGCGGTGCTTTAGCATGCTATTTTTAATTTTCAATTTCTATAAAAATGAAATTTGTTGGTTTCCTAAAATTTAAGTTTTCAGCACTAATTTGAGTGTCAAATGAAATAGATACTATTGATACCAAAGGAAAACATTGTCTGTGTGACTGTATTGAGGAGGATCTACATACAGCAACTTTACCGCTAAAACTTGTCCATAAAAAACCAAGGTGTCTCTTAAGAGGGTTTGACCGTCTCACATGACGCAAACCAGAGAATAAAGAAAAATCAATATTTAAATAAATTATCTAAAAACAAAGTCATGCAACCTCAATTTTCCTGCAATAGTATAAATTCAAAGAAAACCTTTTTTGTACTTACAAAATCAATGTAACATCTATGAAGAAAATAAACTTATATTCAAAACCTCTTTTGTTAAGACTAAATTTAGTCTAAGAATGACCTTTGCAAGTCTAAAGCTGAAAAGGCTGACACTAATTATTGGCATCACTATAAACAATACAGGAAGTGTCCATCGGAGTATGATCGACAAAGTATACAAAGCTAATTTTTGAAAAGAGTGACTAAGATGACTCAAGAGAGACCCATATTTTGAAAGCATAAGTTTAAAAATTAAATCTTTTAACGCCAATGTATGAAGCTTCAAGCTTAACATGAGTTGCATGAAAATTAGCGTCAAAAATTAAAGATGACCAGAGTATTTAATACCAGTACAGTACTAATAAGTATAGTTTCTAACCCGTTATTAAAGCTTTAGCGAGAATATCAAAACGCAAAAACAAAAATGAACACCGAGAATGAGGAAAAATGATTTACAACGCAACAACTGTGGAATGAGGATCTGACAGAATCGCTGAGCGCGTGCATAAGATCAGGTACTTTTCGCAAACGGGTGAAAGAAAATTGGTTTAGTAACAAAATACTGGCTTTGCAAAACACTTAAATAATGTCACTTCTTGAAATACGTTCTTACTGGTGTTTATCTTCGGATTTGTTCCTCAAAATTCCCCTTTTTGGTTGACCAGAATTGTCCTCCATGTTTCGTACGTAAAGTTTTTTGCGCTCCACAACAACAACTACAACCCAGTTTTCCGCGGCAAACTATCGTGCAATTGTCGTTCGGGAAGTTCGGGACGTTTCGGGATACGGGATTATTCCTTCGTCTGATCCGTCACACGTGGAATATTGGACGACCCTAATTGATAAGGATAACAATCTAGATTTCGCGTCAACTTAGATCTGGCACAACTCCCTCATAAGTATAGAAAACAAACCAATTTTCTAAAAATCTTGGTTCACCACAGGTGTGAAAGATGTTAAAGACATTCTTGATACGGACGGAAATTCTACATATAGAGGATATTACAGGGGGTGATACTATATTTATTTTTAAATGTAAAATCAAGACTAACTTCCTAGAATACTGTAAGGTAGTATCAGCCCTTAAACTTTTCAGGCAAAAGTGTTCTCAACAACCCAACGGAGGACCCAAACCCAAGGCCTTTGGGCAAACATTAAATCAATTATCGAAAAAAAGGCCACCACACCTCTTAAAAGCAGGGGAAAATGCCTGTCGAAGGAAAATATGATAGGAAATGCGAACGTGAACAAGTGTTCCAATTCATGTTCCTTCACAGACGAATAGCAACAAACGACTTCCTCTTTAAGATCTGCCTAAGAGCAGAATCATGTTCTTTCTGCGGGGAATTTACTGAAACCCTTGCCCACTTGTTCTGGTATTGCTAGTACACTAAAAAATTTTGGAAAGACATTTATCAATGGATAACTCAAAACACTGCATTAAACAAATCCATTGCCTTCTCTCCTCTTATCTGTCTTGGAATAATTGATAATATTTCCGATTCCTTATCGCCAAACCATATATTTACACATGTAAGTTAACCTCCATGGAAATTGAAACAGAGGTTGCCTCTAATAATAAGGATATATCTTCCTTCAAAAACAAATGGAGCCCCCTTAAACTTTGCCCCTCGGACAAATAAACTTGCTGATATTAAATAAATCCAAAAGTTCCAAAAGGCGGTTAAAAGTGGTTTAGAAACAAATGCAAATGCAAAGCACCTTTTAGTTAGTAGGACAGACTGTTTATGTTTTTGTTGTATCTTGTTGTATTTTGCATTTTTGCAATTAGTAGTCAAATTTGTAAAACTTTTTTACGCTTAATTAGTTGTAAATGCCGCGTGTAACATCGTATTTTGCCTTTCTCTCTTCTGCGTTGTTTTTATTTTCCCTGCATCTAAATGTAAATATTGTCATAAAAAGACTTGGAGCGAAATAAATGTTATTAAGAAAAATAGGGCTTTGAAAAAGTTTCAAGTTCGGTTAGCTGGCTGCCACAAATTTCTTCCGCCGCGGAAAGCAGAAATAAATTTCGCTCGTGGAAAATATTTCTGCAGTGTTTCCGGTCCACGATAGTTTGACGTAGTCTACATGAGGAGCTTGCATAATGCAATACTTTTTTTCAGTTCGGGTGTTGTTGACACTTTTAAATACCCGGGCCATCAGCGGATAGTAATAGCGAGCTTAAGCAACGACGACTGCAACGTGAACGACAACGGCAAAAAAAGTAACTGGTTTAGCTTGGCAAAACAACAACTTTATACGTGCATCATGCTTTTTTGTACATTTCTTTCAATCTTTGCCGTCACTGCACGACTACGACGTAAAAATGCCTAAATTTACGTGGAGGACAAACACAAGACAACGACTTTCTCTTTCTTTTCCTGAACTTCGATGTAGTCTTGCCGTCACGGCAAAGAAATGTACAAAAAAGCGTGATGCAGGTGCAGAGCTATTGTTTTGCCAGTCTGGGCCTATTGCCTTTTTTGCCGTTCTCGTTGACGGCGCCGTCGTCGTTGCTTACGAGCACAAGAGGAAGCAAATCCTGTGTTCGGATTGGCTACCCCAACTGACAAGATGGGCCTATTCCATGACCCCCGCCCCCCGCCCCCCCCCGCCCCCCACTCGGGATTACAGGCAAACAAAGATTTGGTTTTATCGGCAGTTTTGTAACAGAGGTAAATTAGATCAAGAATCATGGTCTCCCATGCTTGGTATTTTTTCAACCCCAAATTCTACCATTCACTCAAATTTCTTACAGCTGGTAACTCCCTCATTGTTGGTTGAAAGACGGTCGACGAAGTTTGGCGTATGCAGAACAAAAGCTCTGAATTAGCTTCAGTTTATTGTGCAATTTACTAGGTTGTTAGGTTTTTATTCTTTTAAAGATAATATATTTTTTGGACTGGAAAGCAAACTACGTTATGGACAACCGGCTACTATAACACTGCTAGAGGCCGGCTTTTCTGTACAAGACACTAGTTGTTGTGCTGGATGAATGATCCTGCATGATTAATCCTCAGTCAAACGCCTGTGAGGAAAAGAAAAAGATAAAAGATAAGTTTAAGAACAAAAGAAACTCGCAGGGGTGTCATCATTAAAGTGAAAAAAAAAAACGCACATCCGACCACCCTCGATATCGAAACCACTCTAACTGACTTCACCTTTCAGTATTCTTTACTTTCTATCCTCCTGTTAATTTCCCACGGGAATTAGAGCATCAAACTCGATTGCATATAGAACGGTTTCCTTGGATCGAAACGTTTTTATTCATATTATTCATAGTCTCTCATCCACTCTTTTACAGATTATCCCTGTGGGATTTTTTCTATTTATTTCTTTATTTTTAAAACTTTTTAATTTTTGATATTGCAATTTGGTGCCATTAAATTGTTATAAATAAATAAATTAATCAATTAATAAAAGAGATTCTCGGGGTTTCGTCACACGTTCCCTCTCCACGAACGTTAAGAACCCTAACAACATCTCATCTGCATGGGAGACGATATTAATAATAATCTCGGCTCTTTTGTGGCCCGAAGATTATAACTGCCTGATTTTCTGTATGTCGAAAAAAATTCTTATCCACGACTTTTCCTAGCGTGAGAAGACAGCCGACATTCTGCGACGCCACAGGTGGGTTTCCCCGCGAAATGACGTCTGTGAAACGAGCGTAGAAATTCCATACTGATGACGTATCACTACTCAGACCTGGGTAGTGCTTCTGACTGGATGACACAAATTTCCAACCAATCAGAAGCACTACCCAGATCTGTATAGTGACACGTCATCAGTATGGAATGAAATGTCGGCTGGTTTCTCAAGCTACGACTTTCCAAAGGGAACCAAACCGAACCAAACTGACGTTATTTAGAGAGGATGGATAACACCTGACAGTTACACAGAAACCTGCGTCCCCAACTAATTTGAGACACTTGGATAAGAATTTAACAGTGTTTGTTTTCGAGAAGAACAAAAAGGTGAGTAGCAGGGAAAAAACCTCTTCGAGCAGAAAAGAGCCTACGTGGCAGCTTTTCCGAAGGAAAGGTAAAGGGGACTTCGGACGCGCGAAAAGCGCGCAGTACGTGCAAGGGGGGAGGTAATCTCTCCTCACTTCTCCCTCGCGCGCAAATTCTCTTCCCCTTTCCTTTCGAACGCCTGCTTCTCAGGCTGAGTAGAAAAAAGAACCCAAAACAAACTCAGCCCACATATAGCGTCCACACGGGGACTCGAACCAGGTGGCAGGCGAGTGCTACTCCCACCACCGCGCCACGATTGCTACTTCCTCTTTCTAAACTCACCAATCGGAAGTTTCGTTCTTGTTCTTTTCTTCGTGTCTCACTGAGTCTGGCGATCTCATCGACTTTTCTCTGAAGAAATCCTAATAAAAAGAAAAATATATTTGTGCTCGCCGCTGCAAGCCTAAAACTTTTCAAAACCACAAGGAACAAATCTTTTTGTCTGTTCGCAGATCGTTTTTTCTCTTTACAGCGCGTGTACGGAAATGGAAACCGCGGAGGGTTTATTAAACGCTAGCCCAAGGGGGTGAGGTTGGAGAAAAAAAATGAAACAACGTCTGTAAACAGACCCCAAATCTTCTTCAGTGGGAAATTTCCTAGTAGTGGACTCAAAAATTGAAATACGACACGGACAAATTACAAGTTACTTTAAAAAAGATGGGAAGTTGTTAACCTGAGATCAGGCACCCCCACGGCTACCGCTAAAATCTTTTCGTTTCACCCTGCCCGCCGGAATGTTATTTACAAAACGAAACGAAAATTGAGCCTGATCTTAGGTTAGGAAGTTGTCAATGTTGAGAGAAAAAAGACAAAAAATCACATCATTTCTAAAAGAACCAACTTACCAGAATTTTGCTCAATCCACTGTAAAGAGTTCATGTGAGCATTTAATATTTTAGCAATCTGTGCAATCTGCAACGAAAACGGGAAGCTTAAACTGTTAGCTTTAATCAGTTTCTTTTCAAATCAGCAGTACTGCATTTGCAGTATTTATAAGTAATCACGAACCCTGTTATTCAGCGCCATCGCTAATTTTCGAAGAACAGATTTTCTCTAGTATCTAGCGGCTGTTTACCTGACATCAGAGTGACTTTCATGTCATTCCGGAACAAGTTCATTCTTTATATTTCTTTGCCTCTGTTCAAATGTTACCGAGACAAAATTTTGTTCCCGTACAAGTCATTCCAGAATGAGTTCATCCCGGTTTTCATTCTGAACGAGATTCTCGCTCTGGTACGAATTTCATTCTGGTAGCATGTAAACTGAAAACGAACTTTGTTCCGGATTGAAAATCGCAATATTGTACTCTGGAGCGAGTGGCGCATGCATATTTAATCTGGCGAGAAAACCCCGCAAGCCAGCTACGCAAGCCAGAACGTCTAAGGCTGAGCTGTTCGATTTCATCATGTGAATGCAGTACGAGGTTCACTCTGGAACGAAACTCTGTCCCGAGTTGTTAAGTTGGCAGAGTATTGTAATGCAACGATTTCTTATTCTCGCGCGCGATTTATATAAAAGGGTGATTTCTTAAAACTATGTTACACTGATGATGAGAAAGCTGTAGGGTTTCTTTAATAAAACATTTTCACTGCTCATCACCACATGTTGCGATAACGCCTGGCATGTGTACATCTCAATGCCTCCTCCCCTCAATCAAATCTTGGTGGAGACTATTTTGTTTATTTTATCTTTTTTTTTTAAGGGGGAGGGGGCGACGCCATTTTCCCATCTCCTTCCTTACAAAGTCGTTTCCATACAAGTTTATTCAGTCGAGGTGTAAACAGTTTCACGTACTTGGCTTAAAGAACGAAGAATATTCACCCCAAATGTGCAAACTATACTTCAAATGATCAAAGTTTTCGTGTAATCTCAGTGCTTGAGGTCGTATCGAAACGACTCGTATGGAAATGACTTTGAAAACAAAAAACCAGATTCCAAATTCAGACCACTGTTCTTTGCTTTGGTACCATTGTAACATATCAAGAGTGACTGAAGTTCTTACCGGGTCTTCATTGTCCTGCTGTTGTGTATTAGCAGTGTTGAGATGATCAATGATCGACTTCAAGTCCTGAACCATCTGTTTCAACTGTCCGTCAATGTCTTTTGCCAACTTAAAGCTAAAAATTAAAGAATTCCGAGATGTCCAAGATCAATTCTTCAAACATTGTTAGTGATGTAATGAATGTTAAATGAGAATACAATAAAACATATCCTCTTCAAATTATATATTTAGGGTAACCTCAGATATTAACTTACACAGGCACCACTGGCTGTCATTATCGGTCCATTCCATGAGCTTACCGTATTCCACCCAACATATGATACTTATGATATTTTATAAAATAAATATGATAGTACGCGCGTTCTGATTGGTTAAAAACCTATGGTTTATTGTGCCGGTAAACTCATAGAAAACTTAAAGTTATTTTATAAAAGCAATAGACCACACTTTCTATGGGTTTACCGGCGTGATAAGCCACTTGGGATGTTGGGAGAAAACAAGAAAAAGCTTGTAAATCACGAGCCGAAGGCGATCGATTTACAAGCTATTTTCGCGTTCTCCCAATATCCTGCGTGGGTTATCACGCCGGTAAACCCATAGAAAGTGTGGTCTATTACTTAATGAAACGATAACTGAGGTAGAGGTAGTTACCTCCTTTACTCTTTTCAAACAGTAGCGTGGTTTCTTTTCTGTTCTCTTTGAATTAACTAGTTAAAGAAGGCTGAAGAAGACAAGGCCAACGTCACCACCAACGAGGCGATAATCTCAACTGAGAAAGGATTTTAAACACAGCCAGCATGATTTTAACAGTTTTTTAAAGAACCTGGTTGGTCACTGGTCCTGCTGGCCTCTGCGGGGTTCAACAAGCCACAGCTAGCTAACTAAGCTAACTAGGTTTTAAAAGAGTTAATTGTCTCTTATAAGTCAAGCACAAAGGGGGATAAGCAACAAAAAAACTGTAGAATTGTCAGGAACAACCTGTGGGAATAGATGTGGAAGAGTTGATGAAGGTTTTGGATAAAAGAAAATCTGAATAAATGTCATTGCTAGATAGAGCAGCAGATCTCATCAGTTTCGGGAGAAACTTGTCATTTAGTGATCTGTTTTCTGTTAATAGTAGATTAGTTACAAGATGGAAACAAAATAGCTGTCAACATTTGAGAGTACACTGTTTTGCCAGTGACTTTATACTGGAAAAAAATGCATAGTAACAGCGGTATATGTCTATTAAAATTAATTGTGTGCTTCTGGGGAACTATTCCACCTATCTAAAAATCCACTCACGTGGAATCTCTCTCCTTGTCAGCCTGCTGGAGCTGTCTGCTGCCCAGATTACTTGAATTGACAGCCTCTTCAAGAGGCTTCAACATTTCCTCTAATTCTTGTTGCTGTGCCATTATGAAGTCTAACTCCTGGTCAAGTCTAAAGTCAAGAATTAACAAAAGGCAAAAGATTTTACAGTGGATAATCTTCTAAAAAAGCACAGATGTCAAGCAAGTTCATCACTGGGGGGTCATCATTGTAAAGAGGCCTTCTTCTTTATTGGGGGTTGGGGGGTGCAGGTACCACACTTCTGTGTATAATCAAAACCATGATCATGTGTCTGTACTTCTGATGATCATGTGTCTGTACTTCTGACCTTATTTGGTTGCTGCCACTGTTGCATACAAAAGAAAATTAACTTTTGACAAAAGTGACAACCACTATTAGTTTGCAAAACAATTCCAAATTAGCTTACATTGTGTAAGAAACTTTTCTGTATTAAATAACACGATTTTGCACAAAGAATTGTTTTTCATTTGCTCATTAGGATTGTTCAATGGCCAAAGTCATCTTAAAATGTGTTCATACGGTTTGTATCATGAAGAAAATCTCTCCTACAGTGTGGTAGGATCAGGACAATATTATTGCAATTTCCTGAATACAACTGAAGAATATACGAGCTGGTTTCCAAATACACATCCAGTTCCCCATTTAACATCAAAATGATCAAAATGACACAAACCATTGGATGGAAACCAGGTTTAAGGGAAAAAATTTGAAAGACAATGTAAATTTTTATAATACAAGGTAAAATAATATTTTTTATTGACACATTTTCACCTTTTCTGTTCTGCTTTCACATTCTCCACACTGCCATTCAATTCAGTGATCTGAAAGGTTACATACAAAAATAACTTCATCCATTGTTTAGATCTTTTTTTAGAAGTCGCGCTAAGGGCCATAGATTTATATTGTTACAAGCCTTCCTCATTAAATCAACTTACATGTAACTACTCGCATATTTGTACTTTTCTCTGCACTTAAGAAATTGATACAGCACCTTGTGTGATTATGTAATTCACAGTGCTACAATGTACTTTGAAAATGTTTTCAACTCTGGAGTCCAGTCATAAGTAGGTTGATACAGTAATATTATTCACATCTCTTACACTCACCTTCTCTCCATTCTCCATGAGAAGTCTGTCCCATGTATTGACTTGATCTGCCTGATTCAGGAATGTTTTTTCATAGTCTGCGAGCTCTACAGCCCACTAACACAGAAAGTTGTTTTCAGTGATGGCACAAAATTATGGTCAGTTCAGATAAAGAAGACAGTGGCTTATTTTTGTCAAATAAAAAGGCATACCTTATTTATAAGCTCTTCAAGTTGTCTGTAAGTTAACTGGGGTACACTGCTTGAAGCTCCAGCAGCTGCTGTTGAACTGGGTGCACTGATTAAAAATTAAAAAATTCATAAATATCAAAACAGTCGAGTTGTCTTGAGTTCAAGTCCTATCTTCCCAAGTGCACAATATCTGGAAAAAGTAAAGAACAGCTCCCCGAAAAAACTGTTGGCCGGCCAACATTCGGGCAACGGTTGGCCCACTGTCGGTTTTATCAAACCGCAATGCATTATAGGACAATTTCGTAGTTAAAGTTACCCAAGAAATGTGATGAAGCAATTTTAGCTACATTAGATGTGTGTTCTCTCTACACTAACATCCCGCAGGAAGGGGGAATCCATGAAGTTAAATAAATTATAACACAGTTAACAACAAGGAGCGTGGGCGTGGTCAGCGGTCAGTCATTTGGCTCAAGTGCAGTCAACCTTGCTTGCATACCCTCCACGTGCTCAGTAAAGCGTTTTCCTGGTGGCTATTCTCTTTATTTAGCCTTTGGATCATTCTTTTAAAAATTGTTTGTCACCTTCATGAAGAACATTATCAGTCAAATTCACCTATGAGTATCCTTACTCAATTTTTTGGAGACTTAATGCGACTGATTCTAACATAATACAAGGTAAGGTCTGAGTGACAATATCATTCCACTTTTTTTTCCAATGTCAGTTTACTGTCGGTCAACTGTCAGTAAACTGTTGGTATTCTGTCAGCTGACAGTTGGCTTTAGGGGAGCATGCTTGTGCTATTGAATTTGATTTGATGAGCACATGTATTTTAGACAGGGTTGTCATTAAGAGCCGGGGGCCGGGGATTTTCCCCGGCTACTAAGAGAGTGGCCCCCGGCTACTTTTATTGGAAAATAGAAGAAAAATAGAACCAAAAGAAATCCCTAGCCGTTTGATTCCCCGTCTACTTGTTGTGTTTACCCGGCAACTTGAAATCTTAGTGACAACCCTGTTTAGATGTAATAAAAATTATAATACAAAGAACTGTTTTGATTTTTCACAGGTACTATTAAGAACCACATGGACAACAGCAACAATGAATGTGTGTTGAATGAAGACTTTAATGGTTGGCAGTTGTTACCTTGCTGTGCTTGCTATTGTCCCAGGTCTTGCAGCCACTAAAAAAATAACAATAAGAAGAAACACTGAATACATTCAAGTCATACATTTACAAAAAATTCAAGTGGTGTGCAAGTTTCTTTGGAAACATCATGATAGCCACCTAAAGCTGAACCATTTAAGTACAGTGTATGTGACGAGAGATGTACAGAGCCCAGTTCCTGAAAGACCGATTAGCGCTAATCCAGGATTAAAATTTTATCCTAGATTTCATTAAATTTCCAGGAGATAGATTAAATTATCATTTTGTGTCGTCATAGCTGCTTCTTGAGTTAAGACTCAATAATACTTCCTCACTTCCAGTTACATGTTCCTAGACAGGAAACTTTGTTGGTTAAATTTGCCTTAATTATAGGTTAAACACTTCAATTTTTCCTGGAAACCACCCAGGTGTACTTGTAGTAAAAATGCTGACCTGTTGTTGTTGCAGTTGATAATGTTGTTATTGGTGTTGTGCCAAATTTGAGCCCTCCTGTCCCAGTTATAGAAAGCCCAGGCGCTGTTGAACTTACTGCTGTGGCACTTGCACCAAGTGTCAGAGTTGTAGCTGTAGTACTTGCAGTGGGAGCACTTGTGGTTTTGGCTAATCCCGACAATAACCCTAACCCTGAGGCAGAAGTGCTGGTTATTGGTGCTGAAAAGGCAAGAGAAAGTCCAGGAGCAGCAGAACTAGTAGGAACTGCAGCTCCACCTAACCTGGTCCCACCACCCAGAGTGAGCCCACCAGAAGGTGTCGTCGTGGACGCAGCTCCCAGGGTAAGACCAGAAGTAGTGCCACCTAGTGTAAACCCAGTAGTGGCTGATGTAGTTGCAGCAGTGGCAGTTCCTGAACCAAAAGCAAATGCAGGTGTTGCAGTTGTCACAGCAGGAGCTGCTAGTTTGTTTCCACCCAGTGTAAATCCTTGTGATGGTGCAGTTCCCAGTGTTAAGCCACCTGCTTGAGTTTTTGGAGTCCCTAATCCCAAACTTAAACCTCCAGTGGGCTGAGAAGTTGCAGCACCAAAATTAAACCCAGTTGCTGCTGTTGGTTTGCCGAGTGTAAGGCCACCAGTGAAGGAAGAAGTACCAGTACCAGCAGAAGCAGTGGTACCACCCAATGTGGGAGCAGGAGCAGAGCTCCCAAATGAAAATCCTGTAGCTGGGATCATGAAAATAGCACAGAGATCAGTAGGTGACAGAAGACATGCAATACCTGAAATTAGGATTCTTGTTATCTAAAGAAAAGGGTGTTCACCTTGTTACATACATGTACATGTCTTAAGAAATATAACATTTAAATGCCACTTAGGCATATCCTTTATATCTAAATAGAGAATTAAAAGGGTAAGGGTCCTTAACTTTATGTCTGAGGCTGATGGTTCTCTAATTTTACCCCCTCCATCCAACAGTGTTCCCTTTCATGTGTACATGGTATGTAAAGCTATTCAAAGAAGTTGAAACAAGGCCGATGACACCTGGGAATTGACCTCATGCCTATTCAGACAGAAGGCCACGCACTAAACAACAATGGCCAACCTTACTGCTAAATATAATGACATGGCAAAATCCTTACAACCTCTAACCACTTCTATCAATAATATTTTCTGTTACCAAAAAACAGGAGGGGTCAACTTGAACCGTAACCCTGCCCTGTATTGTAAAACGTAGATTCAACTATATTTAAAGAATACACTCAATCATTAATAGTAGTACCAGCTGGCTTTGTTGAAGGAGTTCCGGCAGCATTGAAAGAAAAGCCTGTTGAGGTTCCAGAACCCAATGTGAGTCCTCCAGTTTGTGGTGTAGATGCTACCGTTGCCACAGGCTTACCAAACTGAAGGCCACCAGTACTGCTGCCACCAAAGTTAAATCCACCTGTCTGAGTAGAAGGCGTTGAACCAAACGATAACCCCCCTGTGGCTGCCGGTGCTGTACCAAAGGACACCCCTCCTGTGCTTCTTTGGGGTGTGCCAAAATTGAACCCTGGTTTTGCGCCTGGTGTTGCTGCAGCTGACGTACCACCTCCACCAAAAGAAAACCCTGTAGAGGCTGGTAAAAGACAGTGTTAGAATGCTTTTTCATTCTGGTGGTTAACAGCTATGTGCATTTATTGAAACAGGAGAGAGCGTTTACATTCAAACCTGGTATAATACAATGTAAAGGCCCTGTATGTGGCGGTCACCCTGTACAATGTATAATAATGAGAAGAAACAAGTGGGATTAATATGAAACATATCTCCTTATTTAAGTGATGAAGAGACAAAACAAGCAAGATAAAAAAAAATATCTCATTCTTTCAGCCTTGATGAAGTGAAACAAATGCAATAAATGAATAATATATCTCGTTCTGTAAGTGATGATGAGACAAAACAAGCAGGATAAATATCTCGTCCTTTAAACCTTCATGAAATGAAACAAATGCGGTAAATGAGTAATGTATCTCACTCTTTAAGATTTGATGAAACAACACAAGCACAATAAACGTGTTAGGATTTTGTTGAGCATAATAAAATTGTGGGTGACAAAACTCAGTATTTCAGGCGACTCAACTAAAAATTTCGGGTGAAATACTTCCGGCAGGATAACTTTCAGGCAACTTTATTTTAAACCCCTGATAGTGATTAACATCTAAAGTGTAGTTAATGAAGTGAATTGCAGCTTGCCAACGACACAAAATTTGTCAAGTTTCCAGAAAGTTACAAGTCCAAAAATTGCTCCTTTTGGCCAGCTTTGAAAGATATGGCGAAAATGGGAAGAGAGCTAAGTCCGATCTGATCCAGATCATTCACTTCCTGTCTTAATTAGAAAACCTGAATACAGATTTACCTCAAATAAACCACACTAAAACAATAATTTGTTTTCATTTTGTGCAACGAAATTCTACCTTAGCAACTAATGATTTAGTTTTGCCTTAGCTGAGCTTTAATAGCCCACTAGTTCCAGTTAATTCCTCGGTGACCGGCCAGCTAATCAATTTTACCTACAGTTTTTGGATCCCGATAGAACGTGTTCTGATCTTCCGTTGCCGGATTAGCTTGTAACGTGCAAATATTTACACCAAAGGTAGCTTAAATTGCGAAAAAGCATAGGTCAAATTAAAATAATCTGAAATCACCTGGTTGCTGTGTCGCTGCCGAAAAAGTGAATCCACCAGTCGCGGGAGCCGAACTGGCAGCTCCTGCAACAGTTGGCGCACCAAACGAAAAGCCTCCAGTACTCTGTCCAAGCTGAGGCCTAGCCCCAAATAATCCTCCCGGAGTTTGTTGCTGGTTCTGTTGGCCAAACATTTTGATTTTGATTTTTCTAGAGATTTTCAAAAAGAGATTCAAAGCACATTGCCCGCCACTGCGAATGGAACATGCGTGGTTACCAAGTTACAAGGATGCCTGGCCTTCGAAGAGGAGGGGCTGGGCCAGGGGCTTGGGGAACTCTGGCTTCTTGCTTTCCAATAACCTGCGTAGCAAGCGTTTCGGTTTAGGAGCAAAGAACGAGGAACGAGAGTCAAAGACCGCACGAAAAATGGCGCAAGTAAAAGAGCGGGGAGGGGGTGGGGAAGAAAGGAAGGAAACAAACTAGCCTGCGAGCAAGCTCTCCTATTTGGGCATGCGAAGCGAGTCTCGCGAGAACTCGTCATGCACGTGCAGAGTTGTTGTTGCAGTTGTTTTGCTCATTAAGGGCCTGTTTACATGGAGGGGGGACCCCGGTCTAGTGGGGTAAGTTTCTTTTGTTTTGTGTCCCCCAGAGCGTGAAAACAAAAGAAACCAACCCCACTAGACCGGGGTCCCCCACTCCATGTAAACCGGCCCTAAGGCTATTGCTTTTTTGACGTTCCCGTTACAGTAGTCATCGTGGATTCGTAAGGTCCCTAAAATGCGACTGTTAGCCCTTTAAGGTCCTTTTACAGACCCAAATGACAGATTAACCTATCCTTTAAGTTTATTTAGTTCAACTAGTGAAGTCCCTAACCTTTTATTGACCTTAAGCGTGAGAAAGGTACCCATAGAAATTGCAACGTGCCCTTTGGTAGAAGTGTGACTTATGAGTTGAGGATTAATGTTACGTTGACCAGAAAGAGAAATATAAATGTCACCATTTTTACCTTTCTCCGAAAAAATGACCAAAAGGTCTTGTAAATTTAAAATTTGTGAATTCCGTAAGACATTCCTGCTGTACGAGTCATCACACCTCCACCCTGAACGTGTTGTCTCTGTAAAAAACAGCCTATGATTTCATTGCAGGTGTTCGCTCTAATTGTCTCTTGGTTATAAAACAGTCAATTTCTTCCATTTTTTTATAGTTCTAGGGAAACACATCTGTGATTTTGAGGGCCAAGTATTCTTTTTTTTAACTGCCACGGTAGAACGCGCAATGACTTGAAATCCGGCAAACAATTGTGTTGTTCTTGTTCACGATTTGGTAGCTTGTTTGTTGGATATCAACCATAATTAGTGAGATAAGCACGATTCACGTGCCCTGGTAAAATTAAACAACTAAAACTGGATGCACCTTCCACATTTTAAGAAGAATTTTGAATGCCAAGAACCTTCATCTGATACCAACAAGTGTTGTTCATTTTATATACAAATCCCTGTACCAAAAATTAACCCCCAAAAAACCTCATGCCATATTTCAAAGTCTTAAGAATTCCCAGAGGGCGATTAATGATATGACACGAAAATAAATGCTTGTGTTTGTTTCTTCATCATACTATCTGAAGTAATCATACGCGGGCGCTAACACGGAAAAGTCTTCAAAGCCACACAAAAAAAATACTTGCCAAATTTTCCTACCCAAAAAAATACCGGAATCGCAAATTTAAGCCCCAAAAAACTTTTCGATCATCCCCGTAACTCCGTCATGATAGTAAATAATTAGCATAAAAAATAAATTCTAAAACTTTGATTCTTTTAAATTTTTGACATTTGATTGACAGACGACTGCAAGGGCATTGCACGTGTGTCATTCACATTTGTTTTGAATATCTGCACAACGGCTCGTTTTCCACTCGTTTTGTGGTTGACTGCTGGTTGTTTTACCAAAATTTTGTACCTCAGTCTAAAACGTTTTGGTCATAAGGCGCTAAGCCGTTTAAAGAAGTGTCAGGTTATCGCGCGAAAAATTTAATGACATTTACACTCAAGAGTTTTAAAAAAGCATGAAGATGTCTTCAATAACTCTTCCTTCAAATGGTGTCAAAAAAAGCATAAGTCATAACAATGTATATTTCAATTCGTTTGTTAATGAAATCGCAGAGAACGAAAATATTACATTGCAAAGAATTGACGACGCTTGGCAAGCTCGGGATGTGGAAAAAATGTTTCAGCTCATAGAGGTAAGCCCGTATTTAAACATCCTTTGAGTTTTTTGAATTGTTTAATAGCAAGAGAAGAAAAGTTATCAAAAGTTTCTTGTGAGCTCTTATTTCTTCTGTTTCATTATTTCCTCATTGTTAATTCAATTTTCTCATCAGGAGAATATTTTCCCCAGTGAGAAGATTCAGAAAAAAGTCCTTGATTATTGGGACAAAGCACACTATTATCAAGCGGCGAAGAAGAGCCGAAAGCCGCTTACTGCTTTAGCTAGATTTAGAATCCGGGAGCGGTAAGTCTGAAAAACTGAGCTCTAAAACAGTGAAAACTCTGTTATATCTTGGTATGAATCGCCTTCAATGTGTAACAATGGGGTCATGTTTTCAAAATGCAAAACGTTGACTTAGTTTTATGTCGATAAATGTTTCAGCGAGCCGGTTGGGCAACAAGGCGCTCGCTCTGGAACATACATTTCATTAACAACTGAAAAAACCTTTCGATGATTCCTTGTCCTTTTCGTTTCACATTCGAAAAAATCCAGATGTATTTCATTTATTACAATGTTTTTATTTTGCAAACAACAACAGCGACAACTAGCTGCATCGTATTGAGCAACAATTAATCGATTTAAAGTGAGCATGCAAACTTTTACACGGCATGGCGCCAAAATTCAGTGTGCCGATGTTACCATATTCTCATTCATGAATGCTTTTCAATAGTATTACTTTGCAAGACCACGTAAAGGAAAGAGGCAACAAACGTCTTTTATCTATCATTTAAACAGTGTGGCGAACAAGTTGGGAAAATTTATATTTCCGTAAAAACATGGGATTTAACGAAAAGCAAATTCAGTATAGAACGAAGTCATCTTTGTAACATGTATTTTAAATTTCCTTTTTTTTTTTTCTCATCCTCAGAAATATACCACCAAAATCGATTGCTCCCTCGGGCAGACAGAAGACGACTCTACCTAAAGAGGCTACTTCGATTTTGCGTGAATGGCTCGACGTTAACAGTCACAGACCTTATCCTACAAAAGAAGAAAAGGAAAGTTTGGCCAAAATGACAAAGCTAACTGTATTACAGGTATGTTTTGACATTTTACGTGGACAGCTGAGAAAAGCTAAAAATTTCCAAAAACGCGAAAAGTAAAATACTTCAAAGGAAGTCATGTTGTTAATGATAACTCATCAATGTTCTAGCTGCCGATTTACTGAATTTCCATGTAACTTTTATACTAACTGAACTGAAAGTCTCACCCCAGAAGCGTTTTATCCAATGTCGTGCGCTCTTTCATGGTCTTTCATACTGTCCCTCGCCGTAGTTTAAAAAGAGGCTTAAAGTTTTTTCATGGAAATGTGTTCCGTTTTCTTGCCCATCCTTCTCTGTTATTATCTATTTGTATGACGAAACTTAATGATTTCATTTTGCGAAATAAATCGGCAGAACTTTCCACAACTGATTGATATCATTTTTGTGATGTGCCTGGCGCTGACCTCCGTACGATCCAGCGCAGGAGGTGGAGGGAGAAGGGAACTCTAGGAAAATTGGGTTGGGGGTTGACTGTGTGCTTGGATATCAAACGTTTTCAAATCAGTCAAGGCATACTTACTGAGATAAACAAAAAAAAGTGAAAAAAATTCGCATCCTAATATCCAGACCAAATTCCACACCAAAACAAAAATCGAAAAACTATGACATCTATGACAGAATTCAGACCCAAAACGGCTGGGAACACTTACCCTTTGCGTTGTGCAAACGCATATGGCTCAAAATAAATGTATAATCGGGGTGACAGAGGGTCCAAACCTTCCGCCTTCCCTCCTTTTTTTCTTGGCTTCTTTCCTTTGGTTCTTTCTTCGACTGCAAAATATTAAGCAATGTGTTGTAATTTTCCCTATTTACGTCCCGATCTTTCCTATTCCGCCTCCAGTAACGTCCTTCTCCTTTTCTTCCAGATTCCCATCCTTTGTCCTCCCCCACTCAGGCAAGGAGGACTCCCCACCCCCTGCCCCCGCAGGTTTACGTTCCCTCCAGTCTTGCCTGACGACCTGCTGTCTAGTCTGACTGTAAAGCAAAGTGTTAGCATTTTCCATGACTTTTGAAATATGGCAGCGTGTCTTTCTTTGTGAAAAATGGATTCTGCGTTTCTAAAGAACCTGGCTTCTTATGATCAAATCTAAATCCGGAATTAAGAGAGAACGTAATGAAAGCACACATGGCAGTTTTCCTGTGTTACCTGCCACATCTCGCCAGCTCACGTCAGTATTGCTGAAGCACTAAACAATCCACCCTTGGAATTTTCTTTGCTTTCGTGTCAATCCAAATTGAAATAGTGTTTTTTTTTGCTTAGAAGTGAATGACGTTTGAGAAACGATGTTTGTCTGCCGGAGTTAGTAGTTTAGTCAGTTCTTTGAAACATTGTCCTACAGAACTGCACAGTTTCCTTGCAATTGTTTTGTTTGACAACAGGTGAATACTTGGTACGCTAACACTCGACGGAGAATGCGGGCAAAGCGTACCAAGAACCAAGTACCAAAAGAAGATGATGCAAAAAATAAACGGTTTTGGACTAGGGCAAGGTAAGTACAACCTCAGTGTACACACTGCTTACCGTGTGGCACGAAATTTTTGCGGGTTCTAATTTTTTGCGGTTTTTCCAGCGATCCGGAAACAAAAATCACCGCAAACATTTTTCCTGCAAAAATTTACTCCATAGTAAGTATTCACTAACTTAACTTGAATTCGCTGCTCAAAAATACAGTACTAAGAAATCGTTTCCGTTCAATCACAACTTGTCTCTTTCATTCAGAAACAACGCAGTACTGGTTTATTGTTTGAAAATATGTATTTCTATTGCACGTACTCACAAAAAAACGAAAATATTATCAATGTTGGGTACTGGGTACTTTCTGAAAATCGCAAAAATTAATTCCCAGCTAGAAAAACCAATCTGTCCTAAATGGAATGATTAGTTTCCACAAAACACAAAAAATCGCCAATCGGCAAAAATTTCGTGCCACACGGTATATCTATATCTAAGTTGCGCTCGATAAAGGTTGTATTTCACGAGCGATGGAGTCAGAGTTGGAGTAAAATCAGAAGTATAGTGTTATTATGTCATGAAAACAGCGTTAGATTCCACTTATGACCCAGGGTTCACACAGTCTTGAAATTGAGTCCTTGACAATCTTATGTGGTCCTTGAAAAGTGCTGAAATTTGAATTTTTTCTTGAAAAGTGCTTTTATTTCTTGCTAGTCCTTGAAACATCCTTGAGTTTTGTTCAACTTGGAATTTAGTTTCCTGGAAAGTGTTTATTAGTTGTCGAAGAAAGAATATATATCTTAGCCTAGATAATTTAAAGGTGAGTTACACTGATAACCCGTGTTGCGTTTTATGCAGGGACTAACTAACAATAAGAAAAGTGAACTGAAAATGTAGAAAAAGCAGTGGAGCAAACAGTCCAAGCCTTAAAGTACTGTTAGCTTGGACTGGGACTTATATTCTTAATAGATGATCCGGCTTCAAAATCGAATCAGGTTCTTGACAAGAATAATAAGGAACTGATGATATACGTAAGAAAAAAAATTATTGCTGCGTACGTGCTTGCCGTAGAACTTTTCACGCGCGATTCGAAAGATTCAAGTTGCAGGCTTGCAACTGACCTGAGATCAGGCCCAATTTTAGCAGTTCTCATAAATTATCTCTTAAGTGATCGCGCTAAACTTCCGCCTTGCCCGCAGGAATTTAATTTACAAAGCAAAACGAAAATAGAGCCTGATCTCAGGTTAGCTTACAACAGTCTTCCACCACGCAGTCTTTGCCCCTCAATCAACTTCATAACTTATGTGAAGGTAACGGGGAGGAAACAACTTAGTATTGCCAACCTTGTTTTTAGCTATACTGACACATTTCTATATCAGTCCTCAGCCGTGGAATAAGCAAATACCTTTAGCTCCTTCAACCTCGTCTACATCAGCGTTTACACCATTCTCAGGCGCCAACATTGCAGCACCATCCCTGGGTAAGTATGACTACGAGTCCGGATATTTTCACTTTACCGCTGTGATATGGATAAGACTACCCCAACAATACAACCTTTTTTTGTAGAAGCAACGAACAGAATGCGAAACGTAATCGGAATATTTGCCCATGTGGTTAAATTTACCTTCAGCGTTTGCCCTAAACTTGACGTAGTACAGTCAGACTCGTACCCAGTCGCTATTTATGTATTTTTGGGGTGACAGATGGGTTAAGTTCAGGCGCGCGCGGGGTCTCATAGGAAGAGACGAGGGCAAAATAGCGACTGACAGATTTCGTTCCAAAATCTGCCAGTCGCTATTTTTCCGTCGCCCCTTCCCATGAGACCCCGAGCGCCCCTCAACTTAACCACCACTCTTCTGTCACCCCAAAAATTCATAAATAGCGACTGGGTACGAGTCTGTAGTACAGTATGAATGCGCGCGATGCCAAATTTATGCGTAGATTCAAAGTAAATAAAATAAATCATATGATTCACCAGAGTGTTTAAATGCAAATTTTCCAATTTGATGTATAGCTGTCACAGGTTCAAATTCATCGAACCACTGGCCAGGGATGTGTGACCGGACGTTCATGGACTGGCGGCCATCAAGGTAAAATTCTGATGCTGTACCGTAACGTTTGCAATAGTTTACCGATATGTCGATAAATGAAATACTACATGACTCTAACTGACGGCCTTCTCCTTCTCCTCCTCCTCCTCCTTCTTATTTTAGTGCAAGGGGATTTCGTAATTCTTACAATAGAGAGGAGAAGTGTGACGTCACGTTACCACGGTAGCAAAATTTGTGGATCACGACAATAGGGAGTTTTTGCAACGGCGACGGCGAACAGCAAAAAAGCAATAGCTTTAGTTTGGCAAAAGAAAAAATTTTCACGAGCATCACGCTTTTTTTGTACATTTCTTAGCCTTTGTTGCACGACTGCGACATGAAACTTCCGAATTTCACTCGCCCGCCGGCGCCTTATGGGGTTCGTGAACACAACACAAAAATGTTCTTTTTCTTTTTCTAAACTTAGATACGGTGCTTTCGGATTCAACCCAGAAAATTTCGCCAACACTTGACAAATTAAATGAAATTATATAAGACCGATGGAGTTTTCACTGAAACAGTGCAAGTCGACCTTTTAAGTGACGTTTTGGTTTGTTGTCATCCAGAAATTTTGCTACTATGGCAACGTGACGTAACGACTTCTCCTCTCTATTTTAATAGTGTATTCTTTGCCTCACTTATCAACAGCTTTTGCTAAACTTTTCAGGCCACCACTTACTTGTTCTAAACTCTGATCAAGTCCTAACTCTCATAATTGTTTCCTGTCCTTGACGTACAATTCGGCTCGTGTCTTAGTCGATCATACACCATACATGAAGCACAGACACACCACTCCCCAGCCCGATGTCCGGTCGCGTTAAATTTTCTTCCTGTTCTTCTAAAACTGGTCTACCGACCTAAAGCCTTCAATAAGCAGGCCACACAAGAAAACTAAAGAGCTTGAAATTACCGATTTCTCGTCCTGCTTCTTTGCAGTCATGCTACAGCTATTGGAAGCCAATACTTCTCAGCACCTGTGGTTGCGCTGACACCAATCCTTTGGAATCCGGAATTTCAGTACTGTGGGCTTCATACAGCTGCGCAGATTCTTATGGACATGGCTAGCAAATGAACAAAACATCAACGGTTCAAGTTATTTCAGTATTGTTCAACGTTTCTGAAACACGTATTAATCGACCCCTGTTAAAGTAAATTTTTACCTTTTAAAAATGGGGCATATTTTTGACAAGTTTCTAATGTAATTGTTCCGTTTTAATTTGGTCTTAGTGCTGGCTGATTGTTATGAATATTTTTAGCATAATGCTTTTAACAAATGTTAATCGCTTTCTCGTTTGTAAAGTCAGAATGAAATCTTGGATCCAGTTTACTGTTATTAATCAGCGTTGTGAAACTCTAATGATAACAATGAGAATTTTTTGAAAATAATTAGTTTTACTGTAAAAATAACGGTGTTATACAGTTAAATCAATTACATGTTTAAGGTTAAGTTATTTTGAAATAATTCGTTTTAAAAACAACGAACAACAGTGTTACAGTTAAATATTTTACATGTTGACGGTTAGATGTTTGTGAAACATTTGGATTGATACTACCAGTTGCAGAATGATGCTGTCTTTTGCATTGATGTTTGAAAGTTTCATAATCGTAGTCATTGTTATGAATATTTTTTAGCATAATGTTTCAACAAATGTTAATCGCTTTCTCGTTGTAAAATCTTTATTAATTCTTACATTTATGGAAGGGACAGTTTAGTGTTATTAATTAGCGTTCTAAAACGCTTTTAATTAAAATGAGAAATATTTCGAAATAATTAGTTTTAAAAACAACGGTGTTACAGCTATTAAAATCAATTACATGTTTAAGGTTAAATGTTTGTGAAACCTTTAAATATTATACTATCAGTTGCAGAATAGTGAATAAATGATTGTCATTTTACTCCACTCACTTCATTGACGGGTATTAGGGACCGACCTCAAGGCGGCAGTCTGTTTTATTATTTTTTTCCGAGGGAGGGGATGGGGTTGAATTGAAAATGAAAAAGAATAAAGGTAGAAAAACCCTAACACATGTACCAATTAGCCCACCAATGAGTTCAGGGTCTCCGGGCACCTTGTTGTGGTATATCTGGTATTGGTTAGCATTCGAGCAAGCTTTCTGCAGGTCTCTAGGGGTAGGGTGGTGATGGGGCCCAACTTCAGAGAGCTTGGTCGCAGGCTAGGCATTTGTCTAGTTAGCATTTTCTTTACACTTTGATTTTCTCCAGCCCCTGTGAATCGAATATTTTTTAATTTTTTACCATTTTAAGTAATGATCCGGGTAAGGTGGATAGCAATTTCTTTTGTTATGCGTCAACGGTGCTTTCCCCACATAGGAATGTTCTCATTTTTACACTGAGAATGCATAAACCTACATGAAGGCCGTTTACGCAATAAAATACATTTACACTCCATTTTCAAAGGGTGTTTTTTTGTGTTAAAAAATTTTGACCAGTCACAAGAGTTGAAAACAATAGCCAGGAAAAGTTTACAATTTTACATGTTCCCCACATAGGATTTCTTTGTTATTCAAACTGATACCAGATTTTGTTATATAGAATATGGTTGGAAAGTAAGGATGAATATATGTACCGCTTTATGAAGTTTTGTTAACTTTTGCTGTTTAAGCCAATCAGAAGTAAGTACAGACAATAGAAAAGTTAGCACCTTTTTTGCATTCCAACATGTTCGTTGCCGTTGTTGCTATCGTTCTTAGCTGGACCGTTTCTTAAACATCCCTTCTCTAAACAAAAGGCACCAACTCGAGGCTCGAGTGGACAAAAGACAGTGATTTGTATAAAATTGTCCACCCGAGCTTCGTCCTCATTTAATTATGTTTGCTCACTGGAGCGTAATGCGGGAAAGGTCTACTGTTCTTATTTCATATAAAAAATAAAAAATTGGAATAATAATCCTACAGTTTTCAATCATTTATTTAACCGTGAGTAACTACACTAAATACCCATACATAAGAACGTAGAATTTTCGAGGTCAGGCTGAACAGGTTCTTATATCTTAGGGTAGTTAAACACAATTCAGTCTGATTAGTTTCTTAAAAGGTACTTATTTTCCAGAGGTTGTCATGGCGTAACCATTGGCAGAAATATTGTACTACCGTACTAATACATAAAGGCAAACATTCAAGGTCCAAGAAGAACATCAATACATTTCTATATTTTTTAAATAAGATAAAGATTTTAAATCGTCTATATAATTCGCAAGGTAGCTTTATGGAAACATACTTCTAGTGACAATCCAAACAAATGTAAATCAAAGAAAACATATACACAATAACCCTTTGTCAAAAGATTCTCATACAATTAAAATCGAGAATTTTGACCATCAAAATTGGAATGATTGTTTTGTATATATTTTTCTTTGCCATGCAGGCTGAACAGGTTCTTATATTTTTGGGTATTTAAAGGCCAAATGTCAACCTGTATATATATGCGGTTTGCTTCACGTGTTCTTTTAGGAATTTTTAGATTGAATGAAATTTTGGCTAGATTGAAAAGAAAAAGAGCGGAAATAAATAGAAACCAAGGCAGGGATGAGCTCAGTCAGTAGAGCACCTGACAGCAGAGCGGGTGGTCGCGGGTTCGATTCTCGGGACCGGACCAACACTCAAGGTCTTAAAATGACTGTGAAATAAAGGTACTGCTTTTGCCCTGCAAATGGCCAGACCTTCGCGTGGCTTGGATGACCACGTAAAATGGCAGTCCTGTCTCCAGTAGGAGGCGTAAATATAGTGTCCCAAATTAGTATTTTCGTGCTAAATCCATTGAGACACGAATAAAGTGCACTGTATTTTATTTTATTTTATTATGATTTTTTTAAACAAAATCTCCCCTTAAAATCCGAGAGCGGCGACAACGAGGAAAACGGGCGTCGCTTACAAAAGGAATTCTGGTTCTACTAGTGTTCAACGCGATTATTCTAACTCGCTCAGTACTTGGTAAAATGTGAGCAGACCCTTCGAGTATTAAATTCCTAAAAACCATATGCAATTTCAGTTTCTTCGTCGCGTGATTATGTTTTATAGTATACGAGACTTTTAATGCTTTCACTTCGTACTGGTCATGCAGTGACGGCAAATAAATTTACAGAAAGTGTGCTGCACGTGCAAAGTTGTTGGTTTTTACCATTTCCCTAAAGGTTTCGGGAAATCCCCGTCCGAATGGAAAGAAAATCGGAAACACGCGTTTTTGGTTCGATCCAGCGGAAAATTTCCGGGAGCAACTGAACATCTGAAAAGATAGTCCTGTTTTTTTTATTCGGAATGGAATACATGTATTCGTGTTCCATTCCTTTAAAGCAGTCATCTTGGCCAGACATCTTTGAGACAAATTTTAGGTCTTCGCGGTTATTTTTTAGTAAGTGAAAATGTACTGATTGGTACAAGTGGTAAACGCGATTCCGGAATTAAATTTACCAGTCCTCAATTTCGCGTACCATATACCCAAACCATGGACCGACCGGATTGCCCATGTAAACGGAAACAACCGTTGTTCTCTAATCACTCCGCGATGAAACGAGAACAAATAATTTTCACTCTTATGTACAAAAACGCAGACAAGATCAGGAATAGGCATCTCGTTTATTAGATGGCAAAACTAAAGCAAAGCGGGCGGCACTCGATTTAAATTAAAAACTATTATGATGTCACTGTCACGTGATATTTATTCCGATCGCCACCAAAAAATGATATCACAATAAAGTTTAGTCTATGTGTAATACATGTGTTATAATGGTTTTACAGTAAAGATAAACTTGTTTTTAAAGTCTATGAAATTCGAAGATGGAAAGTGTACCTACAAAAAAACTGGGTTGAGTGACCTTAACAAAAATTAATATCAAACCCAATGACAGTAGGCGGACAAACAACCTCGTTCCCAGTTAGAGACAAGTGAGTAGGAGAGGACCCTGGGGACGAGGTTGATGAAGGAAAGCCAAATGAACAGCCCAAGAACAGCATAATTTATTCTAATGTTTATTAAACAACTCAAGTCAAGTATACATTTTACCCTTAACAATACTTGTGATTGCAACCGTTTATATCCACATAAAACTAGTGAACTTTTTAATATACAAAAAGCATCTCCGGAAATTTACAAGATGCAAGAGAAAAAGTGGTCTTATGACCAGCATTTCCTTCCTGGAGCTAGGCTGTACTTGACTCTTTCTTGGACCATGGATCTGTATGATTATAACGCTGTCTTGGGTCAGGCTGGATTTGTCTCCGTCCTGACGAGTCTATCACATTTTCCAAGTCATAGAATGAATAATCGTTGTATGAATAATACTCCTGAACCTTGTAAGTGATTTTCTCCGAGGATTCTGGCTTGGGTGCTGTTGGTCAAAATAAGGAAAAAAAAAATTTGGTTTAGTTGCACCTGTTGTAGGTCAAATCCGTTTCAGGTCAATGAACTAATCCTGGAAACTACCACTTAAAACCCTGTCCCCCTACTTATAACCCTGTCTCCCCACTTATAAGCCCCCCCTAGTTATAGGCCCATCTACCTGTAAAGAAAAAAAAATCTAATGAAAAACCCCTCCCCCACTCTCGCTTGTATTGAAATAAATCACATTCATTATGAGGTCAGGAAAAAACCAATATATAATACATCCAATTAAAAGCCCCCCCCCCTTCACTCTAGCTTGTATTGAAATGAATTACATTCATTATGACCTTTTGAAGCTTATTTAAAAACCAGTAAACATAAAACCTATTTTGATCAGCACCCTTGGAGCTTGTTTTGAAGTCCTTTTTCTATTCCGGTTATAAGCACTCCTAAAACCCCTTATGAAGATGCATAAGCCCAAGACTTATAAGCAGCAGTTTAGGTAAAAAGTGGGAATTAACACTCAAGAGTCGAATTGGCAAAGAACATGTCAACTTAATTAGCAGCTTCTGGAAAATAGCAACTTGAAGATTTTAGTCTAGAATGGAGTATCAAAATTTAGCTGAACAAGACCTGGTATAGGCTAAGGTTACCTGGGACCCAGTGGTATATCCCCACCCAAAACTTCCTTAAAAAAACTCCCCCGGCGAGATCACTCTTTTGCCCGGAGCAGAACATTGTCAGAAGCTGGTGCCGAGTAACATCTCTGTTCAATTATCTCCGAACTATAATTTCTTGACCTGCAAAAGCATTTTTGTGTATTCACTATTTCCAGTAAGTGTCAGCAAGTCAGTTTTAGCTTGCCCTTTGGGGAACCCCAAGAATCATTTTTACTCGCCCAAAAACAATGTTTAGATAAGCCAGATTGACTGCAGCAGTTCTATAATTTGATTTCCTCAAAAAAAAAAACTTCACTTGCCTTTAGGGCAAGCTAGGAAAACAATTTGCTAGCCTGAAAAAATCCACTAGTCCTGGGCTCTTGGAGACAACTTTCTCTGCGTGAACTTACGTACAAAAAGAAGGCTAGGCTACTTTTCCCATCACAGTTGACAAAACATGTAGCCTCTGCTCCAAGGGTAAATGTCACAATAACTATTGTTGATAGGGAAACTTGTGTAGCACTTCAAAAAACAAAACGCATCTTCATTGTTTTTTCCTGGCAATTATAAAACTCACCAGTATCCTGTGATGAAATTGAAGAAGTTGGCTTCTGAGGATCACCTCCACCTGCTGCAGAGCCATTAGACATAAATCTACACAGTACTGATGGTATTCTCTGTGAAATAATAGAAAGAAAGAGTATTGTACATGTAATAAATCATAGCCAAAGGAAAGTAACTTTTCTAGGCATAAATGCCTTATTAAGAGTGATGATATTCTCTGGGGTATTGCACAAGCAGTGTTGAACTGCCCGTGGTTAAAACTGCTGGTTTTTGCTGACTGGGTTTGAACACTGGCTAGACTACCAACGAGGGCCTGGTTTCTGAAAGGCTGTTAGCACTAATCCAGGATTCACATTTTGTTCCACATTTTGTATTTACCTTCTGTGCATTGCTTAGAGTAACATTTTGTATTATTATTACTATATCTCAGAGTAAAGGCTCAACAGTATTTTGTAAGCCTGAGTTACATGCTGCTAGAGAAGAAAACGGTACTTCAAATTTGGCTTAATCCTGGGTTAAACTTAACCATCATTTGAGGAACTGGGCCCACGCCCTTCACTGGGTGATTACATTAAGCCATTGGCCTTCTCTCCCTCATCCTTCCTTTATAACAATTCTTCCTTATTCAAAGGAAACACAAGAGAATCCCCACTGTTCAAAAAGAGTGGGGGACCTTGAACTGACTAGAGTGGTCTGGCCTATCTATCAATTCATGGGGGGAAGAGGAACACTTATCATCGGCACTTAATTTTTTCTGGAACCAAACAATGATAATATAGTTTCCATCTTGGCCTTTAGCCAGCTGAAACCACTATCATTAATAAACACCCTTGATCTTGGGTTAGAATGAACAAAGTGTGTCCAAGTTCAGCATTGATAGGGGGTCAGTCAGACAAAATTATCAAAATACTCAGTGTCCAGCAGACTGACTTTCTCTACTTTTGGGTACATTATGTGAAAAAAAGTTGGGGATTAGGGGCAGGAGACACACTCTGATCCTGATTCGATTCCTGATTTAACAATTTTCAACAGTTACTGGTCGTTTTAATACACAGTAGTTTCGATACAAGTCGTTTCAATACAAGTTTATTCAGTCAAGTTGTAAATAGTGTCATGTACTTGGCTTTAAGAATTGTTGCTCAAAATGTTTTTCTTGTTCACAAGCAAAGTATACTTATTTTTTTATTTTATTCATATTCCTTTTATGAGGCCATTTAATTGTGCGCTCATTTGTGTTTATATATACCTAGCCAAATTTATGAAAACCTCACGAGCTGACAACTCTAGGCCACACAGCTTGACTTGACTTAAATAAAGGGGCCAATGACCAATAATGTAAAGAAATTCAGCCCTTACCCATAAGCCTTCTAAGGTGACTCTCTTCTTGGTTGCTGATCAGCAAAGAAATATTCAAGTCTATAAAAAGGACACTCTCAACTTGGCCATGCACTCTAGCTGCTTTAAGGTCCTATATGACAGGGGTAGCTTGAGGTTCAAGGCCACAACTCTAAGCAAAGAATTCAAGGCCACATCACCCCCACTGACCTGACACAGCCTCGCAGCTGAGCACATCAGTGAGGGGAATCCTTTCATTGGCCTATTGGCTTGAAGCATTTGACGAATTTGGCATGACAAAGTTACAGCAGACACATGATCAATGAAGAGATTCTCCAGACAGACTAACTAGCCATACTACACTTTTATAGCACCCTCCTCCCACTAGGGATTGACATGGAGACCCATTCCCACCCCATGGCAAGTTAGCTCGGGACTGAGCTTGATGATGAGACTAACCAAGATGGCAAGCCCCCAATGAAAATTCTCACTGCAGTCACCAGAAACCGTGCCAATATTCTGGGCCTTTTTTGAAGCATGTTTTCAAAAACTCTGGCTAGATATTATACCGGCCAACTTTTTTTAATTTATAGGTGTGGCATTTTTATGCTGAGAGTGCCAGGATTTTTCGTAGGGTTCTGATAATATCTGAAGATCTCCGAGGACATTCCGAAGATACTCTAAAGAGTTCTGTCTGACATGAATGCCGGAACACGAAGGAATACGACCTCATCTCTTGTGACCTTCCTTACTAAAACAAGATAATTTGGGGAAACCCGATCATTCACATGGACTTTTTTTTTCTCAAATTGTTTTAATTTGGTTCCAGTTTCTTTAAATATTAAAATGTTTTTCAAACTGAGACAGTGCACGCTGTAATGGTTCAAACATTTTTATGACACTGAAATCTCAAAGGCTTGATATTGTTCTTTCTTTTGTTTTCTTCTAACAATTGATGTATGCATAATTAATGTCTGGGGTTATACGGAAACATTGCCGATTAAAACTGTTTTAGGAGTATACTCATTAAAGATTAAAGCGATCGAAATTTTTGTACCATTTTGCCAGAGTTCGAAACGAAACGACTTTGTATCGAAACGACCGGTTACCTTCTCAGCGCTACCGGACATGATTACATACCCAAAGAACGAAAAAATAAAACTATGATTAGATGTGAGAAAGGAAAAACTTTCACGTTTGATGAATTCCTCACCAGAGCGATTTGTCGTACATTCCCCGAGCTCATCATCTTCACTCTCAGGGCGGCCATATTGGAAAACACAGCAGGGCTGAAAAACGACTGCGCATGCGTCAGGCGAGGCGGTTGTCTCTCATTTCGATCGTTTGATCAATGAAAAGTATGGCGGTGAACGCGGCCGTTCCCAGGCAATGTTTGTTTACAAGACGGAACTGAGAGTCGCAGTTTGTGAACGTTTTCAGTCAACGGAAATTCTCTGACATGCTGAAAGGATTCTAGGGGAATGTTCGTCTATTTAGATAGTTTAAAGCCGGCGGACAAGTTCCTGAAAGCGTCCCTTCTTTGTGGAAACGATGGCCGCTCTTGGTGAGTAGGTTTGATTGATTTTATACACTTTAAAAATATAATCGAGTTATTATCAAGTGAACTCTCAATGGACGTAACGTGATAAATTCCTTCCGATCATAGTTTTATTACATTTTGACTCCCAACCAAGCCCGCATGTAAACTGAGAGATAAAACTGAAATCGCGCGGGAATTGAAGTCTTCATGAATAAACAAGCAAGCTTCACATAAACAGATGGCATTAAAATATACTGTCTCGAGTTAATTGACAGTAATCCTTGTCATTGTTGACTTGCTCCTGTACAAGTACTTTCTTGGAAGTTTATAGAGGGGGTTTTCCGGCATGATTCATGGACCAAAGAAATAACTTCTACGAATTGCGGATTTTTACTAAAATGTCATTTCATGTTCAGTTATTGGCTATCAATTTGAGTCTTTCTCGGGCGCGATCCACCTTTGGTCACAGGACACTAAATAATTATCTTATTGAATTCAGGATTCATGACTTTTATGAAAGCACCTCTGTACGGCCCTCTTTCTAGTTGAACGTCACGTTGGTGACAGTTCCAAGTGTGTATTGAAAGCCATTAATTCTCTTATACCAAGAGAGAAGTTCAAATGAATGCTGCCACTCTGTAAAGGCAACTTGGGCCCCACTGTTCCCATGAAAATGACTGTCTAAAAGAAAAACTCCCTGTGTTGTTGGAATAAAGACAACTGTGTTGGACCGTAAGATAAATACTGATGTTGTTCGCCCTTTGGCTAGAGCTTGTCTCCAGTAGTAAGGCAAAGAAGCTGTGGGATTCGTCTCAGGGACAATGCTAACGGGCAGTTCAGGTCCCACAGTAGTATTTCCAATGATGTTATTTAAAACACTAGAGGTTTGAAGTGCCTCCAACACACCAAATGTTCGAGGTGTACTTGTTACTGAGTCATAGATAGAGTTCCCAGCCAAAATGCCTTGCACAACTATCTGATAGACCCATGTCTGGCTTAGTGGACTCCCAATTGTTGGAATGTTGACATTGGGTGAAAAAAACATTTTGCTAAATAAAAGGGCAATGAATGTGCATGCATTACTTCCTGTTCTTCCAAGGATTGTAGATTGAGAAATGATATGTGGGAAAGACCAGTAGGTGACATTACCATTGTGATAGGGTTGGATGGTAATGGGTGTGAGAACATGAGATGGGGTATTAGAGTTGGATTCATGTACTGTTGGCTGGGCTGAAGAGTGATTGTGGTTTGGATGGGATGGAAGAGGGATTGCTGCATAACTATTCACTGTGCTGTCAACCTTCAGAACCCATTCTGCTGAGGAATAAAATGACTGAGCCTCTGTCACACTCATGGCTGCTGGTGTACTAATTCTTTCCTCTTCCTGAATGTCTTCATTGCTTTCAAAAGCAAAGAGTATCATTAGAAGTTAGCAGTCCAGTGTTGAATGTGTTCACTAATTTTTCTACCTTTTTTCTTCAGTGGAACCAGACAGATCGGGCAACAATCATGCGATGAAATGCAAGATTGGTGAAAACAATGGAAGCAGGCCAATCTCATGACAGTACTTGTATCTCTTCTTGTGCATGTTGGATAATCGCAGTAAACGTTTGGGTCAGGTTCCAGGCCAGGTTCCACATCCTCCAAGTTATAACTCAGTGGAAAACACTTTGTGTCAACTATTGTGTCAAACGTTGGGAGATAATACTGTGGCTTTCCTTTGGTCTTCCATTATTTGCAAGGGAGCGTTCGACCTAAAAAAGACAAAACCAAATGAGGTCAGTAGAATATGAATACACTGAAGTGTACTTACAGGTGTGTGTACAATGCATTTTGCATATTTTATTGTGCTTCTTTACTTTAGTTTTAGTTCACAACTTTGTTTTCTTACTCTGTGGATTGACTGTATAACTTTTTACCAATTCTTTTGATTATTAGAGCAAAAACTGATAATTACTTTTCAGATGAAGTAATGTCAGTGTCATCTCTTTTTCAGTTATTAAGAACATAGGGCCAGTTCCTTATCAAGCCGTATGGTACCTGTGTTATGGGCACCTTTAAAACTTTATAGTTCACTGTATTTACTTGCCAGAAACAATGTAATAATTATAAATAATTATTTGTGATATGTTTTTGCCTTAGGAGTGTTACCTGGTGTGATTTCTGACAGTTTCTTGAGACACTCCTAAACAGTTCAAGTAAGAATTCTGCTGTCTTCCCTGCGATAAGCCATAAGTTTGGTTCAGCATGACCGCGGTGGTATTGAGGAACAAAGGACTGTATAAAATCATTTAAAAAACCTGATGATGCAATAGACTTTGCTGTGTCTTCAATGCTTTTTGAATCGTCAAACTTCTCAGTGTTTCTTCGCAGTACAGAGTGCCAAACTTCAACCTTCTTTTCTGTGATCAGTTTGAGAACACTTGCCTTCTTTGACCAGTATTCTGGAAGATGTTTGCACTGGTATGCACAATCACTCAAAAATGACAAGGTTGATTTGTCATAATGTCTCCTTTTCCAGCATATGAAAATTATAGCTATTTGTGCCATAACTTTCTCATACAACTTTAAGTCACCACTTCTGAAAATGTTATACTGGTAGAACACAAGGGGGCAAAACATGTTCAAGCAAGTGTAGAATGGTGACAAATTCATGTTGCTTGCACTTTCCAAACTTTTCCAGTACCTTTTGTCGTATCAGTTGCCAACCAAGTAAGGCAGCAGTAACACACAGGGATGTCTGGTATGGTTTGGGTTTCGATGCCAAAGTACCTCCAAAAACATACGAAAACAGTTTAAAAAAAAAAAAAAAATTTAAAATTCAAAAGAACATCTTCATAAGCATTCAGACACACATGAAATGGCCCTTGTTCTGGAATTATGCTAATGTTGGGATTCCATCCACTTGCTATCAGCTTTTTGGGATAGTACCACCCTGGCCAGTCAGCAGGCAATGGTACAACAAATTTCTTGCTGTACATGTTAAGTTGAGGGCATTTGTTCAGTACACGTTCAAGGGCCATCTTGTAATGTTCCATGCTCTTTAAATCTTGTTGAAACTCATCAACTAGCATACAAGTCTCGAGCGTCTCAATGTCTTGTGTTGTTGGATCTGAGTACACCCTGTTCAACAGACAGACATTACAGATATTTACAATTTCATTGCAATTATTAAGTCAAATTTTTTTTGCTGTTAACCTGTTGTCTTTCTCTTTTGTAATAGACATTTTTCTGTGATAAATGGGTAACAAATAAGACTAATGTGTACCTTAGTTCATGTAGTGCTGTTTGTAGTCTTCCTGGATCAAGGCTTTGCATGTAACTTGGTAGCTGGTCCCAGAACTGTTTATTCATATTCCTTAATGAGTTTGTTATTGTTTGCAGGACATCGTTAATGTCAATTCCGCCAGCACAGGTCCTCTGCTCTCCATTTACATTTATTGTCACTTGTCTGTGTAAGGGAAATGCAGGCCTAGGGACTGCATGAACTGATGGATGAACATCTGCCAAACAGGATGCCATGTGAATGACATTTGTCCGTATCAACTGTGATGGTGTATGGAGTGAGTGGATGTTGTGGAAGTCATCAAGCATTAAAACTATAAAGCATTGCAGCTGTTAAGAAAGACAAAAAGCAAAATTAAACACAACACACATAAACTGTTGTGTTAATGTTATTTACTGTATGAGGAGATTTCATGATGATTCTCTTTGTTTCAAAGCTTTTTCTTGGGCAATTGGTACACAACTTTTAGATATTAGATATATTTACACCCAAGGGACTCACCTCATTTACCCTGTGAAATTGTTGACAAATGAAGCTTGTGTGTTGTACACTCAAATTAGCTTTTAACTGCTGTATTGTCCTGGGGGTTGTACTGTATCCCAACACCTGGCCAGAAGATAGTCCCGTAATGACATGCCACAGTTGGATGCATGCAGTCCGCTGTCCTTCTGTAGGGCAGACGTTTTTGTGATCTGTGACAAATAAAACAAATGTTATTATACCAGTTATAAATGACTGTGTGCAAAATTATATCCCAGATCACTAAACTCAAAGTACATACCTAAAATAAGCCAGGATGTGAAGTAAAGCCACTACTCTCTGCTCTTGCAGCTTTCTTCTGTTCTCAGACAGGCTTTTACCTCCTGTAACACAGGTAAGAAGATCTTGAAAGAGTCCGGGGCTGTTTTTATTCACAAACTGTTTCATGGAATCTGTATCATAAATCTTTATGTCAGGTGTGGTAACTTGGTGCCTGTAAAGAGCCTTTTGAAATTCCTCTAACTTCTTGTCAATTGTTGATTCTAAAATAAAGGAACCCAACCGTTTAATACAAAATGTGTTTTATGGGAAATGCAAAATAGTTGAGGGATGTAAAATTTAATTGCAGCAATGCAAAGTAAATTAGTTAAACCTGTTATTCCTGAGAGCTGTTGTTTCAGCATCTCCAGTTGTGTTGTCAGGGTGTGACATTTTTCAGCCTCCTTTTGGTAAAGTTGGTAAAACTCTGTCTCCTTTTCCGTTAAACTGGTCATCATATCCATTTTCTATAAAGAATGTAACAAGAACATGTTGGGGAAAGTGAGTACTTGTTACTGACTTGATAAAATGTAAATGCAAACTAACCCGGAATTGCCAATATTTACCTTACTTCGTTTTCTTCTTGCCATACCACTTTCTCCTTCTGTTATTTTGTAAAACTTACTTTTACAAGCATGGCACCACTTGCTCCCTGGTCGGAAGTTTTCGTTTTTTCGGCCGTAATTATCAATAATTCCATAATGTGTCGCTGGAATCTCTGTAAGTTTCTTTGAGTGCTTCTCTTGAAAGGGTGCAGAGCACCGATTGTCTTGGCTCTCGATCATCCGCAGATGTCTGAGGCAAACAATGGTGTGTTCCGGCAACTCTGCTGCTCTCGCTAACCCTGGTGGTAAGGGTTTGCTAGGGCCATAACAATCCTCTTTCGAGTTTCTGGTTCTACCAGAAAACCAACACCCAAAAACAGACGGCAAAATGACAATAAAAAGCCAACAAGGTGTTGTAAACATCGCCGATAATTTTCACTAATTAGCCGGGTTCGCAACTTCACTTAAAGATCACGCGAATGGCCGTTTTCGGTGCGAAAACAATTTTTTCAAAATTTCTACACTCACTAGATTTTAAGGAAAATGTTTTTTCTTCTCAAAACTGTTGTTTAAACCCTTATCTTTTCAACTGTTACCTTATTTTTTCAATTTAAATGCCGTCTGTTTATTTCCCGCGAAACTGGAGTCATTTTGAATGAGCGCGCGGCTGAGCCTGCGTTGTTTGCCGCATGCCACAGCACATGCGCAGTCGTTTTTCAGCCCTGCTGGAAAACACGAGTTTATTGCGCATGACCGGCACCAAGTCCCCTCTGTCCGAAAAAGTAAAATGGCGGATTCAGTTGTGCATGTGAGATCCGGATGAAAAAGATTTGAATGTTTTTAGTTGGTTAGTACCGACATGGCGGACGGATTTGGAGCAATAACCTGGTGGGGATTTAGTCCCGCTCTTGACTTGCAGGAGAACTGCCAATGTAAGTGCAAATTCAGCTACTTTGGCTATGCTTACTGTGTTTTACCTGCTTTTACTCTGCACTTACCGTTGGTTAGCGTCTTCCATTTTTTACGCGCGCTTTGCTACATGTAGCTGCTAGCGGTGTGCGACAAACTCAGGCTGCAGACTTGCAGACTGGCAGGTAAACGAGGTAAGCATTGTTGTGAAATGCTTTAACAGATTCTCTATCCCTAAACTTTAAGTCTTCTAAAAGTCTAGTTTAGGGATAGGGAATCTGTTAAAGCATTTCACAACAATGTTTACCTCGTTTACAGATGTACCTGCCAGTCTGCAGTCTGAGTCTGCGTTTGTCGCACGCTGACTAGCTACTAGACAGAATTTTCCAGGTATTGGAATGTTTGTTTGCTTTTTTTTCGCATTTTTTTCACAGAGCATTATTTTTTGTACACTTGAGGAGCCTTTTTCCTCCAAACAAGTATTGTAGTGTGAAGTGAGCACTTTAAGAGGTAAACCTACAATCGAATAAGTGCAGCCTTTACAACGTACTGTTTACAATTTATTATTTACAGTATTGACATCACAGTTGGAAAAGTTGAAGCTCTCTGAAGAGAAGAAAACTACAGAGCAAGGTAACAATTTGGTAATTTCCGCATGTCACCTATAAAATAAGAGCCTCACTCTAATCACTTAAGGGAATGTGTGATGGTAATAACTTAAATTAAATCCGGTCAACAACTGCTAAACCTAGTCAATCACTCGTAGCTGAAGTGGCCGTACTTTCCTAATGGTTATGGAACTCGTTTGGAAAAAAAAAAAAGAAATAAACTTGTTCGAAGAATGCAAACTGGTTTGAAAATGAATGAAGATGAAAATTAAACCACAACACATACGTGTACTGAAAATTTTCAGGTTTGCCAGGATTGTAACCCTGACCTCTGCAATACTGGTTAATCAACGCTCTAATCAATTGAGCTATCAAGCCAATGGAGGTTTGTCATGAAATTGGTTCGTAACATACTTGGGAAAGATCAAGATGAAATGATGAATGTATGAATTTCATATATTGGAACCATGGAATAAAGTAATAAATGCAAAGAAAATCATTGAAATTAATCATTTTCTTCTTTCCTGTGTATATTATGAACTAATTTAACCCTTTAAGCCCTAATATCCACATCCAAATTTCTTTTTGCAACTGAATATTATAAGTTGTGTCTGTTATGGTGATAATCTTCTTTGCATTTTTTTAATTCATTGATTTCAATAAGCAAAATTCATATATTCATCATTTCATTTATAATTTTGTTTAGGAAAGTATAACATCCTTATAATTGGGGCTGGAGACTGTCGGCACATTTTGAAGACCATTGCACATACCTGGAGGCATTCTAAGAAAACATTGAATGTGAGTCTTGTTAGAGTAACAATAGGGCCATTTATACGAGGAAAAATAAGGCACGTCTTAAATAAGATGCCAACTGTTTGTACCATTTATACGAGCATGTCTTATCTAATAAGACGCGTCTTATTAGATAAGACATGCTCGTATAAATGGTACACACAGTTCACGTCTTATTTAAGACGCGTCTTAGCTAAGGCGCGTCTTATTTTAGACGAAATGTGCCGTTTATACGGAAAGTTTGCGTCTTATTTAAGACCCGTCTTATGTAAGACGCGTCTTATTTTTCCTCATATAAATGGCCCTAATAATAATTTAAAAAATGTTATTAAGGAAAGTAAACTGAGGCTTGATGGATTAGTGTTTAAGGTTTATTTATTTCAAGTACATTTGAAGTGGGGCTTAGTAGAGAGGGGAGGCTTAATAGAGGATATACTGTATGTGAGTACTGGCAACATATGCAGGAGGAACATAGAAAGATTGTTATGTCACAGGAACATTACTGTACTGGTCTTCCTATGATCGTGGTTATCAGTAAGATTTTCAAGTTGCTGGATGTAATATGTAACAGGTTGAAATTTTTAAGCCTATGCCGATTCTTAATGTCCTTTACATCTTCTTGCCCTAATTATTCATGAATACTAGGAAACAAAGGAAATTGAGAATCAACCTACAGTATGTTAAAAAATTTAACTTGAATTTTTTGACCTGTAACATATAGAGTTAGTAGGCAGGGGATGGAAGAGCTTGTCAGTTCTTTTGATTTACCTTTCCTCTTGTTTTCTGAAAACTACATAATGTAGTAGATGGGGTCTTGCTCATAGTAGCTGGGGGATTTCCCCAGCCACTGGTACTGAATGACAGCCCTATGTGCTGGACCGTTTGGTTTAGGGGGAAAATGATAAATGCATTCCTTGGTGATTTGTTTAGAGATACTGCAAGTAGAAATGGCCATGTATCTTTACTTCCTGTACATTTCTAACATGTTATACCGACTACACATGTACATGTAAATGTTTGAAAAAGCAGTAAGTTCAGTGGAAAAGGCTGACTTTCCAAGGTCTAGAGTCAAAGCCAGGGTTTGCCTTATTCATTCTTATCTTTATTATTGCAGATATATGTTGTGGAGAATAATCTCGAGATTTATGGAAGAGACCTTCTTCTTCTTTCTATTGCACTTGAACCCAAAGACAGATTGGGTTTGCAAGGTTAGCTTTGAAGTGATGTCAATGAGGAAGAAATGGTGGGATGTGGAGGAAATTTTTACACCCTTTGGAGACTGTGAGGCAGTTTTTAAGCAAACAATAATAAAGTATTTATGAACATTGTTCCATGAAATTTACCTTAGTTAGCACTTTTCATTTTTCAAAATAGAGCATGTTTTCTTTGAAACTTTAAACTGCAATGTGTTCACTTATAAATGTATACTCCTACAAGATGTTTTTGATGTAATTTGTTATTGTGTGTAGTTTCCATTGCCTTTGAATTTGATTCTATAAAAGAACTAAAAGTAAAAACAATCTGCTGTCTAATAGCATGGGGCCAGGGTGACTTATCAGTCCAGTGGAATACAAAATGTGGGTGCTGTAGGAGTGATAAGTGCTATATTTATGAAAGATGTCTGTGTATCCAAGTACTTAGTATACATGTAGATACTAAAATTATACCAGAGAATAATGTTAATATTATTGTTTTCCCAATAATTGCTATTAAGCTTTATTCATGTTTGTAATGTTTAGAAAAAACAGAGCTTTTCCTTGAGTTGTTTGGGAACAGCCTTGTGAGACCTCAAGCAAGTGAATATTTGCAGCAAAAATCAAGTGAGTTCATCAGGTAAATAAAACATGAAGTCTTTACTTTGTCAAACAAGCTTTACAATAAAATTAATTGTACATCTACAGTGTATATATTTAATATATACACTGTAGATGTACAATATTTATTATGTTTGGGTGAGGTCTTAATTTGATAGTCTTTTTCCCCTTCAGGGTCTTGAAATTGAGTTGAACTCATCCCAACATGCACAGTGTTTGGTCTTGTGCATATGTGCATGTTGAGAAAATTATATGTCCCAAGTATGTTTCTTGATCTGCTAATGCAGCATCCTGTACATGAATATCAGTTTACACAGTAGAAGTTATATTCCAGAAGTGAAACTGCTTGCAATCAGACAACCAGTACAGTTTGTACAATAGTAGACTGTACATTAAATAACTTCTAACACTAACAATAAGTACTAAGGATTGGAATTAGCGAACCATGAGTGGGGTTGGAAATGCACCAGCAACTATGGTGTTATGTATTAAAAGTCCAGCACAGCAAATTGACAGCATCAACTTATGAAGACCAGTAGTACACTGATGAAATGGCGTGAACATTAAAAGTGATTATCAATCATGACACAAATGATGACACAGGCCCTGTCATACAGAAGCCACGATGAACAATATCTTATTCGCCAACATTGATTTTTTATTGTTATGAATATAATTATCATAAGAATCCTTCAAAAACATAACCTGAAAAAATCTGTCTGCAACAAAGTTTGGAAGTCACACTATCAAAATGGATGTTTTTCTTTTGTCTTCCAGAATGATAACAGACTCTGATTACTTGGAGGCTTTCTTGCCTTTGGTTGATTTTTCTCAGCTGAAGGTAACTAGTATAACTAATAATGTTATTATTACGTGCCTGATTGGCTTATTTCTTGTAATGCAATAACATTCAGAAATAATTCTGGTGTTCATGGTTTTCCCGGTTTGACTTTAAGTTATGGCTGTTTGTTGTCATGTGGGTAACTTTCAAAGTAACTGAAAAGTACCAACTTTTTTGCTTGTAAATTCACTGTTCATCCTAAACATTTTTTGGGTATGCTTATTCAGAGCTTTGATAAATACAGTGTAGTCTGTCATTTTTAGTTTGTAATAAAAAACTAACAGCACTTGTGCAATTTTTGTAGTTCAAAGAGAGAGACCAACTGGAAAGTATCTTTAAATTCTGGAGGAATACAGACCCCAAACTGTTTGACATATGCCAGCATTGGTAAGCATCAATCTAACTGTATAAATTAAATGAAAATGAAGAAATGATCGTCGCAGTGAACGCAATTTACGCAATTGTATAAAGAAGCCTGAAAAAAATTCAGGACTTCAATGGGGTTTGAACCTGTGTATAAATTAAGTTGAACTTTGACAATTATTTAAAAAAAAAATCTTTTTTGAGACGTATCAAAATTTCTATACATTTTGGTAGTTAAATTGTTTCCTAGTTTTTGTGATAGTGATGACTTAAAAAAGAATGAGTGTGGCTATCTGTCGCTAGGGAAGTGCTGAATTAAGTAGTTGAGTTGCTTTCATAACAGATCCCATGTTCTATTTGATATATTTTCTATCATTTTTCCTAGGGAAGAGAGGTTAAGGCAGTACTTTACAACTCGTTATGACTCAAGACACAACATCTTTGACTGGGATTACAACATGAAACTGTCCAAAAAGGTAAACATTTGTTGTTTATTGGTTAAGACAAACTATTAAGTGGCAAACTGATCTTTGTGGTATCAAATAATATTATTCTTGTTTCGGTTCATTTTGCCATCATTCCCATTTCCATCTTAACTTTAAGGCAGAGATGCTAACCTCTGGAGATCTTAAGTCTGTAGACTCTATCTCTTGCACTACCCCTCCACCTTAATGTCAACAAACCCCCACCCCACAAAATGACCCAGCCCCCAAATTATGACACTCATGGGAATGGTTTTGGTCATTATATGAGGTCTTACATAAAGTACATACCATCAAAATTAGCATTCATCGTTGTAATGATGAAACAGTCTTTGTCAGTGCAGACTAAATATGAGCGAAAATGCTCCAGAAACTGCACTTTTTTGGAAAAAATGGGCAAAATTTGAAACTAAGTCACAGAAATACTAAAAAAAAAAACAATTTTAGTGGCATTGTTTTTTATTTTATTACTTCGTGTGTTATTATTGATAGCGCACTGATTTGAAATTTATTGTTTTAATTTTCTTTCATACAGGCCTCGATTATTAATAGTCATGAATATAAGAGCTGGCGGGAACAGGGTGTGGCATTTGAACTGCGTAGTGACTCCACATATGAAGTATCAAACAGATCGTTGGCTTCAGGTCTTATTATTAAAAAGGTAACGTGAAGATACAAACTTTAAACAGCTTCGGTATCTCAAAATGCCTGAAACCATTACTGAAAAGGAAAGATTGATTTTAGTTTGGGAATGGCCGGAGGCTATCAGTAGGGTGTTGTAACCCCTAGTTTGCTCTTTGAAAACAGTACAAATTACAAAATATTTTGTAAAATACTGACAAGCAAACAGCAGTTTTCAAAGTATGATGCTATGAAGATTGGAGATCAAAATAAAGACCCAGCCAACCCAAAAGTGATAAACCATTTTCAGAGATTTGTGAAAAATGTTCCACTATCTTCTTTTCATTCCAATCATTTTCTTTTTCTATTTTGCCATGACAATAGACAGCCACGAGACTGTGAAAGCAGGTTTTACTTCTTTGACACTTGACTGATGTTTGAATGGTTTTTATGTTAGGATGGTGAGCGGTTCGCCCGCCGTGGTTACTGGGGTGACATTATCAACAGTCCCTATCTAGCATTCGGCATTGAGAGCGAGGAAGAGTCGCTCTTTAAAACCTCTAATGGCCAACATGTTAAAGTAAGTATTTTGGTAAAAATTGATATATATTTTGTGTGAAGTTTTCACTGGAAAAAGTTGTTGATCCACATGTACAGGCACCGTCATTCATGCTTCTTCACTTTTTTCAGGCTTAAAGAACGACAAATAAACATCGGGCGAATCAACTTACGTCCGGGCTAAACGACCTGTTACCCGTTGGGGAGGCACTTTCTCTCTTCCCATCGTGCCCTGTACGCTTACCTCTTGTCAAAATTGTACTACCGTAAAATTCCGAAAATAAGCCCCTCCATGTATAAGCGCCTCCCAAAATCGTAACGCAAAAAACCCTCCGTTAAATCGCCCCTCCGAATATAAGGCCCCTGGGGGGCTTGTACTTGGAATTTGCCCTCGAATACAAAGTAAAACAAAGCAAAAATGGTAAATTTCCTTCCCACTACAAACTAGCCCAATTGATTTTAAAACGCAGATTTCCCTCCATTGACAAGCCCCTCCGAATATAAGCCCCTCAAAAAGGGCCTTTGAAAAATATAAGCCCCGGGGCTTATTTTCGGAATTTTACGGTATTTTATCGTACCATACAATCATCCAACAAAGCCAGACACGAACTTTCCAATTCCAGTTTATAGAAGTCTTTTTTACATCCAGTTGATCTTCAAAATCTCCCTTTTTAAAACTGGTTTGTTTGTTCACTGTCAAGTTCTTTGTCGAACAGCGGGAATGGCAACGAGTCACTTTGATCCTATCTAAAGACTGTTCCTTAGAATGGTCTTACCAACTGAAATTTATGCAGAGAACTATCTCAGTGCCACAATTTTGTCTGAATTTTTTTTTTCATATTTAGACAGCAACTCATGTATCCGAATTTAATGTGACAGCGCTTATGCATGAAATAATTACGGGGCAGAAGTACGTTCTGCCAAAAACTGGCGAGAAGAAAAAGGAAAAGAAAGGAAAAGCAACTCTGGAAGAAGTCACGGAGGAGGAAAAAGAGCCGGAAGAGAGAGAAGAGGTGAAGGAAAAGGAAGATATAATTCCTCAGTCGAGAGGTAAGTGAGGGCGGCACAAAGGAAAAACACAACTAAAAACAAACCGAGGAAAAATATCGATGCTGGTTTGCACGTGACGTCACGGCGGCCATGTTGGAAGACAAGAACAAAAGCATTTCTCAACTCTGAGAACTTAACTCTATTTCATGTAATTTCTTCAAGAAAAATTATGTTGTATTGTCATCCAACATGGCCGCCTTGTCACGTGGTTGCAAATCAAGAATAAACAGAGCACTTACAGCACAATTAAATCTAGTTAATTGAGCCCAAAACAAGAAGCTGTCCACTAACTGTCCTTTTGTCTTCCTCTTGTTAACTAAACTGACTAAAGATGATCTTGACTCTCATGTATTGACTTATTTCCACTTTGCTACTCTTCCTTTTCTCTGCAAGTCTCTTTAACAGACTCATCCGCGAGCACTTACGCTTAGGGTATTTCTGGATTTTAGCTTGCTATAATTACTGCGTGGTAAAACTTCTTCTGCATTATTTTCGCGGTTTTCCCGGCTGATTTGCTTGACTCTCTCCTCAGATATTTTGTCTACTAATAGTAAAAATCATTATCTCTTTGGTAGTGCTCATTAGAGCACATGTTTTGAAGGGAAATTGTGGATAGTCGCAGCTTTCTCCTGACTGCGCGTAGTCTCTTATTTCAGTTTCTTTAGCGTCAAAGCAAATCTAGAGGACGTGTAAAGGGCGACAGGCGGAACCCAATAATTTGCATAGTTTTATTTTTTGCTCGTCGCGCGTGTCTCTGTGGAAAGAAGGATGACCACTCGCGCTCTAAGCTTTCTGCCCTTAACACTATCATTAACAAACAACAAGAAAAAACTTGCTAATGAATCCTTTACCGTAATTGTGGGAAGAGAGTAAAATCCCAACCTCGCCAAGAACCAATCAAGATTGCAGGTTTCGTTACCGTGTCCTCCTAAAAAAGAAAATAATTTAATTTCTATATTTCGCAGATTATATGAAGTGCCCCGGTGTTAAAGTCCATTTCCTTCCCATAAATTCTGTTCCTGACCTGCCAAAGAAAAGCAAGTACAACAAATTGTTTGACATCATTTACTTTTCAAACAGGTACGTGAACACGTGATTGCTTTATCGAGTTTTTGCCATATGTAGTTTGGAGGTGTCAAGCTCGCGCTAGTGTCACATGACCCTATCTGTAATTTTATTGGGAAATGTGCTATTAGATGCGGTCACATTAGCGATTTTACCCATGGGAAAGTGCTGTTGCCCATGGGAAAGCAACTTTCTGTGTGAGACCGATTTCCCTAAGGTGAAATGGCCCTTATGCGTGATTATGTCAGACAAGCAAATTTCACCACCAAAGTTAGTTTGTAAGCAAAATTCTTTTCTGTGCTGCCTCATGATTTCATTTATGTAAAACTTCACAACTTCATATTTTGAAAACGAGACTTGGTAGAGAAATTTTCACGTCTGACGTAAACATGCATAAGGGCTGTTGCCTCGGGGAAGTTTCCATGGATAAGTAAAAAAGAACAAAGGAAATCTCCATGACAGTTCCCGGGGTTAGTTCTAAAGCGGTTCAACCAACCACGAGAAAGTGAAAATTACCAAGCAGTAGAAATCACGTGTTGTTTACGTTCTGTGTTCGTCATGGCGCCAAATCCTACGCGAAAACTAAACTCAAAGTTCGAGAATTCAGCAGGATTTTGAACACTGCTGCAAACGTTTTTCAGGTTTTTACGTTACATAAATTCAAAGCACCTTGATACACTCGCAAGTTTTCTTTAAATCAGTGTTCAAGAATTCTTTTCAAGTCGTCGTTGAAACCGTACATTTGACTTCTAAGCGAGAATGGGTTAGAATTTGTTTTTCTTTTAGGCGCGAATGAATTCGACCTCTTCCTTTTGAGTTTCTAAGAAGGGCTGAAGCTCTCTTGCCAAGCTTAATTGATGTGGCGGTTTTATTGAAAGGGTAAAAATTGGCGAAACCGTTTACGATTTATGTCAGCCTTTAATGTTTACCACAACGTTCCAGGCGAAACCTGATTCAATTGACCTCAATTGCTTTCTTCCCCTTCTGCAATTAATGGCTGTGTGACTGCAAACATGAAATTGTTCAAAACCCAGAGTGAACCCAATCTAAGCTATTTCCCCGTCTAGTGTAACCGAACCTACTATATTTTTCCTTATTTCATAAAATGGAGCTTCAGAGTCGAAAGCTGGCGCAGCCGAAACTTTTTAACAATTATTCCTCGAGTCCGAATGGGCTCTGAGTCAATAGCCCATTCGGCCTTCGGCCTCATGGGCTATTGAGTCTGAGGCCAGGACGGCGAGAGGAATAGTTGGTCGAGAATAAAAAAAATTTAGCTAGTTAAAGCTAGACTTTAATCCTTTTTTGCCGCCACAAAGCCCGCGCTTTTCGTTACTAGTGGGCTACAACATATAGCCTAGTAGTAGCTCAACCAATCAGAACGCAGCATTTATAATAGACCACTAGTTGGATTTTACTAATATTATATACACCTAATTGCAATAACGTTGTCATAGAAAAAAGCAAAAAGCAAAAAGCCAAATAGGAATTAATTAGCCATGTGATTTACATTTGCGTATTTTAATAATATAACAATTATTTAAGAAGTTAGTCACAATAACAAGAAATAATTCTGTAATTCCGCGCTGTAAGATTCCGCAGATGAAACACTGATGTGTGTAACAAAAGGGTCCTGACAAACGAAGCTTAGTTTGTGGCGCGGGAGAGGGACTGGCTGAGGAACGCCTCACCCTCTCCGCGATGGAAAGTCCTGCGTACGCCCCTGATTTGTTGCTTGAAAATTGTGATCTGATGGTGTGGTGCACTACAAACCATACGCAGACTGGCTTTTCTATTTAGCATTAAACGGAAAGACGCGTCGCGTTCCTGGAATTTACCCTAGGCTATATTTATTGAAAAAAAAAATGGAGCCATTTTTTCTTTAGTAGTTATCCGATGTACGTTTGTAATTAGAGCACGTTTGAAATCCGCTAGATGAATCAGCCTCGAATTGCATTAGACTGACACCAAGAAACTGATGCAAATGATTTCTCTCATGTTACGTGATTAATATTCAGCTATAAGCGTGTGTGTTGGGAATGTTGCAAGCAATGATAATTAAATACTAATTAATTCCTATTTGGCTTTTTGCCTTTTGCTTTTTGCTTTTTGCTTTTTTCTATGACAACCTTATTGCAAATAGGTGTATACAGAGCTGGACACTAAATTTGAAGTAGAGTGACAAAAAACTAAAGACAAAGATTTACACGGTTGTTTTAAAATTAATTCAATGTTTCGGACCTCAGTACACACGAGGGTAAAATTATTTAGAATTAAGAAATGATCTGAAGGAAAACAAAAATTACTTCGAGTAAGCGGGAGGTTCGAGTTATCGAGGGTTCGAGTTACGGAGGCCACCATGCAGGAAATCCACGGTAAATCGACTTTGGTTCAAGTTAGTTCGACGTTCTAGCTATCGGAAGTCAACCGTATTTATTATTATATTAATTGATTTAATCGCAAACAGCAGTGTCTGTGATAAACATTGTGAGCGTTCGCATTGTTGTACAAACTTGACGTTTCGTGTGTTAGCCAATATCATTTTCAAAAGTGATCTTAAGTGACCGTGACAGGTTATGACGAGACTATTTATACAAAAATGTTCAAAGGATCTGAAAATGAGATTAAAGTTCCAATGTTTATCAACGCTGATTGTGTTTTATTTTTTATTAAACCACTATGGGTCAATAACAAGTCTTTAATTAATTTATTTATGGATTTTTTTATTTATTAATTGTAGTATGGTCCATTTATTGACTCCGGAAGTAAAAGAAATCTTTGCTGATGAAGCTATTGTTATTGCTGAAACAACCAAGTAAGTTTCCATATTTGGATCTTTCCAGCTGCTAGATATTCAGCTTTTGAAACCCTACAAAATCGCACGACGTCTTAATTGAGCACCTGGTTTGATTCGGAGGTGTAAAATGTGGAGAAGAGCACCACTCTCAGTGTCTGTGGGTGATAAGAATGATGTTTTCTCAGTTGGTGACATGGGGTGACAGAAACAAGAAAATTAGGGCCTAGTTACATGGAGGTGGGGGACCTTAGGTAGGTGAGGTAACATGCGGCAGGTCACCCCACCATTACTTAGCAACCAGAAGCGCCATGCTACGCAGGCTAATATGGACAGACGGGTACCCCACCTAAGCGGGTTACCTCACCTATCTAGGGTCCCCCACCTCCAAGTAAAAGTTGAGATTATTGTTACTAGGATTTATTTCCTATAGACCCTTTCTTATGCTAGCCTAATTTCGTTTGTGGTTTGTTGTCAACACGGTCGTAGATTAAATCGGGTCTGCGTGGGATGCTAGTTCATCACAGGGTTCCCACCTCGGGAAAACCGGTCGTTTGGATACAAAGTTTTTGCGATACAAGTCGTTTCGATACTAACCTGAGATCAGGCTCTATTTTCGTTTCGCTTTGAAAATTACATTCCGGCGGGCAAGGCGAAACGAAAAGAGAGGCCCAATTTTAGCGACAGCCGTTAGAGACAATGTATGAGAACCGCTAAAATCGGGCCTGATCTCAGGTTATTTCGATACAAACTTAAGCAGTGAAACTGCTCAACAATTTCAAATACTTAAAGTTATAGTTAGCGCGTGGACAAACTTTTGGCGTCAATGTGCCCCGTTGTATAGGCTAACTACGAAAAACTATTTGTACCTCGACTGAATCAACTTGTAAACGAGACGACTTTGTATAATGTTACGTGTCGTGTTTAATTTTCAAGGTTCATGTTGGACCTGAAACTGGAACAAATGCAAGAATATCTGAAAAAGATAACATCCATGGCTCAAAGCGCTGGATGCAAGGTTGGTGTAAAATTTAAAAATAGATTTTTAAACTCCAACTTATTACTGAGCTGACGTCACATTTGACGGTTATCTCAGTCCAGACTGCAAGCATACTGTATAATTGCTACGCGAATAATATTTACTGTAGCGGACGCCATTTTGACGCACTTATCTGTATCGAAAATGAAGTGGTCTCTTTCATTATCCCTAGAAAAATAACCAACTACCTAGAAAAATAACAACTACCCTACAATAGGTTAGGCAAGGTGTCACAGACTTTTCATGCGTATTTTCCAGTTTTGGTTCAAGTCTTGTGGTTATCTGCCTCCGCCCTCGAAACATCCCGTCGCTCGCCAAAAAATAATCTCTGCTACGTAGGGTATTAGAAAACCTCTGCAAGAGAGAATAGAAGCAGCCGATTTAGTTGCTGACGGTATTTTGCACGGTTACAATGTTCTTGTCTCATCACGGCTGATACCGCTTACAGTGGTGGTACTTCTAGGAAGGGTAAGACGTGTTCCTCGCGCGCCGCAAAAAGTGACTACCTTCACTGCTCTGAGAGAAGCCCTGATAAGCTATACTAACAGGAACTTTCTGTGCGCAATGCCGTGTGCCTATATTCTATCGTGTTCGTGTTCCTTTGCAGACAACAGGTTCCGCAGATGGAGAGAAAGATGCTCACGCCTTCTTCACTTTCCAAAGATAACATTGCTTGTGGCGTTTATTCTCCACCGAAGTTCCGCGTAAACAACCATACACTAATTTCCTGCACTTCTTCTACATTCGTTGAAATTCTCTATAACGCAGATAATATGTGTCCGCTGGTTTGGTGGTATACGTTGGTATTCTCTATTTTCGTATATCCTCCATAGTACACTCTGTTTGTCCCAGCTATTTATTTTTCAAATTTTCATAGAAATTTCTGTGGACTCTTCTTGGCATTCATTGTGTTATGCATTGAAATGAAAACTTTTCATAGACGACTTGTGGTTAAGAATGTCCTAAAATTTCTGGTCATACGAGTGGCCTGCCTTGCAACAAAATTTCTATTAAGTCAACTATCTAAGACGGACACAGTCGGGACGGAACCAAACTCTTCGTATTAATTAAAGAGAGAGAGAGAGGTAAAGTTAGAGGTAAAATGTCCGTTGAAAACGAAAAGAAAGGGGCCAACTTAGCCTCTTTTTTAGGAGAAACTTTGAACTATATTCTTAAGACAATTGAGCTGTGCTGAGAATAGCCTGCCTGCAGTCATGTCCTACATCCTTTGTTGCATTTTTGCATGTCCCTTTTCCGAGAGCAACAAAGTAAGTAGGAGATGTCTCCACGGGGCGGGGTGGGGGGTTCCTTACGCCTTCCATATCACAGGGGACACGCAAAACGATTGAAATAAACTCAGTCAAACAAACACTATGGTGGTCAGTTGTATTTTGTTTGTCGTAAAATTACTTCTTTGATAAAACATGGGAAACTATAAAACGGTCTTTCCAACAACAAGAACAACAAACTTTATTAACTAATTCCAAAAAAAACACAATACTTTAATGCCTCCTGGTAGCTTCGAGCTATTCGAGGCGGGCTCGAGTAAAAATGGAAAAAAAGAAAACAAAACAAAATTTCCAATGTATTCATATATTATCCCTAGGTGCTCTCCAGTGCTTTTATTTCTACATTATCTGGTATCCATTACAGAGGGAAAGCGACTACGAAACGGCAAAGCTTCAATATAATCATGCTCAGATTTAAGGATGTTTAGAAGCACTTCCTTAATTCCGATAATGATTTAGTTTTCTTCAGTACTTTTATAGGCAAAGGGAGACTATTCCAGAATTACGCAGCGCTTCATCTTGTTGGAATTGCCAAAATCAACAAATGCATAGTTGATCTTTTTTCCAGATGTAACCAGCTCAGAAAGTATGCCCTGAAAAAAAATGCTTTGTGTAAATAAAGTTATTTCTGAAGTAATCAACTTGATCTGGTAAAATTCTTCTAAACCGCCAAAAGGGGTGGGGGGGGGGGGGAACACCCCTGCCCTTCCCTCTCCCGCACAGCAGCTTGTCATTCACGTGATACACTGCAACCACGATGCTAGATAACAATGAACGCACTGGGACAAGAAAAACAAAACGCTCACAATATTTAAAACGGTCGTGGAGCAGCTGCTCGGATCGGAAGAGAAGTCACTAAGGGCCTGTTTACATGGAGTGGGGGACCCCGGTCTAGTGGGGTTGGTTTCTTTTGTTTTCACGCTCTAGGGGACGCTAAACAAAAGAAACCTACCCCACTAGACCGGGGTCCCCCACTCCATGTAAACAGGGTCTAACTGTGCGTTTCCCTGACCCCAAACAATACTAAAACAATTTGAAGAATGACATGTACTTGTTTCCTGCGACCAATTAGGAGAGACCTTACGTGCAGCTCCTACACTGCCTTTTAAGATGGTGATTACCTTTGTTTGTCTTGTCTCAGTGCTTCTCTTGCTGTCCAACATGGCCGTTTTGTACCACGTGAATTACTCTTTGTTGTAGTCGAATTTTATCCTGGGCAGAAATTTTTCATTCTTATTATTATTATTCGTTGTCAGGATCTTTTGTCACGTTTTTCATAGTGGTGCGAAAGGTAATCAAAAGTCTAAACAACAGCTTTTGTTCAAACTGGAACGCAATGCTTTAGGCGTGTCTCTTGGTAATTCCTAATAGGATCATTTTTTATCGTCAGTATTGTATGGAACGCTTGATGTTTGTTCTCTCCCCCAAACATTTCACTGAAGGATGTTTTTTAGTCGAATGTTCAACGTTGGAGCGAAAGGGTTCGAAAGTTTTAGGGTGCGAAGCTTGTGGGAACTAGAGAGAGACAAACCAGTAAGCAAGTTTAACGAGTCTTAGGGCATTTAATGGTAACCCGTTCACAACTTGACGCTTCAGTTTGAACAAGCGGAAAAGTAGCAAAGCGTAGGAAAAGGTAACCGCCAAATTCATGTTCAGAGGACACCAAAAGCAGTTTAATCCAAAGGCCGTGTTGAATAATCTAATGGTTGGCATTTTTCAAATCATTCAAAAAAAAAAATTGAAAAATTAACATGTGGGAACGACCAGAGGATCGCAACCATATCGGGAGCGTGTTATTTGTTCATGAGGAGCAAATGGTAGCTAAACTTATTCAACAGAACAGGATGGTTGGCAAGTCTTTTAATTAATAGTGGAGATTAGGGAGCTTTAAAAGCAACACAACGGAGACGGGTGAGAAAACGTCTTCTAAAAAGTGAAGTCGCGTTGCTTCAAACTTTTAATATCGGCTTATTCCATCTCGCACAATTCGTCAACTGGCATTTTTTTCTAGAGTTCAAAGGTTTAAAGGCCTGCCTGCCTGTGGAAAGTGCACTTAGATTATCCAGCTAGTTTACAGGCACTCTACTCAAATACTTAGAAACAAATTATTCAAATACAACATAATCGGATTAAAAACCCCAACTAGCTGGAGGCCACCAGTTAGCGGCTTTTTACAAGCGTGGCTGAGGATTTGAACTCGGGACGAGTATGTAGAATGGAATGGAGTTGGGAACGTCGAATGGCTACCCAGTATCATTTGTATCGCAATTCGACCGTACTGTTCCATTTTGTACACACTAGCCGGATGGGCACCAGCATGGCGTCTCCAAACAAATCTCTATTAATTTTGTGAAAATATTTCTTCGGATATTGCACAGGAGCCACTGAATCAGGCGTGGTATGAAAATACAAAATAACCTGATGAGCGATTTTCGTTGGATGGTCACACCCAAGAGCCGCGAAGTCCTGGGGCAGTGTTTGCTCTGCTCGGTTCTGCAGTCATCACATGACGTCCTAACCCAGACGGGACTTGGAGTTAAGACTTGGAGGTCTTGGAAGCTCGTCATTGATGTCGGATGGCAAGAGGTGAGTTTCTTTCTTACGAGGTTTTCTTGTCCATACCTTTAATGCGGCACTTAACTGCAAGAATTATATGCATCTTCGCTTTGTTAGAAATGCAAACAAACATCTTACAACAGTTCAAGTCGCTCAGTCGATCAAGGCGAAAGGACAGAAGTGCCCATTTCGTTCTTACGCTTTGAAGAAATTTGAATGGTGAAAAAGGCGACCTGAGTGTGTTTTTTGTCATTTTGCCCAATTAAAGTTCTTAAAGGATTGAAAATGCAAGTCCCGGAAAGTAATTTTACGAAGGAAAGGTCGATTTCAGGCTATCAAACAATGAGGTAAAAACAGGTTGGGATTACGCCCGGATTACGCCATGTGGCGCGAAATGGAGAACTATTGCCGCCAGATTTATTTTAGATTTTCTCTTTGGAATGCCTAACTTTTAAATAAGTTGTTCAGCGAACTAAATCTAGGTTGAATCTAAGTCCTTGAAATGATAATACAAAACCTAAATATTTGGCACTGTGAGGGATGCAGGGTCCATGACGGAAAAATGTGTAAGCAAAAGTACACTGACTAGTAGATTCCAATGGAAAGTAAAGTGCTGCAAGTAAAGCTTGGCATTGCAAATTATTAGAATCAGTTGCAGTGTATTTTGTCATTAAGAGTGTCAAATAACTGTGCATGTAACGCAACATGACCCGAAGGCGATCGATAAAAACTGAACTTTGAACCAAAATAAGTGTTTGTATCAAGCTAGATTGATGAAAAAGCGTATTATTTGTCTGAAACCTGCCCACGATAAGGTTATGCCCCTATCAATGGTTTGCCCCAGGATGGGGGGGCCGGGCAACCCATGGGAAATTTGACATTTTCAGGTTTTCAAATGTCAATTTCCCCACCCTTGGGTCTCCATTGTAAGTCAAATTCCCACCCCTGGAGACCACAGACCTTCATAGTAAGTTGATGACATGCCTTGCCTTGTCTTCTACAACAGCATTCCCTTCAAGATCAATAAATTCTTGCCACTCTTTGTCAAACTTCTGTGACAAGATTTAGCCTTCAATTCCAAATGCATCCTTTATTAGTTTAACCATAGTTTCCCTCTTCTAGAGAGACAACTTTACGGCTTTCGCCAAACTCTACCAGAACCTGGAACAAAGTAGCACTACATCAAAAGCTGCACAACACTAATTTGAACAAACAACGATTAAACAAGATCCTCTCAAAACAATCCTAATTTTATTTCTTGTAGACAAAAATTTTTTAGGGTAGAATTGTTAAAAAAATTGACATAGAAAGTATCAAAAAATAAGATTATTTAATAAAGCACTACTTGTCATTGTTTGGTGAGATTTGGCACCGGTTTCTGGATTCAGCTTCTATGTCACGCCTGGAATAGGTCGTATTCCGCTTTCATCCAACTGATGTTTGTAACTGAGGTCCCCAATTGACTAGAATTTCATTTAATTTAACATTTGGAGTATACTAGCAAATCTATAAACACAGCAGAGAGTATCGAAAACTTGCAGCAGGGCGGCATCCTCTGAAGACAGGTAAGTAGGAAGTAAATTTTGATCTAAATGAGCTCTTGTGTGACTATTTCTTCCCAAAGCTGAAGGAAAAATACCTTATGTTATTAGAACTTTAAAGACAGAGCACTGATAGGCGTAAAAAACATTTTTGCGTAAAAAAAAGTAACACGATACACCTTTCGTTCAGCCATCCTTGGACGCGGGAAACTCACTCAAATGACTTCTGGGTATTTTCCAAGATGGCGGACCACTCACTCATTCCCAGGTCCTCTCCACTTTTCAAGATGGTGGTCGAGTCAAATTTCCCACCCTGGGGACCGTTGTGGATGTCAAAATCCCCACCCACGTGCGCTCTACGAAGTCTAATTCCTGTGGGTTGCCCGGCCCCCCCACCCTGGGGCAAACCATTGATAGGTGCATTAAAAGCACGCGGGTGATGAAGTGAATGAAAGAGTAAATTTCCAATTGAGTTCAATATGAAAGTGGTTAAAAATGCTTTTTGAGTGCATCAAATCATTTTCAGTCTTTGCTTCTGTTGTGTATAAAACATTTGACTACCAAGAGAGAACAAACCTTGTCACATTCTCCAGAAAAGCTCTGAATAGCTAAAGCAATTTATCAATTAAATAAATACAATAAAGGCTGGCTGAATTCAAATTTAGCCGAAATACCGACTTTATTTACTATAGACAGGGTCGGCCAGGGTTTTTGGGTATACAGTGTATTGGGGTATTTAATTTCAGGTATACAGTATTTTTATGCTTAAAATAGGGTATAAAGTATTCTCTCACGATCAATTTTGGGTATCTCCAAAGTAACTATTACAAAAACCAAGAGTGCAACCATTGCTTTTTTTTCTTCTCCTCCTTTCCTTCTCCTTGTTCTTTCTTTTTCTCCTTTCCTTTTTCTTCGTTGCTGTGATTTTGGAGCTTCTCATGCTTAAGAAACGTGCCTTTTGATGCCTTTTCACTCAAATAACTGCAAATTTTGTTACATTGGTTTTCAAAAAGGTGGTTAGATGTATATCACCGCTTTTGCCCCAATTTCAAGTATAACCCTCGAAATTGAAGCTCTTTTGTTCGCAATCAATCGATTCAGAGAGAAAACCTGAAGAACACACGATCGACCATGGACAAAGTGGGATGTGGAAAACTTAAAGCCCGGGAGAAATCCTGTTTCAAGTGGAAAGCCATTTTTTTGCAAGGGGAGAGTATGAATGCAAGTGAAGGTAAAAAATTTCCCTGAATTGAAGGGATACATTTCTCAAAATATTTCAAGCAATTCCTGGAACTCTATACAGGGTCGGCCGGGGGGGCTAGTGGGATACCAAAATACCTGAAATAAACCTTCCAATATACCAAAAATTATACTAAAACTCATGTAAAATACCAAAATTAAGAAAAACACTGTATACTTTATAGGTTTTGGCCCCCAAAAAACCTATTGGACGCAAAAGGTCCATTTGGCCATAGTGTTTTAGAAAAATCCAGCTAGACATCCATACAAACATATTTAACATCCAAAAATCTCAAATGAGGCTAGCTTTAAGCACAGGCAACCCAGGCATACGCAACTTTAATCTTAAATCTTTAATCACAGTTCGTAACCATACATAACTGATACAAATGAACTAATACTAACATATACAATCGAACAAAAATACAAAAATGGTTAACAGGACGGTAGTAGGGGGAAACCAAATTCCCATGCTAAAACATACCTTCCAAAAAAAAAAAAAAAAAAAAAAAAAAATAATAATTGATTAATATATAAACATATATTAAAAGACTATAAATTAGACTATAAATTATAAACCTAGATGCCTAATAATAATGCATAAACTTATATTAAAGACACTATGCCTAATATTTTAAGGTAAATTATGAGCGAAGGTACTTAATCAGTGAAACTTTGAAAGACTGAAGGCTAGGAGATGACATTACTTCAGAAGGCAAAGAGTTCCAATCATTAATATATCTATGAAAAAATGAATATTTAAAATAATTTGTACGGGCAACTTTAGGCCTTATTTTATACTCATGCTTACTTCTAGTTCGAGTTATTCCAATAATATCAAAGTAATGATGGCAATTGATATCACAGTAACCAAATATAATCTTATACGTTTGAACTAGGCTAAGATATTTCCGTCTCAGTTCTAAAGAGTCCCATTTTAACTCTAAAAGTCTTTCAGGATATTCTTTGTCGGGGCCACATATTAGTCGGGATGCTCTTCTCTGAATTGCTTCGATTGCCTTGGTGTGTTTCACCAGATAAGGATTCCAGACTGGGCAGACATACTCGAGGATAGGTATCACTAGCGCCTTGAAAGCTGTCTTGATACCAGTCTTGTTTGAATAACCAAATGTCCTTTTAATCAAGCCCAACACCTTGTTAGCTTTAGCACAAATTGAGTTAATGTGATAATCCCATGATAAGGACGACTCCAACCAAAGTCCCAGGTGTTTGTGGTGGTCCACTTCCAGTAGTAAGATGTTATTCAACGAATATTGACATCTTATTGGATCATTCTTCCGTGTAATGTGTAGGACTTCGCACTTCTCGGTCTTAAGAGTAACAAGCCAACTCTTGCACCATTCAGAGGCAGATGTCAAATCCTCTTGAAGCAGATCGCAATCCGATCTATTATCTATGTGTCGATGAAGGACAGTATCGTCAGCAAACAAATCTGAGTTGCAGGTTACTAACTGGAGGTAGTCTACTGCGTAGCAGCACTTTAGAACATGATCCAGCAAAAGTTTATTAACATCCGGCTGAACTGCTGATAAAACCTACATTTAGCAACGGGTGAAGCCAAATAAAGAGAAGCCTTATTAACATTTTATTGTTTTTCCAAATTTTGCTTTGTTTTGTTTTTTCTTCTTTTTAGTTGTTAGTTTTTGTGTTTTTTGTAATTTGTTAGTTGTTTCATTTGTTATTTTTTGTCTTTTCATAAATTTCCTATTATCATACAATAATAATAATAATGATATTTAGTATTTATATAGCGCAAATTAACATGCAGAAGGGTATGATGAAATGCGCTTTAGCCACACATGAAGACCAGAAGAGAAAGATAATATATAAGATAGAATAGATGGGTTTTTTTATTCCTCACGCTTTGGTCTGCAGCAGGAATGGTGTCGCGACCAAGAGATAAACCTGTTAAGTTTGCTTTTTTGCAAAGAAAAAATATACAACCAAACAAAAATGTTTAGTACAAAAATACGTAAGCTTATTTAGAACATCATTGTTAAAAATGATGATGAGAGCTCTGGTATTTGCCACGCTGATTAGACCCTTTTTCAGTCTGAGAACGGAGCATTTTACGGTGGCCCATAAGGGACAGCACTTTCAGAAATAATTTCACAAATATTGTAAAAGAAAAGTGCTATCAGTTGAAGTATACACTGCAATGAAAAGAAATTGCTTCAAACAAAATACACCAGCAGTGCAAATGAAATAAATCTCCACATTGAAAATAAATATCATTTCACCCACTCCAAACTAAAAAAATACACACTGCAAGCAATTAAATAAAACTGCATGCTGCAACCCAAAAAAACTTCTGTGTGCGCAGGTTGGCACGAAGTACTGGGAATTTGTGAGAAGGACTGAAAATTGGCCCTTTTTTTCAATTGGGAAATATTGGCATCTCGAGACCATAACTCTGGCAGGTAAACTGGTGGTAAACTCTGATAAATTTTGTGCAGGTGTGTGCAAAAACAATGGATAGGAATTTAATCCAAACAAGCAAACCTTAAATAAATTTTGCATCTTAGTAATCCCACAAACTCAAACAAAATTAAAAATGCTGCAGAACACAACTTAGAAAATGTATTTTGTAAAGGCATAATATATGTTAGCACTGGAACTTTGATGCTAACTTCACTGGCTAAAGCGTTCCAATAACAAGTCTGCCACTCTGTTAATATCTTAGAACTTGCCAAAGGTGGCCAAATTTAAGTTTAAAACCTTGAAGTGGTCATTTTGACTAGAAAAAAAAAATTTTTCAGAACCGACTGCTTGTCCATGGAAGTTCAGCTTCCAAATTATTACAGTTTGAAACCATCAATTCAATTCAATTCAGTTCAATTTTATTATTCACATTTTACAAAATATTTACATTATATATAGTAAGGTAGGAATACACTAATAAAGGAGAAGAAGAAGAAAAAAAAAGAAAATTAATGGCTTGGGTAGAAGTGTACGGTGGTCAGAGGTGGTTAGCTTTCGAGCTAATCTCTAATTAACAACATAAGTAGGACTTTTACATGTAATGATGAAACCACACATTGGAACATCAATAATGTTCAGCTCACTAGGGTTGGTCTACATTGTATATGTAACTTTAAATATAGTAACTCACCAAAATCGAACAACAACAGCTATTTTATATAACAAGGATATTCTTTACGTCTAAAATACAAGGTTGTTAACACAAATTCAACGAATGCAGAGCCACTCATTTGCATCCAATCAAATAACAGCTTGCATGCAGCAACATTTGGACAAAAGTGGCCCTGCATTCTGTAATTGATTAGTTTTACAATTTTGTAGGATCGAATGCTTTCTTGCAAAAGTGTATTATGACTTTTTCAGCTGGTGCTTGTGGTGCTTGCTTCAGCATTCCATTTTCTTTAATGCATTGAACCGGAGTCCAGCTTAAAAGAGGTTTCATCTTTAAAGGGAAATCCACAGCTATATCCTGTCCATGGAGATCAAGGTAATACCACCAGCTCTCAGGAAGGGAGGTAAAATGCAAGAAGTCTTCTTTGTTGTAAAAGTTTGTATCCAGGGTGTTCAGATACAACCCCTCTATCTCCCCATAAATACCTCTGCACATCAAAGTCAATTTGTAAATCTACAGGGGCAGAAGACTTCCCTTTAACACTTGTTAGCATGGCATGGTAAAAGTTTCTTCCAGCCATCTCTAACCGGTAGCTATCCAGCTCGAGAGGCTTTTCATAAGTTCTGAATTTTGGAATGAAAGAAAACAGCAAGTTTGGATGGTAAAATTGCATTTATTTCTCTATTACATTAACGGTTGTACATGGCAATTTCAGTGAAAAAAGGGAAAGAAAAGATTGAGAACAAGTACATTGAAGTAACTCAATCAGTTATATAAGGCAAACATTCACCGTAATAAGGCTGGTGTGAGGTGATCTTCTGGCTCCCAACTGAAGGCTTGCAGTGGCCGCCCTTTCCATTTCACAAGATACTCCTTATTCTGACCATGAAAGAACAGACATGTCTTAGGCTCATCCCAAAAAATAACAGAAAATCAAATAAATCATTTCGTTCTGACATGTTGTGCTCACATAACCAACTTTCCTCTTCTCAATGAGCCTATCCACTTCAAAAAATTTCCCTTTACCTTTTCTGGCGGTGTCATACAGAACAACAGATGAGATTTCATTTAGATCCTTGTAATTTAGAATCAAATGCTTTCTCTTTGAGCCTACGGCCGCCGTTTTTTTTGGAAGATTACCGCTGATATTTGCCGGCTCTAAAATGTCCCAGATTTCTGGCAATGTCGAGAAATGCGGAGAGTTTGTCAAGGAGAGAATCAACTTTGTTAGTTGGGTATATGTCGGAAGATTAAAATCGTCGGGCACTTCTGTTCCATCTTGAAACACCAGTGTTTGTGCTTCTAACTTGAAAGGTGCTGATGCTTCAGCAATTATATGGTCCTTGGTCTGGCCATTGACCAGATAAGTCCCGCTGCCAGATTTCAGATGTTACCTGCGGCCTCTTTGGTCCTAGTGTAAAACGTTGACTGCCTAGTGCTTTGCTTTTCTGCTATGGCTCTCCTCCTTGTCTTCCTGGAATGAACGCAAACATTAACAAATCATCAACACATTAACAAGTCAATTTCAAATCATTCCTGGTGCTTTTGAAACAACTGCAGTTAATCTGTTTTAATGTACGGGTTAGTTTTTCCAGAAAAAACAAGATGTTTGGTGTCTACTCCCTTGCTACTAAAACTGGAGAATGGTTAGTTTGATAAGCATTGGACCTATCCCTTGAATGATCTCTGTGTTTTTAATGGCAATATATTTAATGACCCACTCGTCGTTTTTAGCTTTTCTACAACATGTTTCCAAAGATGGTACAATTCCTAGTTCTTTTAGTATAATCTTATCTGTACAATATTTAAATCACCATGAAGAGTCTGTTGTAAGTTTATATACTGGTGTCCTCCTAGGTTCAGTTCAGTTTGCCAGAAGTTACAAATTTTTCTTTTAAAATATGATCTATTAACTCACTTGTCTTCACTCAGCTGTTCATCCCACTTCCTTCCTGCTAGTTTTAAAGCAGATGAAGGTTTATTGAAGTGGCCTGTGTGCTCCATGGGGTCCATAATGTACTTAGTGTGTTGCTCTATGATTCTCCTTGCTACTTGTTTTTTCTCCTCTTCAATCGTTTTCCACTGCACTCCTTCATCAACTGATTGGGCCCTGCTGTCACTATGATATTCATTTTCAATGTTGTTTGGCTTGCTCCTTGAGAAGGAAGAAAGAAATTAAATTGTAACCTGACGTCGTGCTACATGCGAGTTTTATTGCATCCTAAAAGAGGCTCACCGGCTTCACATTTGCTCCCACAATCTCTCGAAACCTTATTGACTCTCTTCGGAAGTCATTCCGGTGTTTTCTTGTCATTTTTATTGATGTTTTCGGGGTAATCTTCTGCTTTACCAAGGACTTCTGCATGTTTTCTCATAAACTGCGCAACACTACGCCGCTCAAGGCCACATGTTTCCACAGCTTGAAGAATCAACCTACTGGCACAATATTACTGAATATAAATTGTTGAACAGATTTTTACTGACATCAAGATGCATGATATAACCAACATTTAAAAGTATGAAGTAGAATTTTTAATACAATACAAAGTAATTACCCTCTACAGAAAAGTTATGTAAGGATTTTGCTATGTTGCTCATCGTACTAATTGAGGTTGTGGGGCTCTCAAAAAGTGCTGCTTATCTTTCTTTTCTTGAAACATACCAAAAGCAATGACTAAATGATTAAAATTCTTGTAAAGCAGACTTCAACATAACTGCTCCTCGAAATAACGCAACTGTTGATAGGCAAAATCCAGAAATCCAAGTTCTCTGTACAGAAAACAAACCAAGTCTGTTGAGTGGTCTAATTTTTTCTTGCCCACCCTTCCCAACACCATTTGCTCCAACGCTTAATGCTTTTATGGTCCATTCTGCAATGTTTCTTCATCACCCACATTTGTGTTGTTTACGATCCACTTGAGATGCCTAGGAACAAACCAGGGAATGACCTTCTTTAAGGTAACTGATGTAGGGTACAACCCTTGGCGACTGACACTCGCTCCCTCCAAAGCCATTTAAAATTCCATCAACCAGCTCATCTTTCATGGTTGGCTTAACAATGGTTTGAAGACATTGCTTCAACTTAAACCAAAAAGACTCAGTTGGGTTTAATTGTGGAGTATAGGGGGTTGTCTTCCACCAGGTTATTCCCTCCATGTACCCTTGCAACAACCTGCTGGTGTCCTTTTGGTTTTTATCCTGTTAGAAACGTTAGCCATGAGCAGGGTATCTCCTTGACTTGGCCATTATTCCCTGTAAAAATAAAAACATTAGTTACCCCCTGTTTGAAATCCTGGTCCAGATGTGATCTTAAAATGATGCGCAACTAAAACTGTCAAAATAACCAGAAGTTTTAATCTGAAGTTGAATAGATCTTTCAGATTTGTGAGTGGCTCATGATTTGGGTGGATGGACATATGCATGGTCAAGCAGTACCGTGGACTGTCTTTCTTTTTCAATAAAAATAGAAGTGAAAGAAATATTACAAATTATTGGTAATTGCTTTTTAATTAACTGGTGGCTCTAAAAGGAGCCGTTTTTGATTGGGTTCAATACTCTTGAGCTTTCTCATCACCTCTGATAACCATGGGAACAATCTTGTGCAGGTGGTTGATCTACCTGCAACACTTCTTGAGGGTGAATGATTTTCAAAACTCTTGAATTCCTTTCTATTCAAGGCTTCACAACTGCCCTCAAAAAGTCCTTCAGTTGATGCCACAACATTTCAATGGGGTTTGAAAACACTTGCAGTACAGGGGTGTGGCCAACAATTTTGCATACAGGGGTGCATGTCCTTATATGGCAATTATTTTATTCTGGCCACACATTTCTAATAATGCCAGTTCCAAAGTAGTTGAAATTAAAGTTAAAGTTGTTGTGCTGGGTTGAACTGTAAGATCCACTGAGTTGGCAACTGTGCTTGCGACATCTTTGATGGCAGGGAATTGAGAGAGTGACAGAAACAAGTTTCATTCTCCATTTCGCACACAAGTTAGCCATGTGTTGCCATGGAACTGTAGACCGCCCCCTGTTTACTTCTCCTGGGATTACTGGTATGTTTCGATAAAGAACTAGATAATGTATAAAAGTTCTGGTAAATGTCATTGTGCTATTAGCACTATCCGGTGGTGCCAGAGTGTCCTGGACATTGGTACTCATATTTGCCCATCAGCAATCCGTTCAGGTAAGGGTTACTGCTGCTCGCTGATGTAACTGCCCTGGTTGATTTGACCGGTTTTGGTATCTCCGGAATCTTTTTGGTTCGATTGACCAAAAGTAGTAATTGGAGCCAGTTGATATCATCCCATTTTTTGAGACTTAACAATGATGTAACAAGGCTCAGTTTTAGCGGCTTTAGCAGGTGCAATACTGTCAAATGGCCACTTATGTTTGGATCTGCTATTTTTGACTGGATGTTGAGTTTGGGCCCCACTGCTTGTGTCAGTAGGTCGTACTTCCTCCAATGCTTGTAGTAATCTGGGTGTATCTGCCGGTCCGTCGAAGGCTCGAATTGGTTGTGTTTGCTGGTCTAATCCGTGCTAGGTTGCTCTGCCTTTCGGCTCGGCTAGTAGAGTGTCCATCAGATGTTCCTGTTCCTTGTATAGGTTGAGCAACAATTGGCAGACCGCCCCTGGTTGGGCTTCCATAGTAGTTTGTTTCTTGTGGCTCATCCTCTTTGTGATCTGCTAGGACCAGCACCAGATTGAAAGATATCGGCAGCAGTCGCAAGTAAAGCATGGTCTGAATCTGGGCCCAATCCGTTGTCATTTATATAGGCCATGGGTATGTTTCTGACCACAATATCTGCATGTCTAACCAGGCTTCTGGATGAATGTTCCCATTGTATTCCACTAACCATGGTGTAGTTCACGTCATGAAGAAAAAACACCTGTTGTGAAAGGCTTTACGTATTTCCAGGTCTTGAATTGGTAACCATGGCAAATTATTGCATGTCATGATGCAAGGCGTCCGTTCTTGTTCAACAGAGACGTTGCCTTTGTGATGGATCGGCACTGTCTTGTCCTACATCTGATTTAGATAAATTTCTTGCATGCGGTCGATGATGACTGTTTCTTTGTGTAGCCAGATTCGCATGCCCATGCCCAATTGGTGCATGAAGCCCATGTTGTTGTTTGGATGAATAGGCCCACCCAACGGGAAGCGACACTGTTTGTGCTATTGTACACAACTAAGTTTCTACCATGTTTCCATCCCTTACTTTTTACTTTTTGAAATGGATCTTTCTAGGTGCATGTTATGTATACTTTTGATGGTGGAGGATGACGGTCTTTTTTGGACTTATCTCCTTACAGCAAGTATTACAAAAAAGATTACCGTTTGAAACTGTTAAGTTTTCATGTGGAACTCTTACTCAAGGGAAAGATCAATGCTCTTCAGTATACTGAATGCTCTGCAGATAGCTATCAAGTTAATCTACCTAAGACAAAACTTTAGACAAAGGTGATATTGAATTAGATGATAACAGAAAGAAGTACAATGACATACAGAAAAATTAAAAAACACTGGAAGTCTTTGCTAGTTACATATAAGTTACAAGTACAGAGAAAGAGTAATGTTTAAAACTGATAGTATCAAGATAATTATATTAATATGTATGAAAAAACCCTTACACATTACCACAAGACCTCCCTATTATTTGTCTGACTTTAAAGTGGTAACATCCTCGCTTGTAAAATTCTCCTCGCTTTACCTCTCCTTGTTTATGGAAGTATTTGGGTAAAAGGTCTGAGGTATGTTTGGTCAACTGTAAACTTTAAAGCCACCATCTCTGACTACATTTTGTCATTGTAATGCTTATGTGTCACTATTTATTGTATTTATAATTTTATCCTTAGCAGTAGCACTTTAGGTTATTAGGTCAGGAGCTTGCGACTATGTCTATAATAGATTTTTTAGTATTATATGTGGTCTACCTGGCCTTGAGACTTACTGATGTTAATGCCGGTTTGAACTGTATCCAGTGAAGGAAAAGCAGATGGCTTGTTGGGACCAGTTGGTAGTAAAGAGCGTGCTTTTTCTTGTACCTGAAGCTCTAGGAGGCTTATCTCAAGCTGTTGTTTCTTGATTTGAAGGTTTAGGAGCTGA